TAATCTATCATACTATACAATGTACACTTACCACGTACAATTGTACATACCGGTATGCATTACAATAAAGGGCAGCAGTTTTCATGAAGTAAAACAAGTAGCTAACAGTACTTCACATCATTTCATACACATGCAATATAGGATTGTTCAGTTCACACCGGTGAGTGTCGTAGATTTTACTGCTGGTAAATTATACATGTACTCCGTATAATTAGAGTGAGAGTGATATATACAATGCAGGCATGTGAACGAAGTTCATACACTGTAGAGCAAAAGGGAAGTTAACATGTTTACACAAGGCAATTATTCAACTTGAGAAGGGATAGACATACAAAAGTGTGCATGTCAACACCATCTGCTGCATAATTCAGTGTAAATTTGACAAATTTGAATCATCATTCATACAAGACACACTATTTTCAATGGCATGTACAGCAACATAACCATTATTGAAAAAGCTTTTATACTCACCTTTGAATTATTGATTTTAGATGTATTACAATTGTACTAAATCTCCCATTTTTCTCTTCAAATCTTGCAGATGGACTAACATACAGAGTACCATGGGAGATCTGCTATTCAAGTGATGGCTCATTGCGGCAATGGACTCAACCACAAAGTTTCATCTAAAGATAAATTCTTCTCCAAAAGCGATGAAACCAGCAACAGCCATATAGCAGAGTTTCGTGATAAGCACCTAGTTTGTGCCGGGTGCAAGCAGCGCTTTGTGACCTCGGTCTACACCCCTACGCTGCTTCCCTGCCTGCATTCTGTCTGTCCAACTTGCTTTGACGCATCAACATCCAAAGACAGTGAGACTCTCTGCACTGTTTGTCCATCCTGCAAGCAACAGGTACCATCCACAGAAGGTGTCCTGACAAGGAACTCTATCTCTCCAGACTTTCATATCGATTACCTAGCGGAGTACCTTGGATATACTGAAGGGATTGTAAGGCTTTGTGAAGGCTGCGACTCTCTCACAAAGCTTGCCACGGCTTGTTGCTCCAACTGCATCAGATTCCTTTGCAAAGAGTGTCTGATCAGACATCAATATACTGTAGGATACGAAAATCAGCATTTCCACGAGGTGAATGATTTGACCAAAGAAGACTGGGAAGTACTGTCACGTCAGCAACGCTTTTGTGTGGTCCACCAAAGTCAGGCACTGACTCTTTACTGTACTGGGGAAGCGTGTAATGTGCCAGTCTGCTTGTCCTGTTGCAAGAGCGATCATATTTCTGAAGGTCACAATATAGAAGACTTGTCTTCGGTTGTTGAACAGCTGAAAGCTGAACTTAAAGAACTTATCATCATGAGTGAGCGGCAGACGCAGTTGCTCGAGGAGCTGTTACAGAACATTGACATGGTGACCCAGAAACTCACATGCAATGCTGAGGAAGCAACTCATCAGATCAAAGCCCTCTTCAGCAGATGTCGCAAGGTCCTGCAGCAGAGGGAAGAGGCTCTCCTGAAAGCTGTCACAGATGCACACACCAAGATGCAACTTGGGCTGAAACAGCAGAAGGATGACACCAAGACGATGCTTTCCAACATTGCTGTCATGACCGACTGTGCAAACACCAACAATAACTTGAACAGTACAGTATCGGTAGCCAGGGTGCAAAATAAGTTGGAAGGGTTCTTCAAAGAAGTCGCTAATGGGGTGTTCTATCCTCTACCACTGGCTAATAGCTGCATCGACTTCACTTACAAGCATAATGAAGCTTTAACCTATTTGGACTACGCAGTGAAGGACCTAGGCAAGGTGGCTAATGGTGATGAAGTGCCTTTCTTGACTGTTGTTAGTCCCGAAGAGTCCTTTGTCAATCAGGAAAGCACTGTGAGACTTGAAATGACCTCCTTGAATGGGGAACGTAGCACAAAAGGTGGAACCACAGTGTCTGCAAAGATGACGACTCCTTTCAATGAGAACTTGGAATGTACTGTTGTAGATAACTTGGATGGATCATACATCATTAGGTACCTGTCTACTGATCCCGGTGACCATCTCTTATACGTTGAGGTATGTCATGAGCCTATCAGAGAGCAACCAATTACAATCCCAGTGTATGCTCTTTGCACAGAAATCAAGGGCGAGAACACAGATGAGGAATGCATGGTTGAAATCTATGCAAGCGATTGCAATGGGAAGCGCCAGCCATTGGACAAAGACCTCAAGTTCTCTGCATATGTCCTTGATCCTCAACACGAGGAACTGAAAACACAGATATACTATTACCCATATGGCTACCATGGCATTGTCTTTCGTCCAGACAGTATCGGTGAGCATAAGTTGACAATACAATTGAACAATGTGCCACTCAAGTCTTCCCCTATCATGGTGCCCATCCACAGGATTATCGCTTGTCGGCTGGATAAGAAGCCTTTCTTTCTGGAGAACATCTCTGGGATGACAGTGACATACATGGGTAAGATTTTCCTTGCAGACACTATCCAGAATGAAAGAATCCTGGGTTTCACTGGACATGGTGAATGCTTCACTAAGATCAAGACACCATACAAGGGAGATGCCTTGATAACCAAAGACAGGAAAGAAAACCTTGCATTGCTGTTCCCTTATCGACAGGTAATGATCTTCTACACTCAGAAGGGGAAGCAGGTTCGTTTCTTTGACACGCCTCAAGTCGTTAATCCCGTCTCTATCGCGGTCACATCCGCTGAGGAAACGCTCATCCTGGAATGCCTCAGCAGTTCTGTCCTGGTGTACAACTCTGCAGGATTCCTCCAGACTACTGTTGGTGGGACCAACCATGCCCTCAGTCTAGGCTACCCTATCTCCATGAGTCTGGATTCTAGGGACAACATCTACATCAGCAACAAGACAGGGGGTACAATCCTCAACCTGACCTGGAAGGGAGACTTCAAGCGAACCATCGGTCTTCCAGAGACCTTCAATCAGATCGGTTCCGTTGACTGCACCCCTGATGGCTACATCCTGATCCATGAAGAGAAGCTCTCTCAGGTTGTCTACGTTGTCAGCAGAAGGAGCGGCAATGTCCTCCGCACTATTGACGTCCATGGTATTGTTGGTTTCCTTGAGCATCTTGGTGTGACCCCTGACGGTTGCTTCATCAAGCTGGACCGTAAGAAAGGCTGTCTGAGGAAGTACAGGTACGCCTACTACTCTCCAAGACGTCAAACCTATCCTGCGATAGCTACATCTACTGCTGATGGTCAAAATGAATTTGAGGTGGTAGGATAACATGCCCATAACTTTCCATAGAACTTGACTGTTGTGTTGTTTATTGTGTGAGATCATTGACATGACCACTGGAGATTCCTTGCTTAATCATGTACCTGGAAGATAGCAACTGATTCTGTATTGAATTTCTTATCATGGACTCAGATTCGAGTACTCTTACTACCATAAACAATCTAAAAATATTACCACAAAGAACCCATGCATTGAGCATTGTAAAAAATATAAGCTTAGATATGCTTACAATGTCACCAGTGTGTGTATGTATGCACAGATTTTTTTTCTGATGGAAATTATTTCAAAAACATGTAAAGGGTTCTAAAGAAAACAGTTATTGATTAGTAATTTTTTTGTTTGTTAACAATGTGCTCCTTTTGTATTCTTACTGTACATGTAAGTGTGAAACAACTAGGCTAACCCACCACTCATATTCTTGGGAAACATAAAGCAGCATTATACCCAAGAGCATTCATCACATTCAGTATTTAAACCATCAAAAACATTTCAATTTTCCATTTGTCATACTGCATATTGCTCACAAGTGTATTTTGTGTTGTAGTTTTGAAGCAGCTGTCAAGTCCTCATGCACACGATAGTGTCAGAACATATGCTCATGTATGATACATGTGTACTCATGAACATGTAACCCTACATGGCTAGTCATTACAGTCACCTCACTCATGCCGGGTAAAATAAAATCAATGAAAGAAAACCTGGTAGTAAATTTTAAAGACAAAACACTTAACATATATACGTGCATGTATACATTCATTGTGCAAAGAGGCAATATTGGAGGGATAAGGTGTTGTGCAGATACAGCCTTATGCATACTCATTGATCTCTCTGTACATGTACTACACATGTGAACATAGTATGTACACATCAGTGAGGTTCTCTGAATATCACATTATACTATGAGATTTGTATCAGTAAAATTATTGTTTACTGCCTCTTACACTGTATACAATTGTAGTTATTCTAATGAGCCAATGAAGACACTTACAAGTAAGGTGACGATATTGATGTTTTGAACTACAGTTTATATGGTTTTACATCTAACATGTAAACTGTAACAAATTAACTGCAATGATGTAACTTCTAGAGGCAAAAACTATTTGTCCCTACTTACAGTAAGCAACTTTTTTTAAATAGCTAAATAAAATGGATGATGTCACCAAATTTTACAATCAAATTTCTATTGCTGCTATACTACCTTGTATGTATTTGCAAAGCTCAGTTTGCTTCAACAAATATACCTTTTTTTGTATTTATCTTCTGAAAAGCAAACCTTAAATTTCTTCTAGTGGTCTTCTTTATAAACAAGCTTCATAATTCACATATACAAGAATTATGCAGATAAAGTTTAATTATATATGTATCTGCATTAAACTGTACCTGTATTATCCTTTTATGGAATCCGGTGATTTCGCTATAATATTAATTTTATGTATAACTTTTTGCATCATCTTTGGTGGTATTCCAAAATGGTTCTGTTGTAAAAGTTTGATAACCAGCTGATAGCTGCCAATGTAATCAAAAATAGATGTAGAAAGATTTTTTCTATTCATTTTGTAGAAAGAATTTTAAATGGTGATAACCTACTAAATAATATACATTAATATTGAATTGAGAATCTTTGGTGAAGGGAAATTTGACAAAACTGGATTTCTGTATTAATTGAATTTCCTATTTGTTTGACATGTATAACCCTTTTTTTCTTCTTTATGAACCAGTAATAATGTGGAAAAAGCCACCAAACTTTCCAGTAAATTTATTTGTCATACTAAAAGTTTCCCGTGCTGAAGGGGGTTCAAATTGCACAAATGTGGTTATATGGTATCTAATATTTTTGGACAAAGAAAATGTTTATCTTGAAATGCTATATTCATGAATTATAAATTCTTTATCAGAGAAAATGTCTGGATCAAATAGCCTACAGAAAGAAGGCATAGTGATTAAACTTTATCTACAAACGTTTTGTTTGTAATAACTTTCCATGTTTCTATATATTGCACAGGCGCATGCATGGTCTGAATCACTAATTATATGAATTGGCAAGTATATAAAAACATGCCCAAAAGAAAGAAAATATTGTTTTTAATGTAGACATACATTTAATCATTTATTTTTAATTAAATGCAGTGAAATCTATGTATACAGACCACTCATGGAAAGCAAGGAAAGTTGATCTCTATAATTTACATGTACAAGTTCCATTAATTCATATTTGAATAAGGAACACACTTCAAGGGGAAAATGTGTGGTCTTTATAGGGTTATACAGACAGGTTGTCTTCCTACAAAGTTAATCCGTATACTGGTAAGGGTTGACAGTATCAATATGATTTTTTGGGGAAAAACATGAAAAACAAATATCTGTCTGTTTAATAGTACCCAATACTACACTTATTGTAATTTTAAGTTTAGAGTTACTGTGTATTTTTAATTATGTTGTGAATCATGTTATTGAAATTACTAGAAAAAGTATACATTCCAAACAAAACTCAATTTTGACAGGGTCAAAAAGAAAATTGAACCTGAGCCCTGCCTTGAAATACAAGCTCTAATGCTGAATTCTGTAGTTCTTGTATTTCTGCAGTTATACTGGAAACATTTTGACAAACAAGGACAAAAAGTGAATACATTTACTTTTTATAATCTACTTGCTCAAATTGGACTTGTAACCTTATATCTGTTATCTGCAGATAGCCAAGCAGTTTTTGAGTTGACATACAATGGGTTCTCAGTTTTTTGCTGTATGTTGCATTACCGGTATGTCTTGTATACCACCGCACTGTACATGTACTTGTACAAGTGCATATAAAGCCTCTATGCAAATTATGTTATAATAATGGTGTTTCGTTATCATACATTCCTCACTGAATGATACTTTTTCTGTCTTCCTAACAATTTATCATTTGGTGTAATATTAACAGATGGTATATGGCCTGGAATTGCAAGTCTGGGGTTTTTTTTCTACTGATTTTGAAGTTATATTAAATATTTATTTTATTTCCTTTCAAATTTATAAAGCATTACAGTATGCATTTGTGTTGTCTATTCAGTTGTCATCACATTTCATCTATATAATCAGAACCACTATGTACTTTCAACAACCAGTACATGGCTATATACATAAAAGAGAGTTCGAGATCCAATCTCTGCCTGGAGTGCTGTCTTAAGATCTGGGGTCATATTCTGAAAACTATGGTATATTTTATGTGAGGGAAAACAATGTTAATTGTCATTACAAAATGAAATTGTGCAGAATCAACACTTGCACACAAAACATGTGTTATCGGTGCAAGCTTATGCAAACTTATTAGCCAGCTTGGCGCATAGAAATACATGCATTAACCAGTGAATTGTCCTAAATTTTCAATTGTTATGACAATGAACATTGTTTTACATAAGCATAAAAGGTAACATCGTTTGCAGAATACTACCCCTGCATTAATTCAAAATAATGTTTATCCACCCCTCCCCCCTTAATATTCAAACACAATGGTACCAAACAAGAATTGCATAATGGAGAAGTCAAACGTCCTACACAGCTGACGCATGTGTCAAAACAGAGTTCCTGTAGCTCCCTAATGGAGATTAAAAATTCCAAGAATCTACAATAAAACTACAATGCCAGCTTTACACATGATCAAGTGGATACGCTGCTTGAACATGACACAAAAACAGGTATTATCGGTGCTTATATATATGCGAACACAGCCAGCTCTACTCATATACGTGTATGTACATGTACATGTATGAGACTGGCTACCTTCTTTTGAGGCTAATGAAATTCCCTGATTTGAGCGAGTTATTTTCTCAAATTCCATTCCTTATCCCCTAGTACAATAGATGAAATCCATGTTTCCAGATTTCTCCTGATTTCAAGGACACCTGGGAACCTGTAAAGCCAAAATCTGACATCAAGACACCAGGCATTGTTCAGGAATTGCCTGTCTAGCTTGTGCTTTATCTGTGCATTGAAATCAGTGGAGTGAGATTAAACTATTAATCCACAGATGTACTAGACCATAGGGGTATACAGAGAGGTTAATGTTGCTGGTATAATGGTATCCTGTTAAAACACTCCTGTTAAAGCACTTCTAGGGTATGAATTCACATACACGTAACTGACTTTAATGATAAATGAAAGCTTTCTTTTCAATGGATCTGGGTAAAAGATGGAAATCATTCCGATCGAGGTCATCCTGTGCAGGGTAATGTTTTACATTAATCAGGAAAATTAATGATGCAGTTATCAACTCAAATTGTCTATTGGCGAGGCATAACTCTCTAATAGATAGGACTAAAACTCACAGGTCCATAAGTTGCTCAGATAAATGCATATCCTGCATTTGCTTAACAGTCAAGTAAAACATTCTTTACGGTATATAATTTTATTAACAGCTCTGAAACCTTCACAAAAATTCTCAAATCAACAATCCATTCAAAATATAAAATTGGTGTATTGTGCCCGGCAAAATTTGCAAACACAAATTTATGGAGAAGTTAATTAAGTCTCCCACTTATTACAATTTAGCCAATGTAGTGATTGAAGTGTGTGTTGTACAGACGTAGTCAAAGCAAGGTCAGGTCCTTATAGGCATATTTCTGCAAATAGAAAATCTACTGGTTGTGTATCGGTAAGTGCCTTTTTGCTGGGCACATGACGACTTTTCCACCAATTTCAAAACAATTTACATGTAGGTAGCTAAGGTCCGATATGCAAAATGCATAATTGTTGAAAATCACAATTTAATCACACAGACATAAACCTACATAATTACAGATGTGGAGCAGGTAAATATACATGTAAGTACCTCGATTAGACTAAATGTAACCTACACTTACATTCTGATGTGTTAAAAAGGAACTTCTAATTAGCAAATATCACTAACTATTATATGCATTTTGCATTTCGGACGTGTCTTTTCGCACCATTACATTTCGCTAAGGTGCCCTACCATACATGCACAAGTATAAGGCATCCACACAAAAAGAAAATGACCCAACTTGAAGGATGGGTAAAAAAACATATGAACTCACCTTTAGCTTGTGACCTTTGACCTCCACCTCTCCTTCCATGCCTGCCCTTTGACCTTCCCGACCTGCTGGCCATGAGGAACATGCCTTGGACGATGCGGTTGACGTCATGGAGAGAAAAGACGTAGTGGGGGTTGACGGGACTGGTCATCAGCTGTCTCTTGATCAGAGAGTGAAGGCTGATGGTAGCCTTTAAGATTGCCTGGGATAGAAAGGGGGATTCAAGGAATATTACATGTACATGTACATTTCAAATATTTCACACAATCTTTCATATCCATATCTGAACAACAAAATGGCAACAAAATAATTGTATACATATACTGTACAGGTAATTGTTACCTACTTGAAAAGTAGAATTTATTTTTGAGATTTTTTTTTTATGTGAATTGGATTGAAGACAAAACTCTCAATTAAATTTGAAGGTCTACATGAAAAGTGATCCATAAGGGTCTTTTCATAATCCATCTTGAAAGTTATACAGGCTAAAGAAGACATCCGTGCATCATCCAATATCACTTTAATGATAAATTACAATACATAGGTAGCTGGAAATAGATTTTTATAACATCTTCTAATCAGATTTTATTACACATTCTCCAGCAAGACTTGCTCTGTGGTCAATTCCTTAGACTAGTCTAATTCCGAACTTCATCTATGTACTCAATACAACACCAAACCCTAAGCCTTAGCCCAAATCCTATCAGAGACCTAAACCTATATATCTGACAAAAGAAATTCTGGAGAAAATGTTGTATACCGGTACCCTTAATAATTAGAAAATGTCCATGTATGGGGTGGTGCCAAATAGCTTAGTGGAGTAACAGATAGATGGTATTACAGTAGAAAGAAATACTTTGACTACATCGAATATTGGAAGCTTCCACACAATCAATTCCAATCTATGGCAACTGACTTAAAGGCCGTCTGTACTACTTTGGCCAGGGGGGATTAGACCACACAGGAAGGTCACTGACAGGTGGCTATCTCATCAACTCAGCTCTCAATTAACATAAGAAAAAGACGATCATGGAGACCAACAGGCACCGATTAGGCATTGTTTTCTATATAGAGGGAGCAAGTACATGTAGCTACAAGTAGTACAGTGGGGCTTTCATTCCCTACCTGGGCAAGTTCATAGTGGTGGTTGAGGGAGTAGGCGGGAAACTCCTCCAGCCAGCTCTGAAGGCTCCCAGCATGCAAGAGATTGAGGGACTCGGCGGAGGGCGTGAAGTAAGTCAGGACCACGAAGAGCCTGGCCAGCCTGGAGCTGAGGCTGTGGCACGAGACGCCGCTCCCGACACCCTGCGTACCCGGAGGGTAACACGCGGCGAGGAAGTTAGTCTTCTCCAGGGAGTAATGCGAGAGGTTGTCGCGTTGATAAATGCTACCCTCGGCCATCAGCTGGCGAAGAAGCTCCATACATGGTTGCTCCCCTGCGGAGAAGAATATTTTCTGTAAAATACCTGTATATTTCTATGTAAAATAAAATTTTCTCAAAATATTTTCTTTTAATGATTTTGAAATTGTTATAGTGTAATAAGTACATTAATGATATCCATGATTGGTTAAGGAGATTATTCATTTCAAATATAAATCTATAACAGATTTCTATGAATCTCAACATAAATTGATTATGTAATCAAGAAGTAAATTGTAAAAAACAGATTGAAAGACACCATTATCTGATCTTTCACTAATGAAATTCCATTCACTGAAGCTACTGCAGGAAGTCTGGACATTGAAATATCATTTTTTCATGAATTTCAAATGGCTTAAATTCTTTTCTATTTTGTAGTTAGAATAACATGTTAAAGCCTGTTTGGATTACTTGCAATGAAGCTTCATTTCCAGAAGAAAATGTTAAAAATCATTTTGAAAACCTTTCATGATATTGGAATTTGTGAAATACTTTAGGCCATAAAAATGAAAATAAATTGAAAAATCAACATATTCTTAAAATTGCCAACATGTATACAAACACATACATGTAGAACAACATTACAAAATCCTGTTAAAAAATATTTTATATCATTAATAGAGCTCAAGATATCTTCAGTACCTGTTGTCTTCTCCATGCCAGCACAGTTGAGATCGTCGATAAAGAAGAGCGGGTCGTTGGTCACCTGACCTGGCTTCGTCGGCTGGGAGCTTACGTTCACCAAGCTACTAGGGCGGAGCTTGCTCACGATCATCTTCTCCATTGTCTCACAGCCCATGACAGGAGACATGGCGAAGGACAGGAAATGGTGCCTTGGTTGAACCATATTCTGTCAAGATAAAATATGATTTATAATTAATAATAATGATGATTACAATGACAGCGACGACAATGATGACAACTCTAACAATAAAAATAAAAATCTTCTCCATTGTCTCACAGCCCATGACAGGAGACATGGCGAAGGACAGGAAATGGTGCCTTGGTTGAACCATATTCTGGCAAGATACAATGTGATTTATAATTAATGATAATGATGATTACGATGACAGCGACGACAATGACGACAACTCTAACAATAAAAATCTTCTCCATTGTCTCACAGCCCATGACAGGAGACATGGCGAAGGACAGGAAATGGTGCCTTGGTTGAACCATATTCTGTCAAGATAAAACATGATTTATAATTAATGATAATGATGATTACGATGACAGCGACGACAATGACGACAACTCTAACAATAAAAATCTTCTCCATTGTCTCACAGCCCATGACAGGAGACATGGCGAAGGACAGGAAATGGTGCCTTGGTTGAACCATATTCTGTGAAGATACAATGTGAAATCATCAATCATCGAGTCATCAATACCCTGTAAAGCTTTTTGTCAGCATATACATGTTCTAACAGACCAGGGCCCTGTATTATAAAGAGTTAATATTGATTGCAACTATGTACAAAAGAGATAGGGACTGCAAACTTGTGATTGATTAGAGGACTTAGGATTGATTTGGATTAATCACAAGTCTTTATAAGATGGGGCCAAGGTCAGAATTTTTTTTTTTTTTTTTAAATAATTTTCCACTGATTCTTTAGACACATTTTTTCAACTAGTACTTTGTAGTCCTCCATTAGGCTCATAGAAATCACATTCTAGAGCAGGAATTAATTCCTTGAAATGCTAGAGCTCCGTAATGACAGCCAAGTTAAAGCCGGGGTCATAATTTCCAAAGCTCTTTGGAAGGGCATAGAGACGTTATACTGTGATTTGCGCTATACAAGAACAGAATATTATTATGATAGTAGATATTGCATCTTGATACGTACCTGAATGAGAGCTGTCTTGCCTATACCTGGAGCTCCAGTCAAGAGGACGGGTTGGTTTGCTCCGACTAAGATGTCCAGTAGATGAAAGTACCTCTCAGCCTGTACAAAACAAAACAACATTCAAAATCATATCAGGGATACCAGTTGGTTTCACTCAAAAGGTTTTGAAAGAGAGCCCATATATGTGTGAGGCCATAACTACTATGAAGAATGAAAAGGCCTAAAGTGGGTAGGTGTAAGGAACCAAAATTCAGGTAATCAGCCTGAAACAAGCACTGTTGTCATGTCATAAACAAGATTGAAACAACAATTTTTTAAAACATTGTACATGTACGTTACCGGTATGTCAAATGCCCAAAAAGTTTACTTCTGTGTGCAGCCGTACTTGCAGAACGTTGCCAGTATAAAACAGATTCTAAACTTGTGGGACTCACAAGGAATCACAAGCGTAATTTAATCACAAGATTTTACAGAAGTATACATGTACATTATACCACAAAACAGTTTGTAATCTTGGTTCGCATTTTCATTGTTCAGTTTGATAAATAAAAGTACAATATGTTATCAAACTTCACAATTCATGAGGCCATATTGAATTTACAGAGGAAAGACTAGTACCAAAAAGAGAAGATAAAATACAAAAATTTAGGTGGCTTAAAGTGCCTACAACCCTGAAAATGATTGATAAAGTTGCCTTACCTCTGGGGTGACAATGAAGTTAGCATTGATAGTTCTCATCTTCTCTCTGTTAGAATCTGCCCAGGATAAGAGGATTCCAAGGTTTGCATCAATGTGGACGTCATAGACGGTGCCCTCTGGAGGCAGGATGATGTCATGGGTTGCACGTCCGAGGAGCTGACGAGCAAACTGATCAAACATCTCAGCATGCCTAGTGAACAGAAGCAGAACATACAACATGGATAAGATAAGTCTCAGGAGACAACTTCATTGTAATTCATTCTTTTGTTTTGGGTGGGAGAGAGGGTGATGGCCATCATTCAGGAGGACTAATTACCAGAACAAAGAGTTTCTATACCTCCGAAAACATTGAATTATTCCCCAATGCTAGATGAGACACTCCAATGGTTAAAGGGATCCGGTAATTTTGTCTTAGATCCTTCAAAAAAGTCCTTGATTTAGCTCATGCTGCAATGATAATTATAAACCTTTAGGTCAGACAGGAACCCCATGAATTTTACAAGCCAATCGCCTGTATGATTATCAAGATATTTATGATTGAAAATCGAAATCAAATTTTGCGTTTGCCAAACGGTTTTCATAACACTACAGTCTATTGGGGAAAACGAGTATAATAAACCGGTCACTCAAAGGTTTTTACTCTTTTGAGGCACTTCTAGATTATTTTGAAGTGCAATTTTTTAAAGGCTTCAATATAACATCATATCGCAGACACTGATTATGCGTAGGGCCATGCATCTCACATTTAATATTGTTAAACAATCCCTTTAACAAATAAAGAATGATAAGCGTGAAGTGCTCTACATCATTGCCATTACAGGGAAACTTCTGTTAGTTCCTTACTTTGCACAAATTTGTTTTTTTGAACTACAATTTCCCTTTCGTGATGTATAAAGGAGTAACTGTAACCATCTTGTACTTACTGTGCAGGGGTGATGATGATACTCATGCATGTGCACATGTACAGCATATTTATTCATGTTACATTTAAACCTAACAATTACAAAATTAATAATTTGTACAATCATGGGGGCACTCAAATTTGATTCAATATTCCACCTCAAATTGCGGATCTTTTTAATACATAAGGCTTGTCTTACCTATCATGAAGATGGCCACCGAATCCCCAAACATAGGCAAACGTGAACATGGATGTGAGTATGGTGGTCTTGTTGGCTGTATGTCTTGACATGCTGCACACACTCATGGATGGGGTGGGTGTGGGAGTGGGGTGGGGAGTCCTTCGGTCATCAGCTGTAAAAACATGAAATGAGGTCATCAAAGGTCATCCTCTTGTGTAAAGTACATTGTAATACACCCTTTCAGGGTTGCAAGATTGCGCATGCGCCAACATGGCTGCCGTATTAAATTACGAGTAAACCAGTAAACTCGTGTTTATACTCATAATTTAAAATGGCGCCATGTCAATATGATGTGAGCACGCAGCGCAGGCAGTGACGCAACAATACATATGCGCATCTGAAAACATTGATGGCGCAAAGTTTACTCTTAATTTAAAATGGATGCCTTAACCGTGAAGGGGTGTATTGTGATTCGGTACTTGAAAATGTAAGACATATGACTCATGTGCAACTCATTTTACATCACATTCATATTGTCTGCTGATCGATTTACTTATGTGTAGTAACGTCCTTTTGCCTTTCACTAGACAATAAAGTGCCTCTACTCTCAGCACGACTATCATTCTCTTCCTATCAAAATCTGTTATCCTCCTCCTTTCTTCTGTGTTTAACATGTCATATCATTTTTTCTTTGTAGTTCTTATTATCATTCCAAAGAACTCTCCATTTTTCTCTCATCTCTGGATTGCTTTTGCACCAAACCCTTTCCACCTAATGCATACATACATGCCAACATTTGAAAATCAGAAATCTGTACAAATTATGCTATTTTCAAGAAAAAGAGGAACAATCCTAACTCTCCTATTCAATACTACAGATAAATTTGTACAGGAAGAGGAACACCTGCATTAAAATGATAATTATCTTCTCCCAAAAAGAGGAATGTTCCTCTTTAATCTGAACAGTTGGCATGTATGCTAATGTCTTTAACTTTTTTCTTTCCGCTGAGAAATAAAGTCAACTTGCAATGCATCGTTAGGCATAACAACTCTACTTACTTGACATCCAAATGAATACCTGGGCCCAGTCTTAATATAAAGAGTTGATATTAATTGCAATTTATTTGCAATCGATATCAATCTCCAATATGAACATACTATGAACATAATCCTATGCAAACTTGCAATTGATCCAAATTAATTGCAACTCTTTATAAGACAGGGACCTGCTCCAACCCCTCCCCCTTGCCTCCTGGTCCACAATTCTTACCCAGCTTGTTGTCACTGGGAGCTGCAGAAGCATTATTCCCATCGCCTCTCTCCCGAACAAGGTGATGATCACACATGGCAGTCAGAATACGTAGGAACGTCCCCACCTCTCTGATCCCGTGCCCAGTGCGCTGGCCCGACTCTCCCGCCCTAGGGAGGTCCGCTTCCAGGGCGGGGACACAGTGGGTGTTAGAGAGGAAGTCCAAGGTACGGGCGAAGGTGTCGTCTATCAGGTTTTGCAGAAGCTGCAAACTGAACATCACAACAAAAAGACATTTGAGGGCTGAAACTAGAAGACATACAAACAAAAATTCTTCTTATTTTCTGCCCTAGAAAAGTTATGGACATGTGTCTTAAGAGATCTTTTCTTTCATCAATAACCATGAAAAATAATATTTTTAATGATTTTCAATATAAGACAAACTGAGAGCTGCTATCAAAAAAAAACTGTAGAGTTACAAATTTGTGTTTGACCATGAATAATACAAAATTCAGCGGATAAGTAAACTGTAATAATAATTATAATCTGGATTTATATAGCACTTAATATGAAATACTGTCTCCAAGTAATTTACAGATATTATTACCCCAGTCATCAGATTCATTCACACACATTGTGCACCGGCCACCGTGAGGGCATACTGTATCGCAATTACTAACACAAAGGCTTTTGTCATCCTAACAGGCCCCCAATTATTTCCTGGGTATGGAGTTGCAAATGTAAATTAATAACTTGCCAAAGGACATAAGTGCTGTAACTGTAAATGATCTGTTTATTTTATCTACATATCATAAGTGTGACCTCTCCTTTAGAACTGTTTCAAACACCAGGTGCCCGTTTCACAAAGCTTTTTTCCAATGACAAATCAGTGACAAATCTGCTGATAACCAATCAGAAGCAAGGATTTCAGTAGCTTATGACAAAAACTGTCATTTGTCACTGATTTGATGACAAGTTTTGTGAAACACCCCCCTGCTCTGTATACCTGTTGTTGCTGATCTCCCAGAAGGATTGAGCCCCTGAAAACCAGGATTCGACCAGGGACTTCCAGCTGACCACATTCGGGCCAAAGTGGATGACCGCACACCTGGCCATAGTGGCTGGAGACGCATTGGTCACTGTGCTAGTTTCAAATATCAGTGAAGTACAGTCTGAAAAGAAAGACATCAGTGTTGGTGATATTTATAATCTACGATGGAATGCATTGTCCAATTATGAATTAAAGAGGCAGTGAATTGATTGAATTGCCAAACTGATCTCTTAGTGAGAGTCTGCTGATACAGCACATTCATAAATCTGAAAATGTCTCAAGGGGATATGGTTACGATTTCCATCGCACATACAAATAAATATTCACAAAAACTGGATCGAAAAATATTCTTGGTCCTATTTTATTAACAATAAGACCCCTGTCTGCCCATACTGTTTACGATGTTTGGATAACGAAATGCCCATCTTTCTTCTTAAAATTCAACATAGGTCAATAGAATTTTAGGTAAAATACAGGTATTAGAAACAGTATTATCAAGATGATTAAAACATTTTCAACAATAAGAAAGTGGGTTAATGTAAAATGAGGAAAACATGAGAAAATGCAATGTAACTTACCGGGCATAGGAAGCCTTTCACCACTGGACAACATGGTCCTTCCTCTGCCACTGGCCATGCCACGCCCTGTCCCAATCAGACCGGCCAGTGTCTCTGCCCACCTGGGATCAATCACCCCGTCCATGACCACCCATTTCTGGATGATCGTCGGAGGGTTGAGCATTCCCTTGGTGGCGTTCTTCTTCTTGTTCTCCTGGAGTTCTTTCTGCATCTCCTCGGCGGTCTGCATGGACTGACCGGAGTCGTAGATCAGGGAGGTGACCAGGCCGTCCCTCCAACGGTGCCTGGTAGGGTCAAACTCACCGATCAACTGCAAGGCAAATAAAATTTATGATGTGATATGATGATGATTCACAGCATTTGTATGGTGCCATATATCTGTTTAAAAAGAAACATTCAAAGGCGCAAGCTCCTCCAATAAAGTTAGCATTGAAATGTCTGAAGGAAGATGTGAGTCTTGATCAGAGAGGTGACCAGGCCATCCCTCCAATGGTGCCTGGTAGGGTCAAACTCACCGATCAACTGCAAGGCAAATGAAATTCATGATATGATGATGATGTTGATTATTCACAGCATGTGTATGGCGCCATATATCTGTTTCAAAAATCATTAAAAGGCGCAACTGCTCCAATAAAGTTAGCATTTAAATGTCTGAAGGAAGATGTGAGTCTTGAGCGAAGCTTTGAAGTGGTCCAGGTTGTCAATTTTGCAAAGAGTTTATGGGAGGGAGTTCCATAGGCGAGGAGCAATAGAGGAAAATGCCCATGATATTGTGTTATATTATAGATTATAGGGCAGAGATGTTGTGGAATGGTGGTTCATTCACTTGACTTTTAATCATGAGTTTGAGGGTTCCAATCTCAGCCCAGCACCAGTGGCAAGACATTTATCTGCATTTGCCACTCTCTATCCAGGGCCCCCGTCTTATAAAGTGCTGCGATTGATTGAAATAAATAGCAAATTTAAACTAATTGCAACTCCTATCTCTTAAGTACACAGGGCCCAGTTGTCCATGGGTGTCTGGTCAAGACCTACATATTGGCTTAGTTTGATAGTAACTTTGCTAACAAATCTAGATTTTGATAAAAACTGACTAATCTTTCCAAACGTTTTGTGTGTGTTTTTTTCTCAGAGCTCTGTGTTTGAGTGATATTTTGCACCCCTGACAATTAACTTCCCATACATCTACCGTGAATCTTCGGTTTCAAAACGAAACTGCAATCATCGAACCAACCTCTTTCATGGAGAGAGTAGCTGGGTAGATAACGGAGGAATCCACTCTTGGGTAGGATGGTTTCTCTGCTCCCCGGGATGCGGTGTCCATCCAGTGCATGGTTATGAAGGACACCACCTCTGCTGCGCGTCGTAACCGCTCCATCGGCTGGGACAGCTGATGGCGGGGAATCCCCTCCAAGCCCTACACAAAGATTTAAAGGTAATGAGAACAAAAATAGTATTCCACTTTGATATAGCGCTTAAAGCCACACTGTCCTACTTGTAGCTACCATACTTGCTCCCTCTATATAGAAAACTTCCCCAATCGGTGCCTGTTGGTCCCCCATGATCCTCTTTTTCTTATGTTAATTGAGAGCTGAGTTAATGAGATAGCCACTTGTCAGTGACTTAGCTGTGTGGGCTAATCCCTTCTGGCTGCATAAACTAGTACAGCCGGCCTTTAATACATCTACGATTTTTCTAAGCGCTTTAAAGATACACTAGTACCCCGGTCAATGGATTAAATACTTCCCCTCATACTCTGTGTGTACAATCTCCACTTCCTTGGGGGACTTCCAGCCAGGCGTTACTTGACGCTCAAAAACTGTTTGACCAACAATGACGGTCGCATCCTACCTCATTACATTTATCTCATTGCTTGGCAGGCTGCTTTGGCAAGAAGTGAAGACAAGATATGCTATACCGACTATACTGAAATTTATGGTAAGTAGAGTTTGGTATTATATACCCTTGTATACACCCAGTAGGATTTGTACCAACTTGCACCAGATAACTACAGCTATAAGTTTATGTATTATCATGCTCATGTATTCTCATTTTTGACAAGATAGCTTTGTATGAATTTTAAGTCCACCTTGCATCTAATATTAGCCAGAAATGAGAGAAACAGATGACCAATGGGGTGAGGAAAATGCAGTTTAAATATCCTTTTTTTTTTTTTTTTAAATTATGACCAATAAAACACATTTTCGCAACCCCCTGATTCCCCTAGCGAGCATCCACCTATTGGTTTTGACTGTAATCTCATAACATTCTATTTCCTTGAAAGAAAAAAGTAATGTAACACCTTGGGCTATTAAGATATATCATTGGACACATGTTGTTTCAAACCCCCCAACCACTCACCTGTACTTTGGGGCCATGCATGGGGGCAGTGGGTCCCCCATCGGGAGTAGGGGGGTTAGCTTGAAGACTGTTGAGAACCCTACAGAGGGTCTGGTAGCACACCGTCTTGCCACTCCCTGCCGAGCCTACCAAGACCACACCCGACTTGCACCGCAGGGACTCATACAGCTCTAGAACCTAGTGAATGGGAAATAAAAGAAACATATTATCGCACCATTTGAAATCAAAAAATTTTGTGGAAATCCACATGCAGATACTTTTGTGAAAAAGTACATATGCAGTGTTATAGATCTATTACAAATTAAACTTGCAGGTGTTCTATTCATACACGTGAAACCAATGACTTACCTTGGATACATGGAGAGGCGTCGCCTGGAGGCTGTCGGCCACAAACTGGCTCTGAATGGCATCCACCAGGACCGGGTCATGCTCTGCCCCCAACCCCCTCCCTAGCCTGCCCATCCCCCAGGGGAAGAGGCTACGCAGGGTGTTCCTGAGGGTGGTGGCGTGGTCCAGGGAACGGGTGCGTGGGGTCAGGAACAGCTGGAGGGCAAAGACCAGGGCACACTCCTCCCGATGGAGGTCGTCTTGCTCCAGACCAGAGATGAAGTCACTGTCTTCTCCCTTACCAGGCTCCATGATTTCAACTGATACAAACAAGAGTTTTAATTATAATAACAATAATAGTTCCTTCTTATGTAGTGCTTTTCAAGGTCACAGGTCCTCTCAAAGAGCTTTACAGATATATATTATTACCCCGGTCATCGGATTCAGGCTAACCCACACACAATGCATGCATATCTCCACTCCCTGGGGAGAAACTTAACTTTCAAAAGCCCCTTCGAGCATTATTATTCTTTTATTATTCCTTTCCAAAAAATAAACGAATTGAATTCAGCCCTAAGAAAGCTCTTTTTTCCCTTAAGTTAAATAAAAAAGGTCTCAAATGAACAAAATAGAGATCCTGATACTGGAAATCTAATATTTGCATACAAGGGTTTGTTCATTTCAACAAAATGGAGAAGAAAAGCAAGTTCATTTACCCATTACAGGATCCAGAAATGTTTCAAAAAATGGTCCAAATTCAGTAATCAACAGGATAAAAGTAGATGAATACCCCCCCCCCCCCCCCCCCATTCTCCCATAAAAGATCATCTTGTTTGTACAAGGGAGATGTGAGTTGGTCTAGCGGCACGTTCACTTGGTCAGCTCTCTGCCTTACCCTACAAACTGACATAGGTGACCCCGGTTCGAAACTGAGTCACGTCTTTTGGATGGTGACGTTAAAGGTCGGTCCCCAGACGTAAATAATCATATCTGATTGATACTCATCTGTAAAAACCCAATTACCCACACACACACATGTCTATAAAGTTCAATTAAGGGAGACAAGAAAAGTGGTCTTTATAGTACATATTTCAATGAGAAACCATTTTCAAGGGAAACACAAAATGTGGTCATTGTAGACAGGTGGTCTTTCTATACAGGTGGTCACTAAAGCAGGTTTGACTGTACATACCTTCACTGGCTTGTCTAGACATCTCATTGACACTGCTCCTAGCTGATAGCTGATACCGTCTCCTCTTGGAGTAGAGCCTGGAGGTTGCTAGGTGGATGATGCCTTTCAGGGTTCCAACACTGAAGTGGTAATCAGATTCTTCAGGGAACTAAACAACAGTTGGAGAGAAAGAGTAAATATGTTTAGTGCATAAATCACAGCACTTTATGAAATAATTTCCCAATTTTCATTTGTACACATGTATGACACACGCTGAATTTTGCATTTTTACATCCAAAATCATCTCACTTCATGGAGCACAGCCAAGTGCATATGATATTCATTCATTTTTGTGAGTTCTCCAGCAAATAATGAAGTTTTTAATCACAGTCGTTTTGAAAATACACACACATCAATTTTAAGGATGTGGTATATAAATGTAACTGCAACATCCCGATTTCACACTAGTGATTATCTTTGTTTTCACCTACCCTAATTTTGTTCACTTTTCACCTTGATCTTTGCAATTATAATTTCGTTTTAGTGACTTGCACAATAAACAAACACAAATAAAAACATACATGTAGCAAATGATCTTAGACCACTGTTCCTAATCTGTGCACAATATACATATATTTTTGTATTATTTAAAATCACTCTACCCCGTTTTCAATCATCTTGCATAGCTGACACAGCTTGGCAGCTAGCATGGGTGCTTCTAGGAATCCATTATAGATCAAAACGGTCTCTAGGATGATGCTCAGGTCAGGCACTACCATGGCAACAGGTCGCATAGAGTTCTAAGGTTAAAGGTCACAGAGGAAAGCATGGTGTAAAATATAACTTCATGAAGGTTTACAAGGCAATGGGTCATTTAGAGTTCATGAGTGAAAGGTCATGGTGAATACTTATAGTTCATTTAGAGTTAACAACAACAGTTGAAGTTAAGAGACTTCCACCTATTGCCTGCTATGATAACTAGCTTATTGTTTTCAATTCCGTATTTCTTCATTGCATACATTACGTGTTGGTAGGCAGGGCAAGCTGTAATAATTATTTGTCCTACCTAGCAACAACTAATGTATGTAGTTCGTATTCTGACTATTGAAATACAATTAAGTGTAACAGATGAATGAGATAATTTGTATCGAGGCACTTAACAAAGACGTATGCAAGAGATTTGGGTACATTACGAAAATGGTCTATTGTCGAATTACCCACTTATCAATCAAATATTCAAATGTGCGTCTTCTTTTTTATATTCATATATCAAATTGAAAACCTACTACTACATGTACATACATCTGTAAATCATGATGTACACCCCATATTTCTCTTTTCTTCTTTTTTTATCTCTCTTTTACCAATATTTTTTCTTCCATATTTGTATTATAACATGTATGTATCCATTGAGGTGAGTCATGCTATCAAGCTTAATTTGCTTACTTTGTCAACCCTCCTGTTTGATGTTTTTATTAGTTACAGCCAGCCTTACTTTATTCTACATGTACATATATTTTTTTATCATGTATACAATTTGCAATGATTTTTTCGTTATATATTTGTAAAACTGCAAAACAAAAAGAAAATCAAACAGAAATAAACAAATCAAATCAAATCAAATACTGCTAGACATATACCTTAAGGCTATCAGGGATTGGATTCGCAAGGGCATCTCCTGCATTGACCGTCATGAAGCAGTTGTAGTTGACGTTGCCTAGGACCATCCTGGAGTCAAAGTTGACATAGCCACAGTGCTGGGGTTTGTAGCTCCATTGCTGTAGGGGACTGAACTCTAGAGAGTCCATAAGACTGTCCCGAGATGCTGGGCGTCTGATCATCGCTGCAAATGTTAAAGCAATTGTGTTATGATAATAATAGTAATATTCAGTTCTTGTATAGCGCATAATACGTTATAAAATAACATCTCTATGCACTTCCAAAGAGCTTTGGAAATTATTACCCTAGCTTTAGCAGATTTTTGTTAATCAATCATCTTTCTTTTACTTCTTCCACAACTTCATTTTTCGCTTTTGTTTTCTTTATACATACATATCATGTATGTTCATACTTACATATCATCATACGTATCATCGCCTTAGTGTAACAAATTTTATAGCTACATAATTGAACGAGCATTGCAAGACCTATAAAATGATGATTTAAGAATTCTTTCTTTACTCTTAATAAAAAAACCATGCCGAACCCCAACCCTTTTCATTGATATTCTAATATACATCTATGCCTTCTGAAGTTCCTCTCAATTCCTTCATTACAATAAAATTTTGAGACAAATGGCTAACTGCAATTTTACATGTATGTGATTAAAACAAAAAACTTGTTCCTCATTTTCAAATTTCATAAACACTGTATGGGGATTGATTGGAGATGCCAGATAAAAACAGCTATAAATATATGACAGTTATTCTACAAACTTTCATCATGTTTTGTTTCACCAATAAAAGTAAATGAAATGAAGAAATGAACGAATGATGGTAATATGTATGAAAGAATGTAATAACTTTGTTTATCTTTCTGTTGGAATGAAATAAATATGAATTGAATTGAATTGAATATATCTGAAATTTCTACTGCTGTGACTCTAAAATCAAAATCACAACAAGTTTGGTCCACATCTACAACACACACAACTACCCCTGATGAGAAAGGCACTAATAATAATAATACTAACGACAGATATTATAAACATTATGTTTTCATAGCGCATGATACAGGAATGTCTCTATACACTTTACAAACTCGATAATAATAAAGTAAGTTAATTAACCTACTGTAAAAGAATTATAATACTAGTAATGAAAAGGAAAGATTTATGGGAGAATGGGATACTACTAGAAAATAAATTGAAGCCATAATGGTTATACATATGCATCTACATGTACATCTATCTAAATAAAAGATTCCTAATACGGGATTAAATATAAAGAAATATGATAGATCAATAGACATGAGAGCAGAGACAGTGATGACAAAGCTGAGTTGCATTATATCTAGAGCATATTGAAATAGGCATCTGATCTGCATCTAAAATTGTAAAGTGCACACTGTGTACGGATATATAATCATAATACTAGTAAAGAAAAGAAAAGGTTCATGGGCGTATGGGATACTACTAGCAAATGAGTTGAAACACATACAGTAACAGGATAAGGAAAGCACAGGATGTTTTGCTATAAATGCAGTGATATTTCTCTCCAGCTCTACAAATTTGCTTGAATGTCAGAGCCAATTATAGTCCAATTTGAAGTTAACTATAGCACTCAAATCCAAAGCTAAGTTCATATTCTCAGACAAGAATTATTTACAAGCAGCAATTGGCTTGACCAAGTGTATCTTACTACTTAATCCAAGCATACATTGCAGACAACTATGATACCTGTATGGTTACTATACAAAGACCGCTCAAGGGAAATATGAAAGTGGTCTTTATAGACAGGTGGTCTTCATGTACAGGTTTCTTTAGTACAGGTTTTAATGAGAAATCATTTTCATTGAAAATAACAAATGTGGTCTTTTTAGGCAGGTGGTTGCTAAATCGGGTTTGACTGTATAGCTATGCTACGATGGATGAATCAATTATACATGATGTATTAAATTGTCTGGGTGACGTTATTCATAACTAATTGGCAAAATGAGTGAGGCACATTAATCTACGCATTAACTAAATACTGGCCATGCATAATGAGTTTATGTTACAATTACCAACCTCCATACATAACTGTAGAGTAAAAATAAGGTTAGAAAAGACAACAATAATAGTATAATAATATTTTTGTGATTTACATTTATGACTTTTTTTTTACAGCCATGTTTATTAATGCGACAAACAACAATAATTTTATAATCAGGTAGAATGTTAATGTGAATACAGGCAAAGCATGGAAATGTTTCTTATATTTGTTCATATTAATGGTTTCAATGGTGTCAACATGTATTAGTTTTCTTGCAAGTATTTTCATCCATTATCAAATATTTTGATTAATTTGCAGTTACTAGATTTGATTGTACAAGAACAATGAGTGAACTGCTATCGCAGGAACTTGCCAGCACAATGACAAATATTAGGGAGGCACTTAAAATGTGCTTGCAAACTTTCAATAAATAATGTTAAATGGTCTAGGATGTATGGATCAAGCTAACAATGACAACAACAAAAAATAAGATTTGTACAGTTCACATGAAAACAGGTCTTACTAAGAAAATAGCAACTTGATCAATATTCATATATCTTTCGCAGAGTAAATACTTGGTGAACCGAACCTATTTAAACTTACAACATGGGTTAAATTGAATGAATATTCAATATATTTTGACCTCACATGTCTTTATGCGGAAAAAGGCAAGTCCAAAGTATTAGAACTTTTCGTGTTCCCCTCATTAATAAAGAAAGTTACATAGAATATGACATTTTGTTATATGTATTTGGTCTGATCCAAGCCATATTGATATAAAGGCAATCAATTTTACATAATCATGAGGCATGCTGAAATCTCTAACAAAGTCAGTAAAGTCTGGGATAAAATACCTTGCAATTTACTGAAGTAGATAAGTCTTCATTTATCTTTCCTCTTGTTATTTTCTTTCTTTCTTCTGGGGGGGGGGGTAATTTCCACTCTCATTATCCAGTTCCTATCTATCTCTCTTTCCTTAATCATTTGTTCCATAAAACGTCATGTCTGCAAAGCTTATTAAACAAACTTACCAGGTCCCTGCATCTCTACGAAGAGAGGTACGGTTGGGACATCACTGTCATAGTGGTCTCCACGGGTAGACTGGGCTTTTGAGATGGAGTGGCGTCGTTTCCCAAACTGACCCACATCGCATCCTTCATCCTCGTCCCCTAACACATCGTCAAACTCGGATGGTCCATGCTTCTCCTGTAGTTGTAAAGAGTATTGAACGAATCACAAAATATACTGATGCATTCAAATGTAAAGGCCTAAATTCACGGGTGGGAGGGGCTGGGCGGGGTACAGTGTAGGTTCAAATATCGCGAAATATATAACCCAAAATTTGGACCGCATTATGGCCTAAAATGTGTGTCTGTATGTTTCTATGCGTTTAAAGCCTGTTCACTATACTTTGTACAACTAGGCTTAAAGAAGATTACACCATGGTATAAAACAAATCTCTTTCATGAATTGTAGTCAAAGTGACTTCTGGAAGATGCTATAAGTGTAAAGATGTGTGCACAATGTGTAATCCACAGCAAAATGTTAAAACAAAAAAGAAATTTTCTCAAATTTACATATCTTCTCTGCTAAATGCTCCCTAAAAATGCATATATCATTTTTTTTTGTATAGATCCTCAGTCTTCCTTCAAACGATTAGAAACCATGAAAGGGATGATGAAAAAGTGACAGTTTAAAGGTAAAGACCAGTTATGGTCATGCGATTGCATTGTGCAAGAAACGTTGTGGAATCGATCAGAAAAGGTTGATCATCTAGCATCTAGCATCTGCAAGGTTCTGGAATCATCAAAATGATAAGAAATTTGGCCCATTCTTCATAAAGTTACAAGCACTATACACAGAAAGATGTATATGGGACTACCCTATATCTCTCACAGACCATGAGAGAAACAAATTTACCAAATATATGAATTAGTAGGCGGTTTCACGGCAAATTTTTTATCATCATGTATTAGTCAAAACATATTCTTTCACATGATTGGTAATGAGAGCTTCCATTTCATTTTTTGAAATTGGGGCGTTTCCAATACTGGTCTTTACCTTTAAATCCTCGATAATAAATATCAGACTTACATTTGGAGATGATGGGAATGTTGTTGGTCGCTGGGTGTGGCTTTCATCCCGTACTTGGTAGGAGTGAAGCGTTGCTAGGGAGTGCCTTCTCTTGGGACTGAATTCAGGAATCTACAAGAAACATACAAATTAGAAATATGTACATACAAAACATATTAGGATAAATGTACATTCACTCATTGTCGACATTGATGTACAGTATGTGCACAAAATACATGTAAGCATGTTTAATTGAATATTCCTCAAATTTATTCATTTCATGTATTTCTGATATATTTCATGTAAGGATGTTAGGTTGAATATTCCTCAAATTTATAAATTTCATGTATTTCTCATATATTTTATAACTGATCACCAGTAATAATGGATGCACTTCAAGTAGTACTATAATAGGCCTTTTGAATGATCTGCAAGACTAGAGGTACAGTACAGTATATTCAATGAAACCTGCTAAAGGATAATCTGAATTGTTCATCATGTAGCAGATAGTTTTTTTGGACCAGCATAGAGAAAGAAAATAACAAAACATGCTGGAAATCACTTTCAGTACAAAGCACAATTAACATTTGTGCATATGGAATTATATACAAAAACACTAGTGTGCTTGAATGCACAGAGTGCAAATGATTGTTGCTGGAGCAAAAGCCAGGGTACAATTTATAAAGCCATTTGAAACTTTGTATCAATTTATATCATTATGTGATATGATCTATACAATGTTTCTATTCATTTATATAGCCAATGCACATACAACCTATTAGGAAATGATAGTTACCTTGTAGTCATGTTTACTGGCTCCTTTGTGACTGTAGAGGGAGTTTGTATCTTGAAGAATGTGATAAGCATGACATAAATACTCCAACTGTTGACTTATCACTGCCATAAGACCTGCAATGCAAGATACAATGTTACAAGTAATTGCCATTCCAAAAATATAACATAAATAATTGTGTTGTTTTTGTAGTACCGTATTTGCCGGCGTAAAGGCCGCAGTATTTTTGGAAGAGAAAATATCAAAAAGTCGGGGTGCGGCAAAACTTCATACAATAAAATATATTAACAAAATTGACTTGAAAACACATCGGACAAGATCTAGTCTGTACCACGTCAGCAGCAAATTTGAAGAAGTTATCTTTTTTAATCGTTGTGCAACCAAAGAAATAAGAAGAAAACTGACCAGAAACTCGTACTTGTAAAGTTGTAAAAATGTCCTTAAGAACACCGATGGATTGCGCGCTGTGAATCTCCGAAGGTGCGTTGGATTTGTTAGCAACTCCAGCCCCGTAGCTCCCCACCACAGAGTGTGTGAGTAAGGTATGATTTTGGTACCTTACTCACACACTCTGTGGTGGGGAGCTACGGGGCTGGAGTTGCTAACAAATCCAACGCACCTTCGGAGATTCACAGCGTGCAATCATCGGTGTTCTTAACTTTTCAGTAAGATAAATCTGAATTATAATTGAGACTATCTAATTAATTAAAGCGACAAACTAACCTCGGTAGATCTCTAATAACAATACAAAAGCTTGTTTATTTTCTCCATTTGACGGTACGATAGGGGTAAGACCGGATAACATTATAAAAAAGATACATCCTTCCACCATGCTTCCACCCTGCGATAGGTTGGCCATTCAGGTTTCTGTATGGATGCGAAGCGCCCTCTAGTGTCTCATGAATGTGCTAATCTGCCTAAAAATCGATGAAGATTTGCTAAATTACGATCATTTTTTAGGTAAACTTCCTATTTATTTATAAAATGATTGATAATTTTGGTATTAGTTTGTAGGAAAAATAGAGTTCTACGGGAAAATTACAATTATTTTCTTTGGTCTTTTTTTTTTTTTTCTCTACGAAATGTCAAAGTTGGGGGTGCGGCCTATGCGGCGGTGCGGCCTTTACGCCGGCAAATACGGTACATTGTACATTTCTCTCTCTCTCTCTATCTCTCTATTTTCACATATTCCGCAAAATCAATCCTGCAAATATTCTATTCTTAATATATTGCTCTTTTGAGGTTACAGTGTACAGAGTACCGTGAGGTCTTTACATACATATTTCACTTGATACATCCTACGCAATGTCAGCCTCAGCAAACTAAATTTAAAAAAACACACAGGAAATACATGCACAATGTACCATTCAAACCTCGTTGATATCAACTACTAAATATATTACTGGAGGAGGTATGATGGCTCATTGGCATAGCAGTGATCTGGTAACCAAAATGTTCTAGGTTCAAAACCAAGTCAATGTGTACACGGCTTTTTACAATGCATTAATCCATAACATTAAAAAAGTTGTGGATAGGACTTAAAACCATGGGTTCCCTAGGTTTCTAACCAATACATGTACATAAATACTTTCTTTTCTTTGCAATCAGGTAAAATCAATCAATCAATCAGACTCACCATGTGTCATCCTGTCAGCATTGTCTAAGAGCATCCAGGAACCACTCTGTACCGCTCCTGCTAGGAACCTACTGACCGTCACGATACTGCTGTCCACTGCACAGTCCAACGTGACTAGATTCTGTCCCATAAACTGTAGGAGTATAGAGGTAGGAGATAAAATCTGTGTTAATACATCTTTTAATCTTTCAACGTCTATTTTGGGTTTTTTTTTTGTTGTTGTTGCATATTCAGGTAAGTAAATGTGTCAATATACTCTGCTCTTGCATTTGAGCCATTTCAAGACCGCCCTGGTCTTTATGGTACCCTTCATTAATGTGTATGCTTTTATGGGAATTAAATAAAATTGAACTGTGTATGTGTATTTCAGTCAAACCTGAGTCAACGGCAACCATCACAGTAAGACACGACCCACCTAAACTTCCTGAAATCCTAACTTCAACCCTGGACTAAACACCACAACTAACCCCATTTCTTAACCTAAGCCTCAGCCTAGGCCTAACCTTACTAATGAAAGCCTGGAGCAATTGTAGCTGGAGCGAACATTTGATCATCAATACCAAATCTTAATAAAGACCACTGAAAAAAATTCCATTTTAAAAGCCTGAATATTTTTTTTTAATAATTATGTCTACCTGCCTCTACTTTTGCTTCTTTTGAGCTCTCTATTGCATATTGTGCAGATTTGTCTGTACTATGAAACTTTGCATTTAAACAAAATTTAAAAAAGAAAAACAAAAGTACAATAAAAGACTAAATAAACTATTCTATTCTCTGTGTGAACTGCTATCCTCATTTAATTCTAAACAATATTGAATACGAGTTAAATATCTCCAACTCACAGTGGCCAGTTCCTTGACTGTTTCCGTCTTTCCCACACCATTTGGACCAATGACCGCACCACACTGTCTCTGCCTCATTGCAGTGGTCAAGCTCATATGGCATCTGTCGGTCAACGGAGTGGCCACAAGGCGAGGCCCAGGCCCCAGGTACTCATGGTCGTAAGAGAAAGTGGCTCCCAGCTGGGACACCCGCAGAGGCCCGAACGCAAAACCTGTCCCTACCACAGTCTTGGTACGAGGTCCTAAAGCAGCTTCTGCAAAAGGAACAAGATAGAATATTTTTAGGAGACAAAATAATAGCATACTAGTTTTAGAATATTAGAATAGGCAAAATGTGTTCTTTTTCTAAAATGGATAAACACAATAAATTTGACTGCGTCTCCTATATGCATCTTCTATGATTCTTCTTTCTTCTTCCATTTGAGTACATCCCTCTGTACAGAGTATTGTCGTACTATACTGGGGTGTGCAGGTGGACCACTACACAGGGGTTTCCCCCTGCTCCAGGGGTGATAGTGAGCACTAAAAAAAAAATAGGTTTTTTGTTTTCCCCTCAACCACGCCCCCCTTGAGTAAAAAAAAAAAAGGCGATTCGCGGGGAAAAAAACGGCATCTAACAACATTCCCCCCTTTCGAGTAAGAAAATTGGGAGAAAAAAATAGGGCAAAATAGGGAAGAATAGAGAAAATAAGGGGGGAATCAGGAAAATCAGGATAAAAAAGGGAAGAAAAAAAAAATCTGGTAAAAAAAAAAAAAAAAAAAAAAAAAAAAATCTTTTTTTTTTTTTTTTTTTAAATCGGGAAGAAAAAAAAAATCGGGAAAAAATCGGGAAAAATAAAAAAAATCGGGAAACCGATTTAAATCGGGTTTTTATCAGGCCTGCCCTGCTCTTACATGAATAGTGCAGTGGGTTCTTAACGTGCAAAGATATTGACTCTTCTCTGCACAGGGCCTCCATTTAATGTCCTATCCGAGGGAGGGATTACAAATATTATAAATTAGTGTATGTGCTATACCTCGTGTTTGTGGTTTATCTGTTATCGTGGAAACATCATCGGTCATGGTAATCGTGGACTTAGTAGCTTCCCTCCCAGTCTCCTGGTCGGGTTCAACCACTGACTGAGCACACAGGACTGTCTTGAAGTCCATGTCGTAGCGTAGCAGCTTCTTCCAGTCAAATTCCTTGTTGGACAGCTCTTTCTTCTTTAAAAGATCTGTTAACAATGGGATGAATAAATAGAAAAAAATTGGTAAGACTTTTTTTAGTTTTTCTTCTTTGAACAATAAGAAAAAAAACTTATTCAATGATTTAATTCTTGACTTAGTACACATGAATCTCTTGACATCCATGTCACAGTCAAGTAGCTTCCTCCATTCAAAAGTTTTTGTCTGAGAGCTCTCTCTTCTTTAACAGATTTGTGAACAATGAGATGCAATTTCTAAAATTGGGGAAGTCAGTTTTCATATAAGAATGAATTGAAAGGCTCATCATCATTACCGTCATCATCATCATCATCATCATTATTATCACCATCACCATCATCATCGTTATCACCACCATCATCATCATCATCATCACCATCACCATCACCATCACCATCACCATCACCATCACCATCACCATCACCATCACCATCACCATCACCATCACCATCACCATCACCACCACCATCACCATCACCATCATCATCATCACCATCACCATCATCATTATCATCATCATCATCATCATCATCATCATCATCATTATCATCATTACCATCATCACCATCACCATCACCATCATCATCATCATTACCATCATCACCATCACCATCATCATCATCATCATCATCATCATCATCATTACCATCATCATCAGTTCCGAATATCATCCATTTTCTCCACACTGTGGGGTTGGATGTATAATTCCTTCAAAGCCTTGTTCCTTGCAATCAGCTCTCTAGCATCGCGATTATAACTTCAGTAATTTGTACAGATTAAAAAAGAACTTGATATCTCGTGCTCATTGATGCAGTTAAACCAGGTTTAACTTAATCTGCCTTACTTAGCCTAAGATGTTTACCTTCCACGATGTCTCGATGGTGCATGCCTTGCTCAATCAAAGAGCCAATCAGAATCTGAAGACGAGCTGCAGAGTTTGATGACACCTGAGACTGGCAGTTCTCTCTCAAGATCAGGCTGTACTGATCAAGACGCCTCTGTAGATTATCCCTGTCAAGTTTTTAAAGAAATAAAAATCTATTGATGCACACAATTGTGAGATCTGTGGTTAGGCAAATAAACAAAAACTTGTCTTGGGGTAAAATATAACCCTTGGGTGAATCATAAGAGGTCCAAAGTGCAGGAAAGTAATCAAGCACATCAAGAGCCCAATGCACTCTTCATTAAATGTAGGGAAAAACCCCATGTTGTGCCGGTAAACCTGCACATCCCAATCAGATATACCAGGAGATACTGAGAAGATGGTAGTTAAGTTCACTTTCTTGGCGATTCAACATTCACTCCAGTAGCATTTCATCAGAGATACAGGGTTAGGTTTAGGGTTAGGGTTGCAATAAGGTTTTAGGTAAGCTCTAGGATTAGGGATAGGGCTAGGTATCGTGTTCTTATTGGAAATTCGGTTAGTTTAAGAGATTAACAGGAAGACATTGCTGCCAGAGCATATGTTGCAGGATCATTGCATCATATTTATGACAGTATTTAGCATGACAGGAAATGGGAATAAGAGAGAAAAGACAATCAAATCAATTCAATTCTCATTTATTTCATTCTGGATTAAAAAATTGCATTGATACAAAAAGTACAAAATAATTCATAGACAAATTTAGAAAATGAAATGGGGAACTACATTAATAAAGCCCTTATAAGCGTAGTTCCCAAAGCATCAATTACCTTATCTGAGCAAGCTGTTTAAGATCGCCCTCTTTGACGGCCGGCTGCACATCTCTACTCCACATCACCGCTTCCCCCGTAAGCACACACTGCGAGGGGAAACGAAGCAGCCATTGGGAAAAGCTCTGACGAACAGCTTTCTTGAGCTGAGCCTCTACGTCAGGGTCTGCTGTAGGGTTCTCTTCTAAAGCACTCAGCTCTGACAGGATATCTCCAGTCACCATGCCTGTGGGCGTATGGACAAACTCTGTTTAACTACATATCATGACCGATGCATTCGAAAGCACCATCTTTTCATTCCGGTTCTAGGACACCTACTGTACCCCCTGGACATCCACCCCGGACAACTACCCCCAGACAACTACCCCCTAGGACGACTACCCCCCTGACAACTTACCACGGACAACTACCCCCTACGACAACCATCCTCTAGGACAACTATCCTAGGGAGTAGTTGTCCCGGGGTGTAGTTGTCCCGGGGGGTAGTTGGCCCGAGGGTAGTCGTCCTAGGGGGGCAGTTGCTCTAGAAAGGTAGTTGTCCTCGGGGATAGTTGACTGGGAGTTGTTATCCGGGGGGTGGATGTCCAGGGAGTAGGTGTCTGGATATGCTTCATTCCGTTTAAAAATCATCATATAAATGTAAAGAAATGTCTTTTATACATGGTTTTTACAAACATGTATCATTCAGATTACATGTATGTATTCAGTATTCAGATATGATTATTTTCCTTCTGGGGACCGACATTTAACGTCACTATTCTTGACTGTGACTCAGTTTCAAACCTGGGTCTAATCAGAATCAGTTTTTTTTAGGCCGAAAGAGCAAAAGAGAGAACTGAACGCTGACATTAGCGCTAGCTTTAAGTCTTCTCCAAGGGACTTGGTAATGAGGATAAATGCCTTACCAAAGGGCAATAGCGCATTAACTTGGTTTTGAATCCGGGACTTCCCGGTAACGAGACCATTGCTCTACCACTGCGCCATCGTGCCTCGTTTATTTATTTGGGGCGAGGGGGGTTTAAGAGAGAAAGGTTAGTATTCTTACCTTCTCTTAGCCTTGACTCCAGGCATGAGTGCAGTGTATTTCCCATGGTAGTCTTGATCGATATCTCTAGGGAGTTGAGCCAGGTGGGAGGAGAGGGCTTGGAAGGTAGAGGAGAGATCAGGCTCAGACGTTCATCAAAACACCCTCGAAGGGCTGTCACTTCAAGCTTGTCAGCTAAAAGAAAGAAGTTTATTTTGTTTATAGGTCAAGTTATTCCAAAGAATAAGAGTTAAGAAGAACTATAGAAAGGACTGGTGAGCTTCTCTGAGAGCTCTGCTAAACGAATTTGAAACTACCTGTACATAATGTACGATGATAATTTGGATTTGCAATCAAATCAATCAGAGCATATGAATTGATGGAGACTACACATACACTGAATTAACAAAAAAAGTTTGATCTAAAAAAAAACTATGCAAATGAAATTAAAGCCCATCTGCAGTATTTTGGCCTGGAGGGATTGGACCTCCCTACATGGTCACTGGCAGGTGGTTATCTCATCAAATCAGCTCTCAATTAACATAAGAAAAGGGGAATCATGGGAAACAACGAGTACAGCTTAGGCATTGTTTGCTATATAGAGGGCGCAAGTAGCTACGAGTAGTGCAGTCCTGCATTAATTTTTATAAAGGAATCACTACAGGAGGAATCATCTAAAACCAGACTAAATCCTCACCATTCAACAGCAGATCAAGGGCACTCATGCCCTCTTCAGAGCTCGACGGAGCCTCAAAGTCTAGATGACGGACTCCTGGAAATAGCGCCCTCACTTGAGGGATCCACCTAGCCCTGTCCTTGAAATTCGAGAAGAGATCGATGAGCTCATGATTACTGAGGAAGGAAAGACGTGGGTACTTCAGACGAGCCGTTTCAATGGAGTAATTGGTGGCTGAGAATGGGTCCAGGTTGGCTAGAACTTCATCCTGATATTAAGAAAAAGAAGAAATATGATTTGTTTAGAGAAGAGATCATTAAGCACATGATTGCTGAGGAAGGCCAGATGTGGGTGCTCCTGAAGAGCTGTTTCAAAGGAGTACTTGGTGGCTGAAGTTGGTTAAAATGTCAATCTGATATAAAGAAAAGTAATAAATGTCATGTAAGAGAAGAAATTTGCTAAAACATTAGCCTGAGCCCTGCCTTGAAAGAATTGCACATGATCCAGATTGATCAGAAGTCCTCCAGTCAATCCTAAACTAACAATCTCTTATCTCCTTAGTACAGATTTGAAATTGATATAAAGTTATAATATCCCTGATAACCCTAAAGGCCAAGAAATGGCCCTGATGTACAGCAAAGAAGAAATGTCATGTAACTTAAGAAAGATCTTGGAATTGTTTTTTTTCTTCTTTTACTTCTTTTTTTACTCTGTTGATGTGAGCATAATTTTGATCTAAAAAAAACTCCTTAAAATTTAAAAAGTACTCCAAATCTCCATCTTCAATGGAGGAATGTAATAGAACTTCTATTGTAACCTGTTCCAATACAAGTTGTCAAACAAAAGGATATTCTACAATTCTAGAGACTGATAGAAAGTGATGAATAAAATGAAAAAAGTGGAGTATGATTCATTTGTATTGCTTAACATTGCCTTGGAATACAGCTAATGTAAGAAAGATATTTGTCACATATAAATCAAATCATATTCAACAGATAAATCTAGATATTAATATACAATTATATATACAGTCATGCTTTTCTAAAAGTATCCTTTTTAGGTTTCTTTTGAGTACTTGCCTGGAATCTGATGAGATTATTGAGTAGTTTGGTCAGACTATCTCCCTGTAGCTCTCTGTATCCCTTGGTGCCCTTTCTCTTACTCAGAACAGACAGGACCTTTGGGTCTTCAACCACGGTGGTGATGAACTCCTGAAGCAGAGACAATAGAGAAAAGTATGGTTAAAGCCCCTCTGCACTAGTTTGGCCAGGAGGGATTGGACCTCGCTGCATGGTCACCGACAGGTGGTTATCTCATCAAACCAGCTCTCAATTAAAATAAGAAAAGGGGATCATGGAGAACCAATGGTCACCGATTAGGCATTGTTTGCTATTTAGAGGGCGCAAATAGCTATAAGTAGTGCAGTGGGGCTTTAATGTTCATGTAATCTTGAAATTGTCCCAATGCAGGTAACTTGCACACAAATGGCTTATTTTTACTTCAATGCATGGTTTATCGTTCACATCCCTTTCAAGTGAGAGGATGAGATACAATGCTTGCCTAGTGCATACAAGTATGTCCTTTGTAGCCACAACATTTCATCCATAGTGTTCATACTAATGTGATATGCATAGCTGACCGGAAGGTAAGGATGGGGAAGTATCATATTTCCATGCTTCCTCCCCTCTCTCCCTTTCCTTCATCCCCCCCCCCCCCTTTGAAAATGGGGTATGTAAATTGGCAGCCAAAACCACCCCCCCCCCTCCTTAACTACACCACTGGCTGCAGTAGGAAACTGTGAGGCACTCACCTGGTACTTCTGGTCGACACCCTCAAACTGCTTGGCTAGATCTGACTGACTCTCTCCTACAATCTCATCAGAGAAGACCTGGCTTAGGTATAACCACTGCAGAGAGATAACAAGAGAAAATGTGAGAAGGGACCTGCGTTATGGATATGGTGAAGGGTAAGTTCAAAACAGTCTTGGGTGTTCGAGATACATGTATCTGTGACATTGCATCTGTAGTAATGTTCCTTAGATTGAATAGACCAGTTTATTTTCCCATTCATGTAATATGTAAGTGATGTTAGCCATTTACAGTTAACTGTGCCCCCATCGGCAAGCTGCGACAGGCCAATTTTTCAGCTCACGGGTCGATATCTTTCAACCAGTGCTGCGCTAGCCACCGAACGAAATTATCAAAGAAGTCCGAACTGTGTGAATTCATTTAATGAGATTAATTGCCATAAAATCAGCGCACATTTATGAACAGATAGTGGATGTCAATTCCTACATACCTGATTTTGGACAAAAATCAATACAAATGGTCATTTTGGGCCAAAGACTTAAATTACTATTTTGTTGTCGATGCCTTAATTTGACTACTTTTTCTAGCATCGGAGCAATGTTTACATAGAATAGGCCCGTTAAATCTCCTTTGCTGATAATAGTGATTTGAAAAATTATCCCTGACTAATAGTTGTGATCATGATGGTCAATTTTAGCCCCCGAAAGTGGTTGAAATGACCAACATGTCATGAGTAGGGTCAATACAAAATTTTGGAATCAGTACAAAATTTAACGCTGGATAATTGACTAAACACTAGATGGCACTGCGGATTGTGAATCCACTGTATTGAATTCATGTAGAAACATAAAATCCTTCTGTTTAATACCTTCTTCTGACAGACGGTCCACAGCTCCAACACGTCTTCCACCTGTCTGAGGGTCAAAGCCCAGGAATCCGCTTCAGGTCGAAGGTCAGCCAGGTGAGGGGACACAAGCATGCTCTGAAGAGTCAGCTGGTTATCCTGTAATCAGTAAAACAGGGGTCAAAGGTTATTCAAAGGTTTAATTAAAAGCTTTATTCTTCTTCCATTTTGAGTACATACCTCTTTACAGAGTAGTATCATACTATACTAGGGTTTGCGCAGGTGGACCACTACACCGGGGTTTCCCCCTACTCTTATACGAATAGTGCAGTGGGTTCTTAACATGCAAAGGTAGTGACTCTTCTCTACAAGGGGCCTCCATTTAACGTCCTATCCGAGGGACAGAGTGTTTTCCACTTAACATAGCCTGCGTCTATGAACAAGGGGAGGGGCACGGTAACACAACGCAGGCTTCAGTCATCTGCCTATGTGAGATTCGAACCCGGGATCTTTGGTTCAACAGGCAGATGTTTAACCGACTGAGCCAACTCGCCTCCTTTGTATGATAATGTTCTCTTTCAAAAAAAAATTTGTAAGCATATTTTGTTTATGCGCTTAGTATCTTATGACAAGGCTCTTTGTAAATGTACATGTAATAACGCTATCATATATATTATCCTGTCCATAATGACATATGACGTCAAGCTTTATAAGTACACAGCCCCTTCTTTCTTAGACATACAGTATAAATAATAATCAATTATAAATTGTTATCAACCAGTCCTCTGTACAACAGAAATAAGAAATTGTAAGTCTGCAATTGATCGGATTTGCGATTAATCCAAACTGTTTCAAAGACAGGGGTCAGTAATGTAAAACTAAATAGATTGACACTTAAGAATCATAATGGAAATTAGAAAAGTATTTTGATCAAATCAATTTAAAATACTGGTTCACCATCTCATGCACTTAAAACTATTTACTGATTTTACATCAATCATGATATTTTCTAAATCCTAATCACTTGTTTTAATCCAATCTGATGTTGAACTTTTCAGACATGCACTAATGGACTCACCTCTAGAAGGTAATCACTTGTTCACCATCTCATGCAATCAAAAACTTTTCAATGATTTTACATCAATCATGTTATTCCCTAAACCCTAATCACTTGTTTTAATCCAATCTGATGTTGAACTCTTCAGACATGCACCAATGGACTCACCTCTAGAAGGTACTTACTGTTTCACCATCTCATGCACTTCAAAATGTTCAGTGATTTTACATCACTCATGATATTCTCTTAACCCTAATCACTTTTTTAAAATCCAATCTGATCTGAAGTTGAACTTTTCAGACACTAATCGACTCACCTCTAGAAGGTACTTGAGCTGTTCATGTCCAATCAGTGTGAACATATCAGGCATTGACTTCCTCCCACCTTTCTTGTCACTCATCTCAAAGTCTGGAAAAAGTGATCAAAAGAGATGAAAGTTGGGATAAATGGGAAACACAAAACATGGAACTTGTGGGTAGCTAAGCATTACGAGCTTAGTAAAACTAGGAAATCAAAAGCAGGTATTAGAGCATGTATATGTATCATTATTGGGCAGCTATTTGGATTGTAACGTATGGGACATTCAGAGACTTTAAACAAGAAATAACAACAGATGAAATTAATTATAAGGCTATCTTTTGGTATGAGTCTTTGGCTATTATGGGCGGTTTGCAGCATCCCGTACGTCACACAGCTCATTAATTACATTACAAATTAATTAAAGAGTTGGTAAAACTTTCCACAAATGAACTAGCCCATAATAGCCACAGACTCATACGAAAAGATAGCCATATAAATAATTTCATCTGTTGTTATTTCTTGTTTAAAGTCTCTGAATGTCCCGTACGTCACAATCCAAATAGCTTGGACCTGCCCTGTTGCAGAATTTCAAAGTTGTGAATTCTCTATATGGCAGTAAGGAATTGATATACATTTACACAATTTGCATAAGTGTCTGGTTTGAAGCAATTCACACCTATAACAAAATTAAAATTACGCTTCATAGTAGCTTGCCTACAGCTTTCTGGAATGGGTTCAATTTGGCATATTTATTTCATTTTGAAATCTGATTCACCTTCATCTACTACTTACTACTAAAAAAACACCACTTTCATCATCATAGTGTTTGTCATATAATCATCTTCATCACCATCAACACCATCAGCATCACCATTATCACAACCTCCATCACTATCATTATCACTGTCACTGTCTCCAACACCACCACCATCTCCGTCAACATAAAGATCAAGTTTATTGCATGATAGCAATCTATTCACCAAATGTTTCTTTTGCTGGTGCAATTTATCTTGGCATGTAGAAATTCTTTCTCCTCAACACCTTTATAAGCTTCACCATCACCACCAAATCAATAAATATTGAGATCATCATCACTACCATCAACAACACCACCACCAAGATCATCATCATCACTACCACCATCATCACCATCATCACCACCATCGTCATCATCATCATCATCACTAGCACCAACACCACTACCATTATTATCATCATCATCATTATCATCATCATCATCATCACTACCAAAACCACCACCATCGCCACCACTACATCACAATCACTGTCATCATCATCATCACCACCTTTATCGCCACCACCAACAACAAAAAGATCAAATTCTCATTATGCAGTCCACGGAAACAAGCTACTCACCGAATGTTTCCTTCCCTGGAGCGATGTACTTGGCAAGTTTGAACTCTTTCTCTTCCCAGACCTTCCTAAGCTTCACCAGTTTCTGTTCCAGATCAAACTCTGCCGTAGCCCCAGCACAGATGGTATTGATCTGAAAGCTGTGCTCACTCAGATTGTAGGAGAGGAGTTCCCGGACGTAATACTGGCGCCCAGGCTCGTACAACTGCCCCAATGCCAAGAAGAGGGACTTCCAATGCCGAGACTTGAAATAGAAATGACAATTATAATAACTGTATTTTAATAGTTCTTTTCAAGTTTGGAGTTCATGAAGCTGCTCAAAGCATTATTCAGTATTACCATGGGCAGCGGATCAATTAAAACTCTGAACTTACAGTCCACAGATAGATTGGAAATAAACTGTCACAAAGAAAATGTATATCAGGCACAGATTCTCCTTGTTCTGCTTGCTTTATACAATTCCTTTGATAATGACTTGATAATGAGGATTGATGCCTTATCAAAGGGACTAGCGCAACAATTTGGTTTCGAACGCAGGACCTCCTGGTTACGAGATCACTGCTCTACCACTGAGCCACTGTGCGTCGAGCACCGTTAAATGAGAGTGAATTGTTTTGAACCCAGGACCTCCCGGTTACAAGGCCACTGCCCTACCACTGAGCCATTGTGCGTCAAGCAACATTAAATGAGAATGAATTGGATTCAAACCCAGGATCTCCTGGTTACGAGACCACTACTCAAACACTGAGCCGTTGCACCTCAAGCAACATAAAGAGAGTGAATATAGGTAGGATGCGAAAGTTAATGTGGTTGGATGAGCAAGTGTGGATTATAAAATGGCGATTGGCTGGAATGCTCCCCACGGAGTGGAGAATGTGCTAACATTGTGGGCAGGTAAGCCTGAATCCGATGACCGGGGTAATAATATATCTGTAAAGCGCTTAGACACATCGATGATGTATTGGGCGCTATATAAAAGCAGAATATTAATTGTTATATACCTTCAGGCAATCACTGGATAGCTTGAGTAGAAGAGGCAAGTCTTCCTTGAAGTCTGAGAGTAGCTGGTACCAATGGGCCAGTACAAGGTCGCCCTGGGGCAACACTTGCTTCAGCTGCCCGGCGGCTTGCTGCCAGTCTGTCACCTTCGTCATAGCTTTAGCCACATTCATCTGGATTGACATTCAAATCAATGTAATAACGATAAGAATGAGTAAGACAATAATAAGAACACTGTTTAAGCCCCACTGCACCACTTGTAGCTACTTGCGCCCTCTTTATGGCCAACTATGCCTAAGCGGTACCTGTTGATCCCCTTTTTCTTATGTTAATTGAGAGCTGATTTGATGAGATAACCACCTGCCAGTGACCTTGCAGGGAGGTCTAACCCCTCCATGCCAAACTAGTGCAGAGGGGCTTTAAGAATAGCTCAAATCACAATACGATTTGAAACCTCAATGTGCTTTGAAATATTACAATTCCAGCTTTAGCCGAAGAAACTGTAAACAGTTAGGACTATCTGCGTTCTAGACTAAAATTTCTTCATCCGTATGACCAATTCACTGCCTCATATTCACCTCCATGAACTAGCCATATTCATCTATTGACATTCAAATCAATGTAATAACAATAAGAACACATCACATAGTTGATATAAGATCACAATACGATTTGAAACCTCAATGTGCTTTGGAAAATTATAATTCCAGCTTTATAGCTCCAGAAACTGTAAATGGTTGGGACTATCTGCATCCTAGACTATTAACATTGCTCTGTCCATATAGCCGATTCACTGACTCATATTCACATGGGCCTTCTCTTTTCAGAGAGTTTATCAGCATAGAACGCAGACAAAATTACTCTGCCAACATATTCAACTGACTTTATTATGTCAAATATATAGGCACGGTTAGGTTGTGATTAAGTTATAGGTTAGGTTGAGGTCAAGTACAGTGTTTTTATTCTTTAAATTTCCTTTAAAATTGTATCCTTTTATGTTATTGTATAATACATATTGTTATTTGTTTATTATTGGATAATAAATTCAAAGTTCATTTCAAGTCAGTACCACAGAACAATTGTCACTGTAGGATAAGTAATACAACTGCAGTGAAAATGTCAAAGCAGTCTTCCCTAAAGGACTGCTGATTCTATAATACGCTTACACATGCATGCAAGCAAACACTTCAACTTCTCATTGGACTGACCTTTCTGAATAGCATGTACTTCCAATCCATTATGCCACCTGTTGTGACCTCTACAAACTTCCATAGTTTGGACCGGACGGTCATGGCCTGGAGCATAGCGGTCAGCTCGGTTGCATTGTAGTTCTGACCGGTGATCTTGAACTTGTGCTGACTGCACTCATTGATTCTGGTGGTCACTGAGGTGAACTTTTCAAAGAGCTAAAAAGAAAGAAAGAAAGAAGAAACAGTCCCATTTATTATAAAATCAGAGTTAAAGGGAGATGGTAGTCAGTTTCCATGTGCAGTAGGTCATAATTCGCTGACACCAGACTTGGTAGAAATAGCATTAATGGTTGTACAAGTCTCGCACACAGCAAACCCATGGTCCCTTCCAGAAATCCCCCCTCGTCTTTCAGAGGGTCTCCAGGTGAGGGAAATGTTTGATAATGATCATATTGGTTTGCAATACCTGCTAGATTTTGGATCAGACCAAATATTAAGTAAAATGATACTTTTGGCACCAATTGATACCATATAACTTGGAGTTGCCCTTTTTCAATATTCAAACATTTAAAAAAACAAAATCAATGACACATATAACAGCCCTATACAGTCCCCCCCTTCTTTGTATAGAGTTATATAACTATACTAGACTATAGAGTTATATAACCCCCCCCCCCCCCCCCCCTCTTTTCATATAATAATAATAATAACTATTTCTTATATGGCGCTTTTTCAGGAGGGCCCTATCAAAGCGCCTTACAGATATATATACTATTACCCCAGTCATCGGATTCAAGGCTTACCCGCACACAATGTATGCACATTCTCCACTCCCTGGGGAGCATTCCAGCCAGGCGACATTTTTACAAGCGCACACTTGCTAATCTAAGCACATTAGCTTTCGCATCCTACCGGGTACCCATTTAACACCTGGGTGGAGAGTGGCAAACGTAGATCAATGTCTTGCCAAAGGACATATAGTTTACTAGCATGCAACCCAGACAAAAACAGAGCAAAGCTTCTTTTTTTTTTAGTGATTGGTCATCTTAAAGAAAAGAATACACATGAAGATACCCTACCTCATTGAGCTTGTCCAAGATCATCATGGGGTTCTGAGATGGATCCAAGAAGATACCTTTAGAAGCCTCACTTGAGATCCTCTTGGCTTCACTGTATAGATGCTGATTTGAAATAATGAATAGCATACAAAAGAGTTTAACATGTTGTCTCAAACGTAATTTAGTTTTTCATAATATACATTTTTCCTGTTTCTGTGTATTTAGGAAAACAAGAAGATACCTTTAGAAGCCTCACTTGAGATCCTCTTGGCTTCACTGTATAGATGCTGATTTGAAATAATGAATAGCAAAGAAATAGTTTAACATGTTGTTCTCAAACGTAATTTCATTTTTCATAATATATATTTTTCCTGTTTCTGTGTACTTAGGAAAACATCAAGCCCCATTTACTAAATACACTTTCAAACTTGAAACTTCCATTAGAAAAGAATCTTTAACAATGTAATGAATTGTATAAATTGCATAAGTTTAATGCAACTAATAATTGAATCATAGGAAAGCCTCAAAGTTCCTTACACCCAAATCAAACATCCATCATTAACAATGCTAACAGTTTTCTGTTGCAAAAATATCTGGTTCAAGTTATCTTCAGTGATGTTGGAATTTTGAATGAGAGTCTGTTATTGTAGACTTAGCAAATACTGATGAACATTGATTAAAAAAAAAGAAGATTACTGAGAAAGATTATGGGAATCTACAGTATCATTAGTCAGGAAAGCTTAAACGGGTACACCATGTGTAATAGTCCTTTCTCTTTGAGAGATGTGTTACTTCTTAAAAGAATTTTTTGTTTTTTTAATTCTTTCATGGGTACAGTTCCAACTAGAACTTGTAGATCCATCGAAGAAAGAGGTGGCCTCCTGACAAGATTTTATAAGAACTAACACATCCCTCCAAGAAAAAATACCCCAGTTCTTCAAAGGACAACACATGTGGTGTACCTGTTTTCTGACTCATCTTCCTCACCATGCAAACCTTTAAAGCCCTACTGCACTGTTTATAGCTACTTGCGCCCTCTATATAGCAAACAATGCCTCATCGGTGACCGTTGGTCCCCCATGGTCCCCTCTTTCATATGTTCATTGAAAGCTGATTTGATGAGATAACCACCTGTCAGTGACCTTGCAAGGAGGCCTAATCCCTCCTGGCCAAACTAGTGCAGATGCTGATGGGCTTTAAGGAACATTCATGGTGTTATCACTACTAAAAAATAAAATTTTAAGTGAAAAATTCTGAAATTACCTGGTAGGTTTCATCAAGGTCGCCAATTTGGATGGGAGTCTGCATGTTGACGAACTCTGCAGCATCCTGAAGCTGAAGGAGGAAGGCCTCCCAGCTCTGCCACACCCCTTCCTCACACTTCTCCTCCTCCGGAGTCAATGAACGATAGCTGAGACGGATCACCTACATACATAGAGATGTGTCGACATGGAAATCATTGGACCACATTTCTTTGGTATCCCTCACTTTTCCTTCCTTTTCCTTCCTTCTTTTTCTTGCGCTTAGAAGCATTTAATATTAAAGCGCTTCATAAATATAATGTATTTTCATTATTTCTGAAAATAAGATGATCCAATTGATTTTTGTCCAAAACCAGGCGAGATTTTTGGTCAAAATAGATTGCCGGGTACGTTTGACATCCATAATACATATCATAATAACTGTCTTATCTCTATTTACATGTACCTGCATTGCATTTCGACAGGAAAATTCAGGACGTTCCCAAAGCGGGAATCCTGCCAGCACGCCAAAGGCTCAAAAAGAGGGGCCACATGTTTCCCCTCCCCCTCCCTTGAATGCCTATACACCACCAGCTCCTAGTCTAAGATCATCACACCAGCATCTTCTTAAGATCCCCAAAACGCGAGTAGCCTGTGGTGAAAGGGCCTTTTCAGCTGCAGCACCTTCTCTTTGGAATAATTTACCTTTTAATTTGAGAATCATAACTTCCTTTAATAGAGACCTTCAAATCCAAGCTGAAATCTGATCTTTTTTAACAATACCTGTACTTGGCACTATGACACTCATCCAAACTCTCTCATTATTTCTACTTTTCTTGTGCGCCTCGGAATAGAATTGTCTAGATAGACGACGCGATATAAATGCCTATTATTATTATTATCATTATACATACATGTTAGCATGAAGTATGAATAGATAATGATGAAGCTGTTGAACCTCGACTCACCTCAAAGAGAGACTTGACATATTCTACTTCTTTCTGTAGCTCAGGCATCTTAATCTTGTACTTGTTGTACTGCTGGGCATAGTCAGCAAAAGCTTTCACATCAGAAGTCTTCTCTTTCATACCCTAGATTAAAAATAAAAGTTTAATATAATAATATTGTTTTAATTCAGGGACACATAATTTGAAATAAATGTTAGAAATCAGATAACGAAATGCAATTTGTATGGATACATAAATACGTACAAAATGGCATAGACATTTTTCAATAAATTACAAATAATTATGATCTTGAAATTACCCAGATTATTGTAATATGAATATCAGAAGTAATTATTTCTGAGGCATTATCTTTCCATTATTAAAAAGAATTATATTACATGTCTTTCATAAGTTTATTTTTTTGGTAAACCTTTCTATAACTTTTGCTTAGTAGTATAAAAAAAAGTCACTTATAAAGAAATGTATTGTGGTAAAAATAAGCCATAAGATAGGGGAAAATGTAATGTTTTTTCTTCAATATTACAATACACTGATTAAAGATCACATTTATGTTTTAATATATTAATGATACAAGGTCATCTGTTATGGTGTAAAGCATGAATATATGAAATACATGTACATTGTACCTGCTTTCTAATTTACAATGCTATACAGAATGCATGTACACCAGCATAATAAAAACCTTTAAGAGCAAGTTATGAAAAATATGGTACATAAGAGCAATGCAACAAAATATTAAAAATTACATACATGTATATCCACAAATGGACGGGGAAATACCATGAAATGAGATGTTTTATAACAGCATTGCAGCAAATAAGGGAATATATTGCAATATTTCATATTTTAATACAGTCAAACCTGTCTATAAAGCCACTTACAGAAAAAAAATTGGCCACTGTAGACTTATGGCCTTTTTAGACAGGTTCTACAACACACATTTATTTCTAAAGGTAGACAAAATCTATGGCCACTATAGACAAGTGGACTTTCAAGAGGGGTGACCACTTAAAGACAGGTTTGACTATATGTACATGCATAACATGAGCAGCAGATAATATACACATGTGTCAATATAGCAAATGGATATGAGGCAGTTGATAGAGCCATAGGTTTAAAAACATAATTAATTCCAGACACTTTACCATCCTCTCCCACATTTAGATCATAGGAACAAATGAAAATAGAGCAAGACCGATCAAACTCCTCTCCATACACAGCATACCACTGTCACCACAGGGGTTTTTAACAAGCAGGTATCGATCAAGTAGCATTTCTCATACACAATAGCAGGGGAAAATAAGCAAAAACATCAATTTCATTTAAAGAAAATAAAAGCAAGCTAATACATAAATCTCCTGATATATTACTTATACAATGTACCTAAAGCAGAGCAAATATGTTAGTGTTTTCAGGCAGACAGGGGACCTTTGTAAAATAAGATAGGATCTGTAGAATACTTAGAGAATACATAGAAAAACTGAGATTTACAGAAGAACCAGTACACCAGAAAAGATTTTTTTTTATATAAAAAAAAACCTTACAGAGGAGAGTGGAAGATCCACAGGCTGGTTAAATGCATAGAATAGAATCCCAATACCTCCCCTCCCATATAAAGGATTCATGTATGTGCTATGTTATGTAACCTTTACCATGCATCCAATGGCTCTCCCAGTTTAATACAAAACGACATGCGACTTGCAATATTTGTGTCACATATCACTACAAGTAAACATTTGTTTCAATTTCTTTTATCATAAAAAAATCTTCCCCCAAAGTCATTTATGAAACACAACTATTGTAAAGCCCTTCATGCATGTAGATAACCTAGATACGTGTATTTACCAATAGTTCTGAGATTTGGTTGTTTTGATACAACAAGCAATATGAGATGAAGCGGAGAGAAAGAGACAAGGCCTAAATGTGTAGCTCCAGAACATTGATTAGTAGTTGTCCAATATTATTATTTCTGCCACTGTCATTGTTCACTTATTCAAACTTCATTAATACATCATCACAAATGTGATTTATTTTTGTTATTCTTCATTTGTTACAAAAACAACATCTTTTCTTCAAAATGAATGTCTGTCTCTTTCTCTCTACCTGGACAATTCATTCAAGCTCTGTGGAAATACAATTAGTATGGATTGCAGCTGCACAAATAGGGGTTTATTATCATTATTATTTTATCGACAAAAACAAAGAAAATCATTGAATACAAAACATGAGTATACATTTGGAAAAGAGTCACATGGATGCCGGGAAAAGAAAAAGTAACTGTAACCCAATGGTCTTCTTTCCGTTTGGGGATAAAGGGAAAAAAGCAAGGATGAAGCGGAAAAGGACATTTTGGATTCATATCACAACAAGCAAAAATAGTCTATGTCACCTTTCGTAGAACGGCGATTTTATAAGGGCCACACTGTAGCATCTCCTGTGGAAGTAACAGTGATATTAATTGTGCATTTTAAAGGACTACACTCTACGATGGAAACAGAATGAGACAGAGTCAGCCATGATTATTTCTATAAAAAGGATTATACCTATCAAAGTCAAAGCCTAATTACAATTAATCGAAACAAATATTTTGCCTTGGGTAGTATGAATGTTAAGATACTGTGCATTTTGTAGAGACTAAACTACAAGAAAACTAGAATGAAGAATAGTCACTCACAACTCAGTGCATGAAAGTTTATGCCTACAGAATTCTAACATTTTGCTATCATATTGCAGACATTTTTTAAGGCTGATATTCATATCATTTTATAGGATGAGAAGACTATAAACTGTAGGAAAATATGAAGGTGAAAAATGTACACGATTTGCCTACAGCAAAGGTTTTGCCTAGCAACCTTTCCTCTTGACCTATATAAGACTTTGAAATGAGTAAACAAGTGCATTTTAAAATTCCATACTCCAGAAGAAACAAGAATTCAAAACACTGAAAAATAACAGAACTAGTTCTTTTCTTACTATTAATCTAAAGACTTTGAATTATGTAGGAAAGAGTAAATCAAGATCCTACCAGATGCGGTACATAATATACATGACAAATAAATCATACATGTAAAGCTACATCAACAAGAAATTTCTATAAAAATATGAAACTTTTGTATAGATTAAGCTCTAAAAGTAATGAAAAACACGTAGGGTGATGTTAATATTAATATAAGAATAAAAATTAGTATATCAACCAAGCTACTCAGACTGGTATGATGTTAAGAACTGTAACCTACAGAAAATAAAAATATAGCAGTAGAGCACTCGAGAGAATAAACAAATTTGTTATGAAATGAAATCTATTGATTCTGACTACTTCTAGACTAACTAAGAGATGGTATCATTATGGTTAGAATAAAGCTCCAATTGGCTGAGTTTAAGTATATGGGTGGGTATTCAATTCCATACCTTGTTTAAGTAAAACTTTTAGCAAAGCATTTGGCTTAGCTAGTAAAATGTCTTTACTCATATCCAGATCACGTTTAAGCAATTCAATTTTCGCAGGCCAACTTTAAGGCAAAATACTTACTGATACGCATTGTGACATCACACAGTCAATGCGCGATTAATGCGTTGCATTAAATGTGCTAATATAAATGTGCGCAGATTACAATGACTGCGTATTAAAACTATAAGCCTGCCAATCAATACTTCCAAAATTATTTTCTTAAGTCTGCTAGGGAGCTTTCTTAAATTTAGGGTAAAATACTTAGCCAGAAGCATCAACAGTTGACTAAATATTGTATCTAAGCTGAAAACTGAGTAAAATACTCATATTTCTGACTTAAGTATGGAAGTGAATACCGGCCCACATTAATTATCTACAGATTACTGACACAACAGCAGATAAATCTATAATCACAACTCACCATCACCACGCCTTTGACTTCAGTCATGAACTCCACAGAAAGGTTCTTGGCCTCGCTGGCCGTGAAGTTTAGAAGATCCCTGAAAGCGTTGTTGAGAAGAGGGACGAGGTCTTCCTGGATCGCCCCGCAGTCAACATGGAAGAGTCCGTTCCGAGTCACAAAGCTGCGGTCCGCATTCTTCACTTGATCGCACCAGTCACGGATTTCACCTAGTTTGGTCTGGGAAGATATTTTCATTTCAAAAGTAGAATGGAAGAGATTTAATTTGTTCAACCTTGACCACATATTCATGACATTTCATGAGTACTTGCATATAAAAATGTGATATAATAGTTAATGATAAATATGTATACTTGGGTGGGGTGAAGGGTATTCTCATATACTGTAATAAAAGAACATGTTCTTGTTCATTGCTTCTGCACCCAGATTGTGGAACAGTCTTCCTCAGTATATTCGGTCTCGTGACCTGCTACCCACTTTCAAAACCCAACTACAGACATAATGTACCTATTCCACATTGCTTACATCTAGCCACTATGCCGACAACTGCACGTAAACAAATGGACTTGATTAACGGTCAGCGCGGACTAGCATTTGCGAAACGGACCGAAGTGCTCCTCACGCTTCGGTTTCACGTACATGTACATTGCATGCACGTTAATACTGCGGTCACGTCATCCATAGTCGTATTATACCCGATTAGCCCCCGAGCCAGGCTGCGGGAAAGACACGTAGTCTCGTCATGCTACACCCCCTTTATAGACAAAGGAACCAACTTGACCCACCTCTATGCTGTAAGCCTGTGCTCTTTTCCATTGCATGACAGCATCCTTGTTCCACTTGCGGGCAAAGCGGTGGATATCAGCAAGCCACGAATGGTCGTCACAGAAACTATCAATTTCTTCCAAGGCTGCTGTGATGATCTCTGTTTCTAGCTCTCTAGCCGATGATATCTCCTCACTGAAACACAACCAAAACAAGAAATCAATCGATTGAGTGATCAGGTTTTTTTTTTTGTTTTTTTGTTTTGTTTTTTGTATTGGGTACTCAAGGATAACATCAAAGCCAACTGGCTATTTACAATCATGTACAGAAATGTGAAATGACAAAAACACCATGTGGTCCACTACAACTCAAATATCTTCTTCTTTTTTTTAGTGGAGGCTTAACTTGTCATGTTTAGCTGCAATTACATATTCAGGTTTATTTTAGACCATGAAAATGTTGTCTTTGATTGAGTGATCAGTTGATTGATTCAAAGATGCTCTGATCTGAAGATGATTTATTTAAACACAATTTTTTAACTTGTCACACATTAACATGAATATGTCATTCTGGCCCTCAAATATTGTATAACGATATAAACTTTTGATTTCAAACTCCTATGGGAAAACAAAATTATAATTGCAAAGCAATTGTGGGTTAAATTCAGGACATATGTACACAGATAACTACCTTCCAATTTTTGTTTATATATTAATAAGTTTGTTATAAATAATACTTTCATATATAAGTTAAAAAGGGAAACCAAAACAAAACAAGAGACTGGTGCATCATGAACAAAAATAATTTATCTTACACAAACAGGTACTGTCATGTCATCCATTCAGACTGGAGTCTAGACTGGTGACCAAGTTCTACATCTTTCACAGTCCTCACACGCACACACTCATCTCTAAATAAATGATACTCACTCTGCCAATAGTCTGTCTGCCAGACTCCCTTCAGTAAGCGGGTTGTACTGTCCAACCATGCGCTCTCCAACAACCACATAGTCCTCCTGGAGGTCGGTCTTCTTGCAGAGTTCGGGGGTCGCGACCCCTAGGTTGTCAGACTCCTTCCTGGGAGTTTCTGTAAAAAAGAAAGGTAAGAACACCACATCATCAGATATATCAAATACATCATAATGTGAAGTATACAGTACATGTACTAGTAAGAGTTTTAATAGTTTTCCAACTATAATGACCGACTTTGTTGCGAATGTAGAGAGACATTATCTTGTTTTTAATTTGTACATATTTGACTATTAAGTGACATGTTGCACTGATGTAACTCATAGAAAGTTCCTTGGAGTCCCCACTATTAGAAATATTCACATCAAATGTGTTCGCATATTTCATGAATAAGTTGATCGTTTGATGATGTACAGAGAGTTTAGGACAACAAAGATCTTCCCAGTGTCAACAAAGATCTTCCCAGTTGGTGTTTAAGGCTATATATCAAGAAGATTTCAGCCTTCCTCATACAATACATGGCAAACTTATTGTAATTTGAGACAGAATTATTCATAGAAACCAATAGTTACCACCTGAATAGAAAGACTACTTTTTCTGTTTTCCTAGAATTACTGACAAATCACTTATAGTATCATGTACATTCAACACTTGCTTATAAATATTGCTTTTCTTGTCACCCTTCAGTAGTCTTTATATACAGGTTTGACTGTATCCATAAATGTAAAAAGAGAAAAGATTCTACCACTTACTTTGCTCAACCAAGAGAGGTTCCTGGAGTCGTTCTGCTGCTGTAGAGATCAATCTCTGAAGTGAAGCGCCATCTTTGACCGACAGTTTAGAAGCTGATCGACCTTCGTCTTCCTCCTCACTACAATACAACATAGGAAAGAACTTTGTACTATATACTGAACATATACAAGTACACATATGATGTCTCGTATTCAAGCTTGCGTGCACACAGTGTATGCAAGATTCAAGGGCAATCCAACCTTTGTAATAAGTTCATTTGTATGAAAGCAGATAAATAAGATAAACACACAAAATGGCGAAAATTTGAAATAAATCTGCCAATTAATGATAGAGTTATGAATGTTTGAAATATGAGATCACTATTAAAGTGTATGGGTGGTATTCTCATAATTTAAGCTGGGACTAAGTCCAGACTAAACAAGAATTTTAGTTCACACTTCTATGGAATGCTAGGTTTCATCTTCCTCCTTCAATATTCATGACAAGGATAATCTACCAAGTACTTTGTTGAAATTCAGTTCATACTCATATTATCTTTTCTTCCTATTTCATTGCAAAAGTAGTTTTTTTGACACTTTTCATTGCAGGGTTAAAATAATCTGTACAGGGTAAATGAGTTGGCAACAGGCACTCCATAAAAGTGTGGACTAAGTTAAGCCAGGCTTAACTTAGTACGCGCTATTGGAATACCACCCATTGTGCTTTTACGAGTGATTGGAGGATTTTAAGGTAAACAATAAATTGCACCTCTTCCAAAGACAAGGTCTAGGTGTTTTTTTAGAAAAAGGTGATAATTAACATTAAAAAAACCTTACTCTTTGTGGAAGATTTTTTCTCGCTGGTTTCCGATCCATCCAGCCGTCACCTCCTCAATAGGCCTGGCTGCATCACTGATGATGTCTGCTAGCTTGACGAGGATTGCATCAACCGTATCCAAGAACATTTGCTTGGATGGGTACAGAGTCAACGCTCCTGGAAAGAGAATCACAATGAATATCACAATAAATGGCCGGAATTAAACAATGAGTTAAGATTAACCTTCTTTGTTTGGACAAATTTGTCTTCATAATCATTACTCTGTATCTCTCTTCCCCCTTTGCTTAATATCTCGCTTAATATATCTCTCTCTCTCTCTCTCTCTCTCTTTCTCTTCTCACAATCTCTCTCTGTCTTCTCTATAGTTCTCTGTCTCTCTCTCTATTTTCCTGTTGTCACTCTCTGCCTTTCTATCTCTTAATCAACATTCCCTCTTTATCTCTCTCGATCTCTCTCTGTCCCTCTCTCACTCTCTCTCTCTCTCTCTCTCCCTGTCTCCCTCACTCTCTCTCTTGCTCTCTCTCTCTCACTTTTCTCACATATATCTTCTCTAAATATCTTCTCTCAGTCTTCTCTCTCTCTCTCTCTATTTTCCTACCGTCACTCATTGCAATTCTCTCCATCTCTCATCAACATAAGCAAACACAAATCTCACAGCCCTTCACAACACCCTCTCCTCGCTCACCATGCATTTTTTTTCTCTCTCTCTCTCTCTCTCTCTCTCTCTCTATATCACTCCAATCTTACCTTTGCTCGTAAAGTTTAGCTTGGCCCTGTAGAGGGCTTCCCGGGGTGCATCGATGCTCCCCACCATGGTGTGCCTGACAAAGGTACAGATGTTGTACCGGCTCAAGGCAAGAAGATGGCAAACTAGGATCTGATCAATCAGCAGAACAAAGTTCCCCAGACGCCTATGATTCGTTAAAAAAACAGACAATGCATTCATTTTGTTGAATTTTGTAAATACATACATGTATTTCAATAATGAGATTTTTACAGTAACTACTTCCAAGGCTTTGTTCCAACCTGGCACGGTAAACTACCCCAAAACAACTGCCTTGGCCAAAAAAATAAAAAATAAATAATCTATTTTACAAGGTAATTAGTGCCAAGTTGGACTGAAAAAAAATTAGCTGCTAGCAACGAAGACTGCATACTCACTTTACATATGTGTTAAAAGATACAAAAATGTGACTCAAACTTTGCATTGGTTGTTTTTATTTGTCCTTGCATTTTTAAAGGCATATTCTAGCGTCATGGGTACAGCTTAATGCAAGGATGAAAGGTGGTTTTAGGCGACCAGGAGTAACAATAGAATTAACCAATTAAGTTGATCTAGAATATATACTGTAAAACGGAAGGCTTACAGAATCCACTTAAAATGATATTTCTGATAATTTATTGACCAAAAAGACAGTGGACTTGACAGAGAGGGGCTTACTAGCCGATTTTAATAAAAGAGGGGTATTGGCCAAGCTTTGTTGAGAAGCTAACCCAGAAATTTCCAAATACATAAGCAAAAGAATGTCCCCTTCTAATCAATGGCCCTCTACTCACAGCCACTAGAACAACATCGGATGACTTGAACAAATTTTTAAAAGTTTGCAATCACATCATTTCAAAAACAATAATTAAAGTAAGTTTTACTAATGAATACAAAAAATCTATACCTTCAAAAGTTTCAGCTAAATATCAAAAGTGTAACTTTCAAACGTATATCACCAAAACAGCTGAACTTTCATGATAATAACTCACTTAGTTTCATTCTGTGCTTTCAGTAGATTGGTTTCTCTTTGTTCTTTCTTCTGTCTCTGCACAAACAATGACTCCTTGGAACTAGAGTTAGAGGGGAAAATGGAGGAAAGGAAGTAGAAATTTCATCTTAATTGTGTAGATGCACAACTAAAATGTGTGCACCTCATTTTAATCAAATATAATCTCCTTGTGCCACATTGCATTCATCATGGGATAGCCAACCAAAAGGCTTAATGATTATTGAACACTTTCCAGTGCAAGTCTGCAAGATTAATCTCTACCTGTGTCAAAAGAGTTGAAATAGAGCCCAGAAATGGGTCATTTTGGAAAGCCACTGTATTGCAGAAAGCAATTCTTATGTGGAACGGTGTATACTGTTTTGTACAAAATTGCAACCAAGGGACCGTGCAGAGATGCGAAGAAAGCAAGTGTTAAACTGTATAGTGTACACCATAGATATTCTTTCAATTGAAAGCCCTGCACAAAGGGATCCATATTGTCCTTTAAAGCCTGAAAACACTGGAAACATTTTATATACTTGAATCCCAAATCTTAAACCATACTTTAGCTTACTAACAACTTATAATAATTCATTAAATCTTCTAAATAAATGCCAGTGAGGTAGAGAATAAACAAATTCTTTTGAATATACTGCAAAAATGGAAATAAGTTTTTTTTCTTGTAAATAAACTGAAAACCGCTTAAACAAAGTTGCGTCGTAGAGAAACGGCCACACCAGAATTAGAATAAAAGAAACAATTAATAGCCCTTCAGTTCTCCAACACATCTAGATGCATCATCAGCCAGGAGGTCAACAATACACATCGAATATCAGCACTCCCACAGAACAAGAGTGCATGGGGCTAAGGCCAAACATGCGGAGCGTACATACTACGCCTTGGCCTTCCTGGCGAGAACATGAACATGCATGTACACCTTTCTGGCGTCTGGGCATGTCTCTCAGACTACTGTTTTGTCTTTCAATCATTTGTATTTCTAAGTGGTATGGTACACTTAGTTCAAAACAGTGGATTACTATCAGCAAACCTACTTTGTATTTCAGATAACTGATTAGAAGTCACAACATAATACTTATATAATATTAGATGGCTTTGAGTGTGGTACAAGAATATATTGTCATAGCGAGAGCCATATATTCATGTATTAAACGAAAACAAAGCGCTACAATATCATTATTAGTATCTATATCAGGCTAAACTAGCGAAATAACAAAATTTGACTTACATGTACCTCAGTAAATATGGCTTTGTTTTTGTGTGCTTTATATATATCGATAGTTAAAGTTCCTGGATGACTGAGCAATACAAAAACAATATTGGTCAGTTATCCGGTTACTGCGCTTAAGACATTGAATATTGATTTATTGTACCACTTGAAAGCCTAATGTAGATAATAATTATGGATACTCACAATAGGGCTTTGTCCTTCTTGGTTTGTTGTTTGCAGAAGTCCAGCATCTCATAGGAGTCCTCACAGGCTTTATCCAAGATCAATTTCAAAAAGCTATAAATAAGAGAACAATATCAGAGAACAAATTTTTTAAAGATTCTTTATAACAATTGAAACTTTTCCCAGGAAGCTTATACATTCAAAGCGGTTGTTCTAATCGCAGACTGATGAATATTAAAAAGTCAGAATTAGTCAGGAGAGCTGAGGTATTTGTTTCTAGTTGTGCTATATGGACCAGTGATGGCTTGGTAATAGTGTTGCTGCCCAGCAAGCAGTAGATGACAGGTTCAAATCCCACTGGTTCCAAGATTGTTTCCTGACTTGTTTTAAATTACAAGATTGATCATGTGATCTTTATCTACTGGGTGCAAGCCACAAATTTATTTACAACAATTAATAGACTAATAATCAAATAACAACAATGATAATCAACTTTATATAAGTGTATGCGGTATATACAGGTACTTTTTGACATAATGTATAAAGGGCCTGTACCAATAACCAAGAACAAGAAATACGCCAGATTTAATAGTTCTAAAAAGAAGTTGATACAGAAAGTATTTTGAGCAATGTCTCCTAATTAACTCAGAAAACAGGGCAAGTGGAAGTTTTCTCTTGTAACATGTCCAATGCAAATACACATGCCTGATTACTGCTGGCTTGCCTATATACATGCAGTCAAACCTGATTTACTGACCACCTGTCTACAAAGACCACATTTTTTGTTTCCCTTGAAAATGGTTTCCTATTGAAACATGTACTAAAGGAACCTGTCTACAAAGACCAGCTGTCTACAAAGACCACTTTTTGTGTTTCCCTTGGGCCGTTGCTATAGACAGGTTTGACTGTATATATATATATCATGAATCAAAGGACTTACTGAAAGAACTTGTTCAGGATCTGCTGGCCAGCTTTGTACATCATCTTAGTCCTGTGTTCAAATTCAGGTAGGGTGAAGCAATGGCTGAGGGAGGAAAAGAGGAAAGATTACTGAGTTTAGTCAGTCAGCCATAGAGCTAAAAATTGCACATGAGTGTCAACGGAAATGGAAACACAGGTTTCATTCCTTCGTTGAGTAATTGAGTACAGATACAATGGATAGAATTATATTCCACACAATAAAGAGCCTGTTGATTTGTAACATTTGAGTATGCCAGATTGAAGTCTTCATTTGCTCACCTTTCCTTTATTATCCATGGAGAGCCAAAGAGTTGTCAATTTCTAGTTGGTTTATGCTCAAACTTTCACTGACATGTTGCTCTCACTTTTCCGCTTCTATCAAAGCCAACTTAAATATCAGGGTGGACTTCCCCTTTAAGAATACATTTATCTTATACTAGAATAAATATATTAAAGCCCATCTGCACTAGTTTGGCCTGGGGGGATTAAACCTCCCTGCAAGGTCACTTACAGGCGGTTATCTCATCAAATTAGCTCTCAATTAACATAAGAAAAGGGGGATCATGGGGGACCAACAGGTACCCCTTTTGCATTGTTTGCTGTATAGAGGGCGCAAGTAGCTATAAGTAGTGCAGTGGGGCTTTAAGAATAAGAGATGACGACTTACTCGAGCTCCAGGGGGAGAAAGCGTACGGTGCCTAGCTCTTGGAGGAGCTTGGAGATCTGGATGGAGGCAGCTCCAAACCCTGGTACAGCCAGCAGGAGACTCTCATGGACCCTCTTCCTGATGTTACAGAACTCCTGGTGCTTCTTACCAGACCTCCATCTACAACAAAAACATGCATAGATACGATGATACTTCCATACTTAATAAATCTTCTTAATAAAATGTAATACTAATATAAATTGTATTTTTAGAATTTCACAGTTCAAGTTTGCACAATGTGAATGACTTTTGATCTGGTTTTTATCTCGATTTTCTGCAATTCTGAATGTCTCTTGCCATCTCCCTTCACTAGTAATAATAAGGACCCCCTTTGTCTGTCTCTTTCCCCCTTCATCCCTCTGTCTTTCTCTTTCGTCCCCCTCCTCTCTCTCTTTCTCTCTCTCTCTCTTTATTTCTTTCTCATCACTCTAACTTTCCCTCTCCTACACCTCTCTTCTTCTTTTTTTAACAAAAAATTTAATTTGATCAATGATTTTTGATATACATGTATGTCATATTTTGTGTTATTTGAATTTGAATTGCAATTGTATTGTATCTATGTGAAATGGATCGCAATTCAGCTTTTGGCTGCGATGACCTTTTTTTAATAAACCATTTATATATAATGAGTTTTGTTTTTGCTTCCCCTTTGGTGAAATCTAGGTGAATTATGCGAAACCAACTTTTGTGAGTCTTACTGTACATGTAGCCCATAATGGTTCTGAGCATACATCATATCGCCTCAATATTGCAAGTGCATCGATCTTTCTATATACTATAACGGTCATATCTAAAAATTTGTTAGCCAAAAATATCCATTTTCAGACATGTTATCATTTGTTGCAGAGATACCAACCTCTTGACACAAACAAGGGAAACGCTCTCTGCGGTCTCGCCTGCATAACGCAATTCAATATGATAAACCAGAACGTCAATCACGTAGCACTCATCCGCATCTCGCAACAACAAATATCGTAAATTTTATGTGGTACACTTTTGAACTGGTCAAAAAATAAAAATTTGATGCCCTGGAAGGGACATAATTTCATTTCATTTGCATAAAGTACCATAAATAATCAATGGAGCAAAATCTCACAATCTGTGTAGAAGTTTAGTGTTCCAAATTTAGCTCTACCAGATAAGGCAAACCAAATCAAAATCAGTCAAGAAATGAGGGAAAAGAAGCAATTTTTGTTATTTTTGGAATAAATTTGCATAAATTACCATAATTAATTAATGGAGAACAATTTCAAAATTCTGTGTACAAGTTTAGCGTACCAAAGTTAGCTCTACGATATAAAGCAAACCAAATCAAAATCGGTCAAGAAATGAAGGAGATGAAGCCTTTTTTGTGATTTTGAATAAATTTGCATAAATTAGCATAGATAATGAATTTCACGATTCTGTGTAGAAATTTTAAATCCCCCTCCTAGCCCTATCATATGAAACAATCAGAATCAAAATCGGTTGAAAAATAACGAAGAAGAAGCATTTTGAAAATCTTAATGTTGATGCCACAACAAAGTCTAAGTTTTTTTTACCTTAAATGACCTTTGACCTTAACTTAGTGACCTGAAATTCTACTCACATGATTGGGGAGACTTCATAACCCTATAGTCCAAGTTTCATTGACTAAGAACTTATACTTTCAAAATTATATCAAAAATTCAAAAACTTAACCTTAGGTTAAGTTTTCGATGATGATGCTACAACATAGTCCAAGTCTGTTGACCTGAAATGACCTTTGACCTTGACTTTGTGATCTAAAATTCTACTCACATGATTGGGGATAATTGATTACCCTATAGTCTAAGTTTCATTGACTAAGAACTTATACTTTAAAAATTATATCAAAAATTCAAAAACTTAACCTTAGGTTAAGTTTTTGATGTTGACGCCGCCGTCGCCGCCGCCGTCACCGGAAAAGCGGCGCCTATGTCTCGCTTTTTGCTACGCAGGCGAGACAAAAAACAGACTGAGTATCCTAAAAAATCAGATTTACCACTAGCCCGTCAGCCCCGAACCAGTAAAATTTCAGAAAAATGTTTGCTCTTTCATTAAAATTTAATGAGAAAATTTTAAAGCAAAGTTTTTGTTGGGGTTGCAGAGGTTTATTCTTACATGTTTCTATGCGATTCTGTTTTTTTTTTTTATGGGTTTTAAAAAATGAAAATAAAACTTCTTTTTTTTTTTTGATTAAAAATCTTTTTTTAAGATTTTAAGATCGTATTTCACTCTTATTATTGCACTAAATACGATTTAATCGTACTGGTTGGCATCTCTGTTGTTGTCTTTCTCGTGTCAATGAGGCAAAAATGATTTACTGCATTCTTATAACGATTGTATTAACCCACCTATTGAATAACTTCCTAACTAGGTAGTACTTGAAGAATGGAATCTTAGTCAGGATACCCCACAGGACAGCTTCTCTGTGCCAGTCATACAGGTTCATGCTGTTTGCTGGTTGACCTTTGACCTTGTGCATGATTCCGAAGCACGACACGATCCAGTGTTCATTGGGGTTGGCCTTGTGCTTGGGCACGACGGTGAACTCGTAGGGCATGAAGTGTCGTGTTGGGGTACGGTTCAGATAGATGAATTTGGCGTTGCCAAGGTGACGACCTTTGCCAAACATCTCCACGACCTCTTTGCCGGTGAGCGGAACAACCTCACTTAGTTCCTGGGGTGACAAATGTTAAAATTAAAAAGAAAATGTGAAATCCATGTATTCTGACATGTTTAAATTCGTAGGTTTTCAATGAGCATTCAATGTTCATGGGAAACAAAAAAATTAATCTAATGGCTAACAGCTCCGTAATATTGTTCTGCTGTTCCTACTAGCTATAAAAATAGTTTGAATAAATACACTTCTTTTAGAAAAGCATATCAATGTAGAGTAAATATGGAGATCGATTCAAGGTATGTACATAACATGTACAAGAAACAAAAATTACTGAATTTCTGTTTCTTCCTAACCTCCATTCCCATCAGTGCCTTAATTATAATCTTTAATATTTTTTCTCCCTCTTTAATCTTCTTTTTCATATATATTTCCTACCTTCTTCTCGTCACCTTTTCCTTACATTTCTTTTTTCCCCCTATATTCTTCTTGTGTTCACCTCTTTGAGATAAAAAGTTTGGCATTATTTATTCAGGGATGCCAGTTAGAATTGATCAGAGGGCCTGAAAATTACCTAAAATGAGGTATTTTGTACACAAAAAAGCCTAAACTACATGTATGGCCAGAAAATAAATCAACGAGGCCTGAAATCAGGCTTTTGCCTGAAAACTGGTATCCCTGTATATTTTTAATTTTTATTTATATACAGAGGGCGTCAAGAAACATGTTTCCCTCTGTGACTCACTGATTCAGCAGCTTCACTGACTGCCAGGTCTTCTTGACGTAGAGGGGGCCCTTTAACTTTCCAAGAAGAGTCCGGAAGCCTGGGCGGGGGTGCTGGTATGCGCGGAGAAGGCACCTTGTCGTTGAGGTCTATGTTCATGGCCGCAGCTGTCAAACCAAGGCCTTCGCTCCAAACAGCCTCATCTGCAGGAGAAATGAAGTTATTTTGAAAATATCATTGTGTGCCCTGGCTTCTTAATTCTTCTCTTGTCACTCATAAGCCATGTCCAGTGCCTGGAACCAGGATCTGACCTTGTCAATGAACCCTTCCAGGGGGGCGTTTTACAAAACTTGTCATCTGTGACAAATGACAGTTTTTTTTTGTTATAATTAGCTACTGAAATCCTTGCTTCTGATTGGTTATCAGCAGATTTGTCACTGACTTTAGTCATTTGTCATTGAAAAAGGCTTTGTGAAACGGGTCCCAGATCTTTTAAGAGTACAGGATTCTGATGGGAGGTTTCAAACTTTTAAAAGCTTTCATCATCTGTTCCTCCTCACAATTACACACATTATCTCCATCCTCACTGTAGCCCCATTTATGCATGAAGACTTTGCATAGTCCTGGGGGGGGGGGGCATTTCACAAAGCCTTTTTTCAATGACAAATGACAAAAATCAGTGACCAATCTGCTGATAACGAATCAGAAGCAAGGATTTCGGTAGATTATAACAAAAACTGTCATTTGTCACTGATGACAAGTTTTGTAAAATGAGGCCCTGTTCTGGTCCAGAGGGGATTTGGACATGACCAGGTGTGCCATGCCTCTCTAGAACCCAATGACAGAGATTTGCTGTGTGCACAGCCAACAGGCTAGAATAGATGCAGTAAGAATAACAAACATTTTCACAAAATCCTACCCCAATTTAGATCTCATCTACAATGTACATACATACATGGAACAAATTTAAATTCACACAATGTCCAAAGTGAGACGTAGTATGAATGAAAATCTGACTCACGTCTAGTGGTTTCCATGACAACCGATGGGAGGACCTCCCGTATGTGCCCCAGGTTGATGCCTCTTGGAGTGTGCTTCTCCTCATCTCCCTGCAATCAGAAAATGAGATAAAGTGTGAAGAAGAAAAAAATTCCATACCAGAGAAGCATAAATTTCATAAAAACAATATTTCAATACAGACAGCTGATTAAGATTCTTAACAGATAAATCAGATAACATGCAATTCAGGGCAATTTCATAGAGGATAATCAGCACTTTTTTCTTTCACAATTGCTACAATATATTTATAGGAATCTAGATTTTTACCAAACGTCTTCATCACAAAGGGCATAGTGACTAAAATATCACCTGATCCTAAAACGGTATACTTAATCAGTAAAGACATGTGCAGACATGATTCCTTCAACTGCCTCAAAAGGGGTTAAAAGCAAAATATGCTAGTAAATCAAAGCAAAGCTGCAGGGTCACTGATGGGTGTGATTTTAAGACAAAGAAATGTGAAGCTCACTATATGTTTATCTCCATGTCTGAATGGGTCTTAAAGCCCCACTGCACTACTTATAGCTAGCTTGCGCCCTCTATATAGCAAACAATATGCCTAATCTGTGACCATTGGTCCCCCATGATCCTCTTTTTCTTATGTTAAATGAAAGCTTATTTGATGAGATAACCACCTGTCAGTGTCCATGCAGGGAGGTCTAATCCCTCCGGGCCAAACTAGTGCAGTGGGGCTTAAAACAATTCAAGCACTAATTTAAAGTATATATTAAAAATGGCCACATATTTCCCATCCCACTGCCCCTCTTAAAAAAAATTATTTTAAAAAAAAACATCATCAACAGCCTATGCACTCACAGGTCTTTCCAGCGTATAGGGATCTGCACCATCTGGTAGAGACATTGAGAGTGGGTTGTATCTCGGAGATGTGCCGGTGGGTGACCTAGCAGGGGTGAGAGGGTTACGATAATCCTTGGCATCTCCTCCTGTCGATTTCAATGCTAGTATAGCCTGTCACAAGAAAAACAGATTTTATATGTTAATAAGATTTCAACCTCATGAATAAAAGGGAGATGAGGTCTGTGTGAATATTTCTTCACCACAACGTATCTCCATCAAACAATCCGACTGCTAGTATATAACAGCCTATCACAAGAAAATAGTGCATATATACCAGGGGGGTGTTTCACAAAGATTAAGATAGTGCTGAGGTCAAACGTCTAACCATCCAGTATTCCACCGTCCATAGCACTATCCGTTTTCAATTGGACGATTTTTTTTTCCCGTTTTTTTTTTTTTTTTAAATCGCTTAACTGAAAACTGTCTGGTTTTGACTAGCGGTTAAACAGAATTGGAAATATCCGTTACAACACTAGATTAAGATCAACTTTAAGTTGGACTTAACTATGGCAGGTTGTTCATGCCACTGGTTGCTCTCAACATTATTTTGTTTTCGTTGGCAAACTTCCAGCCCGACAGCTTCCCACCAAGAGTGGCGAGAGTGTGTGTGCGCGGAACGATTTTGGTTTCGAGAACACACGTTACGCAACTGAGCTGAGCGTGTCATTTTCAGCTGTCGAATGTCTAAGGATATTTTTACATCTTGTTTCATTAGTTAGGCCTATACAACAGTTAAAAAGATAATTTCTACAAATTTGCTCCTACTACCGAGAGTGTGGCGGAAGGTTTGTGCGTGAGGTGTGATTTCGATTTGGGATACCCGGTAAACTTGCCAAGTCCTTCTGACTTTCGATGTTTGTGAAATTGACAATTTATTTATACTGTTTAATGTGCAAGTTTGATGTTCTTAATCAATCTTTCCTGTTCATATTGTTAAGATTAAAAAGTTATTAAATTGATCGTTCTATTCACATTATGAAATTAACATTGTATCTTTGAACTTATAATTAGATTAGGGGCCTATCTGTTTTTGGAAAATTGCCCCTTGCTCTGGTAAATTTCCGTGGGCAAGGGGCAACTTCAAAAAAAAATTGCCCCTTGCTCCTGGCTGCTTAATCTAAGGCTTGCGGGCCGCCGCCTTGTTTGTATGTACCGTAGTCCTCTATACATTCTGTGAAGAAGCTGGTGCTAAAAGTCATGGGAAATTGATCCCGCACAAGTTTCATAAAATACACATGACATCTAATAAAAATAGAATCAATTTTTTTGGCCTCGATGCCCTTTTTGTAAAAATATTTTGGCCTTGGTGCCCTTAAAAATATGAGGTACTCTAAGGCCAAACTGGCCTTGCCCTAAAAATGACGAAATTTAAGGCCTGTCTCAGGATCTCAAAAAATCAAGGTAGTATGAATGGAGTGATGGGTGTCATTGCTTGAAAATTAGTATTAGTAACTGAAGAACCTGTAATGAGATTTCGTATTAATACTCAGCACAGAAACAAAATAGAATTAACCAATACCAAATGTTGGGACTATCTGTCATGAACCACAAAAAAATCTCTGAATTTTCAAGCTTACTTTAGGGAAGAGTTTGGCCACCAAGTCATCTAGATCTGATCCTGCAGTTGGAGTGTTGTACTGTCTTCCCTGGTAGTATGTCCTATTCACATAGTGCTTGAGCTGGGAATAGGAAATAATGAGACATAGATACATGTATGTATGAATGAGTGGTCATGGTATTAAAGAGAAATGTAGATAACAGAAGGGATAGAAAAGTACGGAGCAAGTAAGAATCATGGTCCTGTTGCATAAAAAGTGGCATTTATATTAAATGCAACACTAGAAGTTAAACGCAAGTCCTATTGGTTGAAAATCAAGTTGCATTTGATTTATAAGATTTTTTGTTGTTATCTTTTTAAACCAAACGTTTTATACAATAGCTAGGTCCACATACTTTATACAAAAATTAATAAATATCAAAGTCTTTGCAAATTTGTACCACTTTATTCACATCATTGCTTTCTCAGAGCTTGGGAAGAACAGAAAGAATGCTGAAGTTTTAAAGGTGAAATTCAAAGAAAATCACAAATATGTCAACTAATGTATCACTAGAAACTGGTAAACTAACAGATGGCCATCGTACAAGTTTTAGGTCAACTACATATCGGGTGATTTATAAAAAATACAAATACAACCACCTCCATAGCAGCTTGGATATACGAGAGATTCGCCGGAAAAATAACAATGTTTTAATGACGTCACTATATGGACCAACACTGCCCAAGCAGACGACATCCAATAGAGAATGAACATAATTGCAAAGCTATTATTTCTCAAATTATAATGAGTTTAGTGTATACAAATGTAATGGCATGTCAAACCATTCAAAAGGGGATATGACCCGATGCTGATAACTAAAATCTTTTGCTTGTAAATACACAGGATAGGGGTTAATTAACAATCAAAGAAACCAGACCTTTAAATTGAAAAGCCCCGGAATGATATTATGGACGGCATTTGTTCCCTCTTGAAACGCCGAACATACCCCAGTGTGTGCAGCTGAATATACAATGGCGTCTGATTTTGTTTACAAGCGACATATTCTTTAATTTTTGTATCGCTGCATTTTTCATCAAAATAAAACCATGCGCGGGGTTTAGAGTGAGGCAATAGATTATACATTTAGCCTGATGGTAATGAAGTAAGAGAAAGAACTCAAGAGAGGATGAAAACGCAGGCACTGAAAATGTGTGAGATGTCATGGGACATCGTCTGCTTGTGCAAGTCATGTCCATACTGTGATCTCACACATCTCAGCAGCGTTCGGAGAGCTCTTCAGGTGCTATGCCGGGGCTGTATTTAAGTGTTTTTTAATTTATAATAATCATTACTTCAAATGTTTCCAAGCATTGAATTTTGATAACCTAGTCTAATCAAAGTTTCAACTTTGCAATAATGAAAATAAAGTTAGTTTTTAAAATCAATGAATATCTACTTTAAACAATTTAGTTGGTCTAATATCTATCGGAAGCCCTCAAGTAATCTTTGAATCAAACAAGGCTTCAATTCTGGTCGAGTCATTTAGATAAAGTAACATGAAAGGTTCAGTAGGTGCAAGATTTAAATAATCTGATTTCATTGATACATTTCTGTAAAAGAAAAAAATCACAAAAAGAAAAACCCAAATTTACCTACTGTTACCTTAAACTATTGCAATTTTGCAAAATTTGCTTCTTGTAATTTGATCATCCAGCAGGATGAAACTAAATGAACTTCAGCAAAGTTTCATTTCTAATAACCGGATGTAAATAAGATAACTGATTATGATTAGAAGGAAAATTGACATTTACCCATTACATTGCCTTTTAAAGGCATTGTTTAACAATGTTAAATCTGAGATGCATGGCCCTACGTGTTATCAGTGTCTGTGATATGGTGTAATATTCAAGCCCTTAAAAAAATAGCGCTTCAAAATGATCATGAACTGCCTCAAAAAATTGAAAATCTTTGAGTGACCGGTTTTACCATACTCATTTTCCCCAATAGACTGTAGTGTTATAAAAAACCGTTAGGAAAACAAAGAATGAAATTTCAAATTTCCAATCATAAATATCTTGATAATCAGACAGGCGATCTGCTTGTAAAAGTCATTGGATTCCTGACTGACCTAAAGGTTTATAATTATGATTGCAGCATGAGCTAAATCCAGGATTTTGTTTCAGAATCTAAGGCAATGTTAACCGAGTCACTTTAAAATGTCTTTTTCGCATAGCAAAAAATACATACCTGGTCATCATCTTGTAGGTATTGAGAATACGGCATGCACATCCTTAGAACCTCTGCTAGGTAAAGCCACTGATTCCGACTGGTCCAAATTAAAGAAAATTTGCACAAACTAAAATACTCATTTTTACTTATTTACCATACTTCACTACACTTTCAATAAAAGCCCAAGGGACTTTCATAATCTTGATCACACAAAAATAGGTCAAGAAAAATTCAAGTTCTTCAAACATTTGTTGATTTCTGTAATCACCTATGATGCAGATTAAATTCATCTATACATGTTTATGAAATACTTTATTATTTTTGTGTAAATGTAATGCTTCCTGGGAGAAATGTCAATTGTTTAAACATATTTGTGGCTTACTCCCAGTAAATAAGATCGACTGATCGATCTGTAATTGAAAACAAGTCAGAAAAGAAAAAAAAAACAATCTTATTTTCTGGGTGTAAGCCACAAATTTTTTTAAACAACATTATTTTTTTATATTAACTGCACATCTTCCCTGCATATTTGACGTAACAAAGTACAGAGCAAACGCCAGAGTAATTATGGAGTCACCATCATGACATATTAAAGCTAAAGGGTTCACTATCAATGGCGCCATGGCTCTGTGAGAGCAGTAGTCTCATAACCGGGAGGTCCCGGGTTCAAAACCAAGTCGATGCTCTAGTGCCCGTTGGTAAAGCATTAATCCTCAATTCCTCATTACTAAGTCTCTCAGAGGAGACTTAAAGCTTATCTCCACTAGTTTGGCCAGGAGGGATTATACCGCACAGTGAGGTCACTGACAGGGGGCTCTCTCATCAACTCAGCTCTCAAATAACATAAGAAATAGAGGATCATGGGGGACCAACAGGCACCGATTGGGAAAGTTTTTTATATAGAGGGAGCAAGTAGCTACAAGTAGGGCAGTGGGGCTTTAAAGCCGTCGCCCTCTGGTCGCTTCCTCACAAGCAAACACATGGTTTCTTAGCGGTCAGGTAAAACAAACAAACAAGCAAACTATTTACCTGTTCCTCTGTAAGGCTGATATGAATGCAGCACTGAGTTCTGTGATCAGGTCATTGACCAAGGAATTGTCCGGCCGCTGACCATTCCCCTCAAGCTGGTCAATTTCCTTTCTGATATCCAATGCCCATGTTGATGAGAGCAGCTTAGGGTCAGCATACCTGTAGGAATTCAACAAACATAAAAGTTTATGGCTGGGGATATATTCGAGAAATTAAACTGTAGATTAAAAATTTTAATTATTCATTTCTCATGCACTAATGTCCTTTGGCAAGACTTTAATCTTCATTTGCCACACTCGACCCAGGTGAGGTAAATGGATACCTGGCAGGAATTATTTCCATGAAATGCTAGAGCACTGTAAAGGCAGGAAGGCTATAAAGCCGGGGTAATGATCAGTGTGCATCGGAATAGAATATCGAGATAGACGGCGCTATAGAAATGCCTATCATTATTATTATTATTAATCGGTTACATACAGTTGAACAGCAACTATAAACAAGATTGAAATAATCCGTTTAATCAACGAACAGAAGTTGTAGACACACATGACTTCAACATTACCTCTTGACTTTCATGCTGTGATAGTAAACTTGTTTGATTCAAAGATGAAAAAGAAGAAATCAAATGCATTCAAATCGTTGTATCCAATATTCTATTAGACAGGGTCTGAAGTATGTTTGTTGTTCCAGAAACATCAAGCTGCATTTTCAATCATTCAAAGGTTGAAACTCTAACATTACATTTCTTTTATGAGTTACCTGGTGAGAAGGTTAGATAATAGATCTTTTGTTGTTGGTTTTGACCTGTTTTTTAAACCAATAAATTAATAAATAAAAATAATAAAAATATTTAAAAAACATAAAATTATAAAAAAATTACAAATAACAAATATTGATATTTCGCTTTTATATAGTGCCCAATACATTGATACAATGATGTGTCTAAGCGTTTCACAGATATATTATTGCCCCGGTCATCGAATTCAGGCTTAACCACACACAATTTATATGCACATTCTCCACTCCCTGGGGAGCAACTGAACTACAGAGTATGATTCTCTTGCAATTGAACTTACTTGGAGATGTGAGCATGTGGTGTCTTATTAGGTGTTTGCTGCGAGTCTTTCAGGAGAGGTATCACACGTGGTGATAGCGACTGCTGGAGAGACGACGACATGATAGAGTCCTCAGAGAAGCTGGTTCAATAACCACTCGAGTGTCGACACAAACTGGTTTAACGGTCCATGGCAGCTATATATCTGTGAAGAATATACAAGCAAGATATAATGACTGAGACCTTTCATTCAAATAAAAGAAATTTGCAAATGACAACAATAACAGGTAAATAAAGTCCTAAAATATTCAAAAAAAGTATTCTTTTACATCTTTCCCTTCAAGAGATTGCGAAAAAATGGGTTTAGAAACCATGATGTAATATCACATCATTCGTGTTGACTCAGCACAAACACAGCAGAGCCAAGGAGCTTTCACCAAACATGTAGGATGTTAAATGCGCGATTGCGAACTCTTGGGCGCAAAATCACGGTGAAACCACACATGCCATGCCTGCAGTCACTGCATTAACACTTCAACTTTAATCAAAGTAGGGTGTCTGAACGATTTTATAATTTTCCCTTTGCGATCGTTTTTCACCATTACTGTATGGTTGGATAATTGAGAAAAAAACATTTAAACTCAGAATAATACATTTCAAATTTCAAAACTTATCAATGTTTCTATCTAGGGTCTATATAGCCCCCCCCCCCCCAAAAAAAAAACAAACAAACAAACAAACAAACAAAAACAAAAACAAACAAAGCATAAGCAATATTCATCCAATTTTTGTCGGAATCAACTAGAGACTAGTCACTAGGGATAAGGAAAGGTGCCTTTAACAAACAGATATCGGCAAGGTGTCGATGTGTCGCCCTTGCTTTTTCATCATCCCACTAAAGAGTCTCACCCTCACTCTGAGTCTGACTCTCACTTCTCACTCTGACTCTAGATCTAGTAGTACTAGTACTATAGCTGTAGACTAGTCTGAGTAGTCACAAGTGAGTACTTGCATATACAAACGAGTGGTCTCCCAAACCACAATATAGCCACAAGGATCACATCTAACGAGTTAGCTCAGGATTTTTAAACATAAACACAACCACGCCGCACAGCTGCAGCTCAGCTCAGCGGAGCTTCAACTTCTACCGGTATCCGCGGAACGGCAACGCCTATCGCACCGGGGCGCAAGGCGATTGGGGCAGCGCACGATCCGGTGATTGCATCTGAGCTGAGCTGAGCTGAGCCACTCCAGCAAAGCATAGAGAGTCAATGCCAATGCGTATTGTACGCGGCTAGGAAATTAAATAGCACAATATGACTCGATGCTCTCAATAAAATCTGAGATATGACATCGACGAAATATGAACAAGGATTGGAATTACATATTGAGAAAATTAATAACACTCACATTCACAAACTCTGAATGATGAACGGCTCTGTGCGGTACGAGAGAACAGCTTGCCGTTGTCAAGTCGCCATTTGTCGTTGCGATTCCTTTTTGTAAAGCGCCCCTTTCGTACGTCTGACGTGCAGTATGTATGCTTGATCTCTGATAGAGCGGAGGAAGAAGAATAACAAGTAGATTGATTGATTGATTTTTATTCGACAAGCTTCCAACATACAACAATATACAATAATAACAGATAAAAAAAAGTCAGCTTGAACAGGATAACCCACGAAAGCTCGAGAGCTTATTTCCAGTGGGGTCCCTTACAGACATGTATAAAATTAATAAGTTAAAATAGTAGCTCGTTTCGTATCATAAGTTGTCCAAAATAACTTATGTATGAAATCCTGTAGGATGTTACGGACACATTTTATACATATACATGCTTTTCTTTGATGCAATATATATTTTATAAGTATTCAGCGCTCAAAATACACGGGGGCGATGGGCGATTCGCCCCCGTGAGCTCCATAATCGCCCCCAATCAGGTTGTCCACGGGGGCGATTGCAAAATTAAAAATCGCCTCCGTGGAATTATAAAATAAAGATTTTCAGTGAATTGAAAAATATTGAAAAGGATGCAATTCATAGTTGTACTCGATAATTCTCACTTAACATATTCTCCCTCTCTCTCTCTCTTTCCCTGTCTTGCATAAAGAAAATATGAAAATAATATTTTGCCTTGATTAAGAAAAATTGAAAATTTTATCAGTATTAAACAGGGAGAAGGAAAGGGGAGGAAATTAATCAAAACAAACATTGAAGAATTCAATTCAGTGTTCTTTCGTGATGCATAAGAATGAAAGTACATTAGAAGGTGAAATAATAAATTGAAGTGCGATGATAAATCAATTCTTTCACGTTGATTGATTGAATAAAAAATAATGAAACAATATGGTCTGAAGGTCATATATCTTTGAATATTAGAAAGTTTCATCCACCATCGTGTTGTTGAACACTAATTTTAATGCGGTGACTTGTCGGTTACGAGCAGAAGGTCATATCAGGCTTCTATATTCTATAATACTATCAACAGATATCTGGATAGAGACACTTCGTCACATCAAGCTACGAAAAAGTATATCATCATCTCACAGAATTCTACTCGAACACCGCATCAAAATTCTTTTCACCCTTTTTTTTTCTTCTTCCTCTTTTTTGGTCCCTTCTAGCTCTCCTTTTTTCCTTTTCCTTCCTTCTCTCTCTTTTTTGTTAGCGGGGGCGGGGGGAGGCAAAGGCCTTTTGCCCCACCCCATCCGCAACTTGTTGGCGGGAAAATTGCAACTGCATGATATTTCCCTTCTTTTCTTTACTTCTTCCTCAATTTTCCTTCTCTTTATCTCCTCTTCAGTGACTGGTCCCTCAGAAACTAGTGCTAATCCAGTCACAGAGAAATCATGATTTCAACTGATGCCTGTCAGTGCATTGTAAATTTGATTTTTCTTCAAATTTAATTTTAAAATCTTTTCATATTTGATAAATATGGTGCATTGGCATATGGGCTATGGTTGGAGCGTTGGATGCGTTGATCAGCGTTGGTGTATTATGTGGATTTATCATATTCATATTCTGAATATTTTCAGCGAATTGAATAATATTGAAAAGGATGCAATTCATAGTTGTACTCGATAATTCTCACTTAACAAATTCTCACTCTCTCAGGCTCTCCCTCTCTCTCTCTCTCTCTCTCTCTCTCTCTCTCTCTCTCTTTCCCTGTCTTGCATAAAGAAAATATAAAAATAATATTTTGCCTTGATTAAGAAAAATTGAAAATTTTATCAGTATTAAACAGGGAGAAGAAAAGGGGAGGAAATTAATCAAAACAAACATTGAAGAATCCAATTCAGTGTTCTTTCGTGATGCATAAGAATGAAAGTACATTAGAAGGTGAAATAATAAATTGAAGTGCGATGATAAATCAATTCTTTCACGTTGATTGATTGAATAAAAAATAATGAAACAATATGGTCTGAAGGTCATATATCTTTGAATATTAGAAAGTTTCATCCACCATCGTGTTGTTGAACACTAATTTTAATGCGGTGACTTGTCGGTTACGAGCAGAAGGTCATATCAGGCTTCTATATTCTATAATACTATCAACAGATATCTGGATAGAGACACTTCGTCACATCAAGCTACGAAAAAGTATATCATCATCTCACAGAATTCTACTCGAACACCGCATCAAAATTCTTTTCACCCTTTTTTTTTCTTCTTCCTCTTTTTTGGTCCCTTCTAGCTCTCCTTTTTTCCTTTTCCTTCCTTCTCTCTCTTTTTTGTTAGCGGGGGCGGGGGGAGGCAAAGGCCTTTTGACCCACCCCCATCCGCAACTTGTTGGCGGGAAAATTGCAACTGCATGATATCCCCCTTCTTTTCTTTACTTCTTCCTCAATTTTCCTTCCCTTTATCTCCTCTTTTCCCTTTTTCTTTCCGTTTCCTTCCTTCCTTCTCTCTTATTTTGTTTTATTGGGGGAGGCAAAAGCCTGGGAGGCAAGGCCCTTTCACCCGGCCCCCCCCCCCCCGATCTCCTTCTTCCCCCTTTTCATTTCTTCTTCCTCTTCTTTCTTTCCCTTTCTCTCCTTTTTCCCTTTCCCTCTTTTCCTTCTCTCTCTCTCTCTCTCTCTCTCTCTCTCTCTCTCTCTTTTGCGGAAGGGGGGGGGGAAGGGGCAAGGCCCGCTCACCCCCGCTGGATCCGCGCCTGCATCTACCTTATATCTACTAACGTCAGACCATAATAATGGATCCAGAAGATTGATTGACCTGGTCTCAGTGACGGGTAAACTTTTTTTTTCTCAATTACTTAATTGGTCTAACCATGAAAACCGTCTAATTTTACTTTAGATTTTCAAACAGTAACAGTTACGACCTAAATTAGGCCTAAGGCCAAGGGCTGTACTCTACATTTTAATAACAAATTAACGTTAACGTTAGACTTAACTTAAACTGTTGTTTCTCTGTGATACAAGTGGGAAAGGAACACTTCTTTTTTCAAAAAAAGAAAGAAGAAAATTCCCCCTTTTTTTCCCCCTTCTTTTTTCCCAGGCCCCCCCCCCCCCCTGGATCCGCCACTGATCACGGGGATAAAATTATACATCTATGTAACAAGTAAATTTCTAAGAGGGAGAATGCCGACTTAAATAAATGATAATGATAAAATACCAAGGAATTTAGGAGTTTCATGGGTACCAATCCAATGGAAATTTGTATTAAAATAAGAGCCCCCGTCAGCACTAAAAGAGCCCTCGTGAGAAGGTTCACGGGTTTTTGTTTTGATTTTTTGGAAGAGCCCCCGTGGACAAAAATTTAATTTGAGCCCTGTAAGTATTCCATTTGCTTTTTTTCTGCCATCATTGTTGTTGCTGCTTATCTTGAGGCTAGCAGAGAATATCTTTTCAAATCCTCATTACCAAGTCTCTTGGATAGGACTTAAAGGGATGTCCACCCTTTCAATAGAAGCAGAAAAATCTGACGAACAGAAAACATAAGTTGTTCTATGTAGTTCCAGGGGTGGCCCCGTTGGGATATTTTTTCTTCTTCTCCATCTCTTTTGTTCACTATTAAACATTGAAAGAAGCCTAATTTAGTCATAATAACAAGAAAGAAGCATAACTATTTAGACAATTAAGGAAGTTGAAAGTAGACATTTTTTTTTAATGATATAACGAAGGAAAGCATGAGGAAAGAAGGAAGAACAGAATGAGAAGGATAACAACTTAAGAAAAGAAAAAGAAGAATAAAGACAAGGATAAGAATTAGAAATAAGGAAAAGGAAGAACAATAAAATAACAAAAGGAAGAAAAGGAAAAAAAAGGTTAATACAGTACATGTAGCATAATCAAGATGAGCCTCTTATAAGACATACGCATGGAAACCATACATATTTGAAAATACGAAAATACGAAAAGAAGATGTACTTCATTATTTTAAGAAGTAACTCTAAAATGATAAATGTATCTCGTCTAGGACCTTACAAGACTTGCTCAGTGAGACCGAAAGACAATATGTGTGGAAAAAAAACTTCCTAATGGTGTCCTTGAATATTATGTCAGTGGTGGATCCAGGGAGGCCCGGGGAGCCCCGACCCCCACCCCTGGGAAAAAAAAGTGTAAAAACACGTTAACTTTACCTTTTTTTGGAGATGGGCCCCCTCCCCTGGCGCTCAAGGGGGGGGGGGGGAGTGCGATTTTTCAAATTTTCGAGGGCCCCCAAAAAAATTTAGTGCTCACTACCACCCCCCCCCCCCCCCCTCTAAAAATAAACAGATCCCAATGTTGGGTCGATTTCATCCCATCTATAATTCCCTGCCCATGCACCCAACTTTGTCGATAGGAAATAGTATGAATGGACATTGCAAAACACACACACTACAAACAAAAGTGACAAAAAGTCTCGTCTAGATGGGGTGTCAAGCCACGGGACCACATTGTTTTGGAAAGGATATCTAGATTTTCCTCTCTTTCCTTTTCTCCGCTTTTCATTCTTTCTTCTTACCTGTCTCTCTTCTCGCCTCTTCTATCTGACATCAATTTTCTTCGTTCAATTGTACAGTGTATCTACCATCTATCATGTATTAGCACACAGTTGTCTTTTTGGCATGCATAATAATGTTTCACATGTTATGTAACAATACTAAGCACAGGTGCAATAATAATAATTCCTACACTGCAAAAACAGTGGTGTTAAATTCAACACCATAGGTGTTAATATTAACACCATTCCGGTATCTATATCGGAAAACACCAGTTGGTGTTATTTAACACCAAGGTCTGGATTTGAATGATTCAATTCTACTCTTGGTGTTGCAATTCAATTCTATTTTTGGTGTTAATATAAAATCCTACACCATTTTCTGGTGTAACAATGAATCTGATTTCTGGTGTTATTTAACACCACCGCCTGGAATGAAATAATTTTAATTCTACTCTTGGTGTTGCACTTCAATTCTATTGTTGGTGTTATTTTACACCAATTCTAGAATTAAATAGTATAATTCTGCTCTTGGTGTTGCAATCCAATTCTATTTATGGTGTTAATATAAAATCCAGCACCATTCTTCGGTGTTGCAATAAATCCTATTTTTGGTGTTATATAACACTAAAGGTCTACTACTTTTCTACTCTTGGTATTGCAATTCAATGCTAGTCTCAGTGTTTAAAAAACTCAACACACCATTCTTTCAACACCAACAATTCATTCCAGCTCACTCCATCTTAACACATGCACAGAAAATATTCAAATACACACAAGAAGTGAAAAGAAACAATTTTTTTTCGTAAACAAAAACACATGGTGCTTGTTTAATCAATAAATTAAACAACTTGTTTTCATTCATGTTGAAATCAATGATGCTTAGCGTTTTTATCTTGTATGGTTCAACATTAAATCCTTTTGTCATGTATTCAAAATCTGTGACTCATTTGTCTGAATACAACAAAACACACTTTTTTAAATCATTCAAAATCTGTTATTATGAATCCACCCTTATAAGTAAAAAAAAAAGGATGAAACAAGTAACTAAAAATCATTCAAAATCTGTTATTATGAATCCACCCTTATAAGTAAAAAAAAAAAAGGATGAAACAAGTAACTAAAAATTTTCCAATATAAAAACTTTAAACAATGTCATAATTCCTTTCAAGGAATGAAAAATCAAAGTCGTTTCTAATAAATAGAAACTAAACAGGATGCAAAATGCATGTATAAATGAAGACAAAACAAAAAAAACAACAAACATTATGCTTCTACATCAGAGTGAATTATGTAGCTAATAAGAATTTTGACACATTTCACCTTGAATCCTAGTACATGCATGCTGAAGGAAAATATCACAGAATCTTTTTCATATGAAATATACAGAGTGCCCCCCCCCCAAAAAAAAAAACCTTGGAAACTGCTAGTATAATCTGCAGGCAGACTCTCGGCTTCGGTTTTTCGCAAGTTTCGTAGTGCATATTTCAGAGTCTGCAGTCAGAGACTACTTTCACTCATATCATGATCCCTTAAAGGGAGCATAACTGTATGTGTATATGTAGTCTCTAAATGCAGACTCTACATCGTGCACTATGCAAATTGCAAAACCGAAGCCAATGGTCTGTGCCCGCAGACTAATTATAGTATGACTTTAATTTCTTATGCTAGAACAATAGCAACACTAACAAATCTCATCCAGCAGTTTTGTTGAACAAGATTTTTTTACCACAGGCCTGCAACCATTGAGATTCAGGATGATTTAATTATTTCAGGGGATTTTTATCTCCTAGCTTCACTGCTTGTAAAGGGTTAAACAAATGTTTCAAAAACATTGAAAAAACACTATAAATTCTACATTCATTCTAATATAGGTGAACATTCTTTTACAGCTTTCTGTTTACAAACATATTCCATTTTACATCGTGCACTATGCAAATTGCAAAACCGAAGCCAATGGTCTGTGCTCGCAGACTAATTATAGTAAGGCTTTTTAATGTCTTATGCTAGGAAGCAGCCTTCAAGAACAATAGCAAAACTAACAAATCTTATCCAGCAGTTTTGTTTAACAAGATTTTTTTTTACCACAGGCCTGCAACCATTGAGATTCAGGATGATTTAATTATTTCAGGGGATTTTTATCTCCTTCACTGCTTGTAAAGGGTTAAACAAATGTTTCAAAAACATTAAAAAAACACTATAAATTCCACATTCATTCTAATATAGGTGAACATTCTTTTACAGCTTTCTGTTTACAAACATGTATTTCCCATTTTACTCCTGGGAGAAAAAATAAAAAAGTAAAATTATGCATTTCTATATCAACTAATTCGCTGCTCGTTTTTCCAACAGGATATAAACAACAACAACAAAAATCAGTCCATGCACTTCTAGTTCACTGGCTTTCATGCACAAACATCATAGAATTGTTTTTCTTGTAAGAAAAAAAAAGAAAATATACAACAGCTATTTGACTTCAATTTGGTTTCGAATTAACCAATTTAAAGATGTTAACAATTAAGAGTCCAAAATATTATTGATCAAAATTATTTTTAAAACCAATTGATACCACTAAGCAAAACCAGACATTAGCTTGAAAGCTTTAAATTACTTAAAAAGTACATGCCTTGGTGCTACATACTTCCTCGAGTCTGTCTTCGACAAAGTTGTCATCAAATCTAGTGGTTTGTAGTCAACAAGTTCCTTTTGATTCTTCACTACATGACAACGTGGAAAACTAAATTCTACTGCATAGGCATGATAGTGTGAATTGTAATACACTGTATCTAATTGGACAAGTACAAAAAATACAGTGCTATTGTGTACAATGATATGCTCTATTTGACCAAACAGAGGAAGCTCGCTAACATCATGGCAGACCAGAAGTGACAACTGATAATGTGTTCCATGTACTTTAACCCAGTTGGCATCAAATAATTCAGTAGAAAGATCCTCTACTTGGATTTGCTCTTGCACAATCTGTCCAATATTTTCATCTAAATCTGACAAAAGTAGTGAACTACCTGGCCCAACCTCCAGATATTCCAAAGGATGGTTTGACTGAAGATGGAACGTTAGTGCTGTCTGATGTTTTTTGGCAAGTGATTTACAAATGTTTTTGTAATTACGCACAGATTCTGCAACACGGCCAAAATAGTGATGTTTCGCTTCGTACCTCATACACCATACATGTATGAGTGGCCCAACTTCTCTCAAACACGTTGGATAATGCACCATAAAGTGGTGTTTTGGCAACAACCTTCTGTCAGGAAAGGTTTTCTGGAAATGTGTGTGATGTTCTTCAGTAAGAATAGACAATTGGGCTATCAAGCCTGCTGTCAATTGAGGAGCAAAAATAATGTCCATACAATCTAGTAATCTAAGTAGCAATTCCCAGTAGACATTTCCTTCTTCAATGTCTTGAGCAATTATGAATGGCAGATTTCGAATCAAGCACCATGCTTGCATAGCCTTCTGTCCAACATCATTCCTAGCTGACCTAAGTTTAATAAAGGATGGTTTGTTCTTGTTATCTGTACGGTTTAAGCAATGGCTGGCGACTCTCTGATTCAGTTCATCTTGGGACAAGAGGGGCGGTTGCCTTTCATATATGAAATACTCTAGAACAAGTTTCAGCTCATACTGAACTATGCCTTCCAAAAGATCATGCATTATATCTAGTGAAAAGTTTGCCAAGACATGAAAGTAAATACAATCATTCAATACAGTCTTTTGTTTCACTCCAAACACATGTGACTGGGTAGTTTGAGCTTCAGCTTCTTCTAAATGTTGCTCATAAGTCTGCCTGGTGCGCATATCCATTGAAACCTCTTTGAATTTGTTCTGTGCCTCTTCCTTACTTGTAACACATAATCGACAGTAATAATGAGCAGAAAAGCTCTCTACAAATCCCAGTAGGGAATTAGCACCAAGATTATCAGCACTTATTTGAGTAATGGTCCCCTTCTTCACAATTCCATTAGGGAGAGCAATGCCAACTGTTGACAGGATATTAATGTCTTTTACAATGTGCTTGAGAATAGCATTAAATCCATATTTCTTGGCATCTTCAGCATACCATAGAGCTATAAGATTGATATTGGAAAGATTGGAATTATACTTTGGTGGCAGATTTTTCAAAATGAAATATAAAGCACCTATCTTGTGAATTTTTGTTTTTGAACCAATGGGGTTCACAGTCTCGAAATCATCATAAAAACAGTGAATTTGGAGGGCATTCTCATCTTCATGGAAAAGAGGGGTTTTCTCAAATTGTGAACCATCACAATAATCTCTCATTACACCATCTGTGCTCTTATGGTCATGAGTAGCAAAATGCAATATATCTTTATTGCTTAAAAGCTGCTTCAAAGAATCTAAAATGGGAACGTAAACAAATGTATCTTCAATAGCAATCTGTTCATACTGCTTAGTTCTTTTATTGAGACGACTATCATATCGGATGCCTAACTTGATTTCTTGTGGTTCAACAAGTCCAATTGATTCACAATACTTTGTCCGCTTATATTCTGAATTCAAATTTTCAAAGGGCTTTTCAAGCATAGCAAAATGTGTTTGAATCTCCTTATAAGCCTCGGATTCTATAGGCAGCTTATGTTTTAAGAAAGCAGCTGTAACGGCTGCCGATGCACTTTTTACTACATCACCTACAATCGCACTGGTTGTTTCTACTACATCATTTACAACTTTTCCAGAGTTTGCACTATTTGCTGAAAATTTTGAAATTACATTTACACACTGCCTGTTCAAGGTATCTACAGATAAAATGTCATCTTCATATACATCCTGATCTTCAACAATCTCATCATTATTAATATTGTATTCTTGAAGACTTTCAAGACTTTCTTCAGGAAAGTCACTCACTTTATCATTTTCATTAGACTGCTCTTTATTATCTGGAAAATCGGTTTTAAGGTGAGTCTGCAAATGTCCCCGAAATCCTCGAAAAGTATGAAATGTTCTCGCACAAGCTCCCTGCCCACAGGTCAATACTTCTTTACCATCTTCAATAACTCCATGTTTCAATCTCAAATGTTGAACCAATTTGGGTATTGCAAACTGTTTGTGGCATTTGAAGCAAATCATGGTGCTAACAATTTCGATCTAATTTCACGTACTCTTGGTGTTTCCCGGGACACTCCGATATCGATTTAAAAAATGGCAGTCTGGACAAAAGTCCAGAACTGCCGCAGAGACAAGCAGTACTGCAGGCCAAAGACAAAGTGGGTCTTGAAGAGTAAATCTACTGCTGCTTCGACCGTGCGTGCCGAACATGGAATGGCCTTGTGATCCACAATGATCATGTAGTTGGTGATTCGGGCCTTGGAATTGCCAATTGCCAGAAGGAACGGTTGACTCTTGGTCTCTTTTGTGTTGTCGAGGAATGCTTGAATACTCCCTCCTGTCTGTGTTGAAAACAAATTATTTGTATAGAATGTAACTAGCACTCAACGCATTTCAATACTCAACGCATTTCAATGAACAACATATTTCGATCAACATTTTTAAAAGACAGCCTTACATGTAGTACTGGGGGAAATTGTGTTTTTACAAAAGGGTTATTGGACAATAATGTAGGACATAAAACCAAATCAAATTTACATCAAAGAAAAGAATTGGAATTGGTCCATCAAATGATATAACATCAAAATATCAGATGATATTTTTTGTAATGAAATACAATTTTTCTTACCCTGTAGAGGGGTAAAAATGCAAGTACTTTCAAAGCTTGTTTTATGTATATGATTAAAAAGGGTCTTTCTAATGTGGTCAAGACATTTCAACTTCCACAAAAGGAGTACGAAAAATAAAGATACTGCAATTTCTGCACTATTATTAACTTGCAGCAAATTTGTGGCATGAAATATTCCTTTTCATTTATTGATTCTCCATGTAGGGCTGTGAAAATCAAAGGCAACATGCCTGATATATCACACAAGTTGTTACTATGTTTTCATACACAACATGTTCCTAGTATTTGTTTGCAAATCTTGATGTCTACTGTTCTAGTTTATTTTACTCCGACCAATTTCAAGGCGGGTGAAGTTTTTGAATAGGCCTAAATTTCTCGAGCACCTTCTCTGTCCAAATCAGTCTAAGCCTCTTCATGTAAGAGATCATAAACCAATATAATTGTTCTCTTTGAACACACATCACGATGCTTTCTGAAACTTTTTTTTTAATGCAGCAAGAATGTGTTTTATGTGACAGGGTATTACCGGTACTTAATATTTACAGTTCTCTTTCGTAATGAAAAGCTAAATACCTTCTGAAATTGAATAACCCTCGAGAGAGCTGAAGAAATGGACACTTTTGCTGACGCAGCTTTGGACTTCCCTTGGCTTGCAGGAGGCAATAGGCACAAGAGGAGGAGGATAGCAGATGTGCTGGAATTCCATCCTGTGCATTACAAAATGAAAATGGTTATTATTAAACAGGCTTACATGTTGATCAAGGTGAAAAATAGAAGTTAAATGTACCAAAATAATTACAAACTGACCTGCTAAAATTTGAATCAAAATAGCCTGTAACAAGAAACTATTATAAGAAATAAGTATATAGTCGAGGACTTATCAATATTATAGCCAAAGCATGCAAGTGGCTGTTAATGCAGTTTAGGGGTACTAAACCAAAAATCCAATTGATGCCAGCTTGGCACCCTTGGAGAAATTTTACTGACACTTATAGCAACGCCTTCTTCTTCTTTCTTATGAGAATTTATACAAAGGGGGATGGGAAAAAAGAAATCAATAGGAAAATAATAAACGGGATATTTATGCATGGGAGAAGGCAACATTCATGGCAAAGCACCTAACCTAGATTGTTCTCTGTTGACACATATATAACAAACTCTTTAGTAGCATAAGTTCATGTTTTTTTTTTTACAATTTTTTTCTTGTTCTACTGAATTTAACATGCTTCTACCCAATTTGACATCCTTTTCATGATTAAATCACAAAAATTGCATCAATACTGGAATCAAATGTTGCAATTAACAATTTATCAAATATGTCCCCTATGGGCCACCATATTTTTCAAAGTTAACTAATGAAGAAAAACAAAAATATCATGATTTTCTGAATTCTAAAGCATTTATCTTCAAATAAAGACAGAGTAAACACAAGCAAGCTGCTAATATGTAAATGCAGGGTCCTGTGGGGTCGATTCAAGTTCATATTATAAGATAATAAGCCATGCATATCATATCTGAGGAAGAAAAATAACAAAGTGAACATATAAACATGATGCTTTGTTTCAAAACAGAAGCTCATTCTATTTCAAAAGTAATGATTGGCAATGTGATAATCCTTATAAAGATTCCACAATGGGCCATGCAACAAACTTTTTTCTTCATAATTATATAAATTTCTTCTTCATAATTATATAATTAATATAATAAAAGAATTATGGAGAGCATGTTCCAACTACAAATAACTTTGCCAAGTGGGCATGTAATGTAATTTTTTGTAATTCTCATTGCAACAAGAGTCCACATTATTTGAGATGCCCAATAACCCTACTGTATCCCAGCCTTCCAGATAAATATAATTTGTTGGAGGAGTTGACAAAAAAAAGGGGGGGGGGAATTGTTTTAATTGGGATGGGTCATTTTTTGTGATTTCAGCATACTTGTCCCTTAATATACATTTTTAATGAGACTGCAAGCTCTTTGGTGGAATTCTCAATGGTGGTTTAAGACCAAGGTCTAAACTTGGTTCAAAACCATGGATTGGATTAGATTTGCATGTATTCTAAAACTTGTCCAATGAACATGCTTGTGTGAAGCACATATATGCTCAAATTTAAACTAACCTATCAATGGTTTATCCATGGTCTCAAATAAACCACCATCAAGAATTCCACCCTTTATGACATCGGAGGGTGCATTCAAGGGAATGTGCAAAAATACCTTCTTTATTTTGATCAGAACTGTCATAAGATGACAGAAGCTCCATCACTGTCAAGTTTCCTTTCTGCTTCAGAAGTTGTCTTGCAAGTGTAACAACCTTGGGCTTCAACTCGGGCCATTTGGTCAGGAAACGCGAGTGATTTTCAGGAAAAAGTTTCCGAAAATCTACCTCAATCTGCAAGAATACATGTAAAAGGAAAACGGGGAAAAGAGAGAAAAAATAAACTATGCATAATTTTACAGTATAGATACCCCAGTTAGACTAAATCAGCAATATAATAAGGTACCGTCAAAGCTCAGACCCCCATATATACACACCCCAGATCCAGGAAAAGGGGATTCTTCAAATATTTATCTGAATAGCAACCACTAAGAAGTACTTTTGAAGGTCTCTCTACACAAAATCCATACATGAATGAAACTTGCTGGACCTTTGAAATAGATTAGATTTGCTAGATATCACTCATGTTGATGCTCACTGTCCAAAGGTACATGACAACCAGTAATGGTGATTGTTCACCAACAGACAGTCACATGCGGTAAATACAGATACAGATTGAAGGATAAAACTGGCAGAATCTTCGGACTGATATTTTCAAAATCTCAAACATATATAATAAAACAGAGAAATATGAATTTGATGCCTCAGTGCCAAGTAATAATTCTGATGCTTTAATTCCCATACACATAATTTTGTTGCCTTAGGCCTGAGAGGCTAAATCAAGAATTAGGAGTAAATTTTTTTGTAACACTTACCAAACCTGGAACAGTTTCAAAAGGAAACTGTTCCAAAATATCCGATGCGGAGCGTCCGTCCCTGACCATATGCTGTCTAACAGGAAAAGTGGATTTCATCTTTTCAACAACCAGGGTAGAATCACGTTCTAATGTTGGACAGTGTCGTAACCAGTTGAGGTCTTCATCATAGGTGCAGCCTGGAGCAGATTCTTGGTCACCTTCTCGGACCTTCCCAGGACCACCATCTCTGCTTGATGGCTTGGGTAATGGGTTGGATGTCTTCTCCTCTGTTGTGCGGTTAACATTTTTTATTCTAGCAGCCAGGAATCCCGTGTTACTTCTTGCATCAAAATAAGCTTCCTAAAGTGAAAGAACGAGATGAATCTTTGACCGCGTGGTTGAAAATGTATGTATAAGCTTTTTGTTGATAATATTAACCTTGAAATGATGCACAAAATGATGTGATGAGAAATTGTAGTTTTCAAAGAAATTTTAGCAAAGTAGCATTAGTGTCATATAATGCAAGCATCTTGACTTTGATACAAGGAAGCAGCCATCACTCTGCCCCACTTCAAGAAAAAAAGAGTTTTGAGTGGTTGTGAAGGAGAGTAGAATGGTATCATACATTTCTTATTGGATATTGTGCCAAAGATGGTGGAGTGTGACCTACACAAGATAAAATTAAAAAAAAAAAATTCTTCTCAGAATATAATTTAGAGAGATTTTGAGGGTATTTTTATCTTATCAGAGTATCATAAGTTTTCTTTTGATTAATGGAATGCAATACCTTCTTATCAGAGAGGACCATGCAGGGCCCATATTCAATTAAATACTTCAGTCAGAAAAATAAATATTTTTTCTTAGATTTTTGCTCGGATAAAATACTTTGCAGATTTTGGTATTCAATTCATAAATTTGGCTAAGTATTTTACTTTAAATTTAAGACACCTCTAGAGGAGACTTAAGCCAAAGCATTTACAAATTTAACTGGTAGATGAAGGCTTACATGTATGTGCGCAGTCACTCTCAGCTGCGGAGAATTATGAAGTAGCGCATTTTTGGTGCAATGTGTTGATTGCGCATCATTTGGTCACAAAATCGTGATGTCACAATGCCTCTCAATAAGTATTTTACTTAAATTTTGACTTACTAAAGTAAAATGCTAAGAACTGAATTGAATACAAAATAAGTAAATACCTTAGCCAAAATACTTAGTAAAAAAACTTACTTAGTCAAAGTATTTATTTGAATATGGGCCCAGATTATAATACTTACATGACCTGTGCTAGTAAACGGATCCTTGAGTCTTGGAAACAGATTCACTATCCCCATGGCATATTTGGTTTTCATAGCTGCTTTTGGATGTTTGCTGTGAAATAAGAAAGCACATCTCCTGTATGAGAATTACAGTCATATGGACTCATGACTGGCTCTATTAAAACAGAACTTAGTATGTTGATAACAAGTAGCATACCCCTAGTGGTCTCGTCTGCATCATATAATTTGCTATAGTTTAGTATTTTTTTATTACTTTAAAATCTCAAAATATCACATGGTTAGTTCATAATACATTTATAAAGTGAGGCCTCATGACGATGAGGCCGCTAACATCTACGGCATTAATCTATTTTAACGTAATGACCCAAAAATGTCACTCACAAGACTGGTAATACCTGATAACCATCATGTGCAAATCACATTTAAAACTAGATGAATCTTCGACCACGCACGGTCAAAATTTAAGCCTCTGCCATCATGCGATCAGAAAGATATTATTGCTTGTTCCATGCCATTGGAAATCCGAAACATTTTGGGTGATTTTACAAATTTTGGGCACTATGAACTTTGACCCCGTGAACCCAAAATCTTCTTCCTCCCATGCTAATACATAATTGAGCTAGGTTTGAAAGAAATTAGTTCAATTTGTCTGAAGTTATAGCAATATCGAGCTTTTTTCGGGTAATTTTTTACAATTTTTGTTTGGCCCTGTGACCTTTGCCCTTTGACCCCCTAAACCCCAAATCTAATCAGTTCATCCTCACATGTATATAAATACTTGTGTCAAGTTTGGTAAAAATCCGTCCAGTAGTTCTGAAGTTATCGTGGTAACAAGTTTCCGACGGACGGACGCACGGACGGACACACGGACGCACGGACGGAAGGACGGACGGACAACCCCGAAAACATAATGCCTCCGGCACCACCTGACGGTGGCGGAGGCATAAAAAATGAATATTTTGAAAAATGATTTTGAAGAGACAACAAATTCCTTTAAAGTTGACCATGTTACCTCAGTTTCTTTTCACATAATTGGTAGTACCTGATAATTATTATGTGCATTTACACAATCATAAAAGAAAATTTGCTGGCACTTACCCATAGTGTTCTTGCATGTGGGCTACCAAAAGGTTAATCATCTGCCGTCTAGTTTTATCTTGAAGTGCTCCAGTCAATTCATACTCTCGGAGAATGGCATCACCTCTGTGCCGCAAAATTTCTTGTACAAACTGCAAACAGGTAAATCATCCCATTAAGTCATAAATAAACATATTGAGTTTATAATGCACTTTCAGGCACTTTAATTCATACTGACCTTTCTAAGGGCACGAAATTTTATGAATGACTATGAATTTATATAGGTACATTATGATATTAAAATTGATATATGGCCAATAATCATAAATTCTAAATAATAATATATTTATTTATAGAGCTTGAAATAGTTTAAATATTGTTAAATACACACTCCCACAAACACCCCAAACACACATATGCACACACGCACATACACACACACGAGGGGACACATGAGGCTACAGGTAAATTTGTGTTTATTGTAATGCGAGTTCCTTCTACTTAATATAGACATGCAAGCCCAATGCCATGGGGAGACCGTCTAAAGTGCCCTGAACAGTGTTCATTACTTTCATATCCACAAACAATACAGCAGGAAACTATTCTATGTTTGGGATCATCATGAACACTACAATAAAGGTTATGTAACAATCGATGCATCTCATCTTCAACTTTTTAATTTTGATATTAGTCCTTTTCCTTGATACCCTCAGAGGTCTATATGGAACCAGATCATGAGATGTATTATTCGATGATTATTTACCTCATTTCTCTTTCCCATTTCTAAAACATTTCATAAAATTTGGCAATTCAATTTAAACCTCTAGACATAATATCATTTGTTTGAAATCATACCACCCATTGGAAGAAAATGAAACTGTAAAAGTTTATGGAAAACTTATGACAGATGACGAAGCAAAAAAGATGGCCAATATCTTACAGGAGTCGTCAGCTTAGATGTACCAAAAAAGAAATCAAATTAGTTGCCTAATGTTAACCTATACCATTACAAAAACCTTACTACAGGAAATATTAATTTACAATGTTAGTTCTAACTACACTAGATGTATTTTTTTTCTCCCAATATCATTTTCAATTTTAAATAATATGAAATCCGTATAGGTGATGAGTCCCTTATATTATGTTGATTATGATAGCTGAGATTGAAATGAAGCAAACAATTTTTTCTTAACCTTACCTCACAAGAGTTGTCAGTGATTGCACCTGATTCACTGAGGGCATTTAATCGTGGCCTCTTTCTACTGGAGCAAAAACTTGAATCAGATTCTGAGCTACTCAGGGAAGAGGAGCTGGTATCCACCTTGATAGTGTCTGCACTTGTGATGCTATGTACATCTGAACCTTTAATAAAGAAAAAAAGATATAAAGCCATGAGCACTGTTAAAAAACAATGAATACTGGCATCTTAAACTTTGGTAGAATTGAATACAGTTGGGCCTCCTTTATCCCCACACTTGGGATCAGCACTAACATGCATAAGGGAATCCTATATTCAAAACATGCAGTTGCCGAGTTTGAATGAATGCATGTTTCTGATCATGAAAAATTGAATTGAATGTGTAATAACAATGTTGGGAATAATGTATATAAGTAACCCAAATAGTTTGCGATATTACGAGTATGCTTGAAATCTTTGTTGGTTCCGCTAATTATTTGAGTAAAATAGGCAAATTCTCAAGTGATCTGGATAAAGGAGACTGGATAAGGGAGGTCCAACTGCATATAAATTTCTATTAGTCTAAAACCATCAGAAACCAGCTAAGTTATATTGGTCTGACACATTTGTTAATTTTATAATACTTGAGCATTTTTTAATGGACAATTTGTTAATTGATGCATTCATTCATGTCTAAGTGAATTATAATACTAGCATTTAGAAATGTTCAATTACTTTTCCATTGGACTGTTCCCAATGAAACCAATAGGTCTGTCCAATATAATCCAACAGAATTCTTTCATGATGGTTTTCTATAAGTATAAGACTAACAGAAAGAAATTGTTGGATTCCTATTATTGGATCAGCAAAAATTTTCTGATGGATTTCTAATGGACCAACAGAAGTATGTGTTGGATTTCTATTGGAGCAATATAACCTTTCTGCTGGTTTCTATGGGTCCTTTATTTCCCTTTCCCTATTGAAACCATTAAACTTATTGGTTTCTATGGGTCCAATAGCCCTCACCTCGTGCTATCACACAAAGCAAACAGAATCAAAATCAGATGAGAAATGGCATAGGAGTGGCCTTTTGTAGGATTTTGAAGCAAAAGGTCAAAGATCATACACAGACACGCACAGAAACACACAAGTATGGCGCCCGTTTCACAGTCCCCTCCTCAAATTTGTTCGGTGGGGTCACAATTTAAATTAAAGACATTTTTTTTTTAAATGCAAGTTTGCATTGTTAAAAAATTCAATTTGTAAGAATCTGTAATTTTTATAATCTTTAGACTTCGAATTTAGATCATTGACCGCCCACAAATCACGGCTCTTGTGGCAAGGTTACGTCATCAAAAAAGGGTAGGTTTTTTTTTCCTCCACCAAGTTTTGAGACCTGTGCCTGTAATTTGAACTGCACATTCATTTATTGCTTATGAAAAGCAAAATGTTAATTCCCTAGACTCTATACAGCATACAAGCCTACACTGTACCTGCTACCAGACGAACGCTGACTCATTTTAACATGCATGCACATACAATGATCAGTGGCGGATCCAGCAGGGGGCGCACCCGGCATGTGCCCCCTCTATATTTTGAGAATTACCTCGTGAACATACACATTACTAAGGTTAAATTGTGATCTGCGCCCCCTCTTTATTTTTAATATGCTCTTTGCACCCCTCTAACTCTATTTTAAAATCCTGAATCCGCTACTGATGATATCACATTTAGCAGGGATTTGCAATTTTGTATTATAATGCACTTTATCCAAAACTTACCAGACCATTCTTCATCTTCTTTTAGCACCATGAGGCTGACTGTGGGATTGCTGGTCACCACATCTCCTAGTACGTCATCGTCTATACCAAACCCTTCTTGTTCATCCACAAGTACGAGATCTTCCCCATCCCTTATGTGGAATTTTCTTCTGACTGTAGGAGAGATTAAATAAATGAGAATAAATATCACAGTGCACTTTTCAGTTTCTTACAGATTGATGGCTCAGTCATAATAAACGAATGCTGCAAAAACTGCTGCTACAAGCCCAACTGTGCTATAGTATACAAATAACGCACGTCCCAGAGTGCAATAGCGGTGAATGCAGTACGCGCGAGGTTTCTTTATATTGGTGCCGCTCTGTGCAACAAGCCGCTTGCGGCGAGTTGACAGTGCGAACCATCTGAAGAAACCGAGCGAACACTGCATTTACGTTTCGCACAACAGGGTCAAGTGCGTTATTTGTTTTATAAAATAGCGACACAAACAGCAACAAACAAAAGTTTAGATCTTAAGTATACGAGAGTTCGATCTAGATCTAGAGTTATGTTGGTTCTAGAAATAAAATGAGGGTCTAAGACCTTGCAGGCTTACCAAAAAGTCTACAGGATTCATTGTTTGATTAAAAATAAAATGCATAGGGTGTCTAGAGACGAGTCTACATCAGACAGCTGAAATTCCTGGCTTCATTATAAAATCCAAAAGTCAAAACGGGTCTAAATCCAAGGCAAAAGTAAAACAAAAATTTGCTTTCTAATAATACCCCGCTCTAGCTAGAGCTAACGCGTACGCTGCGCTGGGGATCATGGTGGATCTTGGAGCGTACAATATTAGCTACGCGTAGCCTATAGCCTACAATGCACTCGAGGGAGCGTACTAGTACTACGCGTACGCGCGCGCACTGGATCCCCATGGTCACGCGTACGCACCGTGCAATATAACTTTTTACTGCGCTTTTTCTGCACTCATTTCTGCAAAATCGTGCTTGCATCAAAAATTTGTCAATGCCATGTGACGCGTATTGACCAATCACGATGCTTAAAATACTAGGCTAGATCTAGAGCCATTTTATAATACACCCTAAAACTGTTAAATGGGACATCAAGCTCAACCGGGGGTGGAGTTTGGACTGTTGTGTGCGCTACAAATAGTCTAGATCTAGATCTAGATCTAGAGATTGAATTTCCATGTTTATTATTTTTGCATTTTTTTTATTACATGAATGGGGTAGATCTAGTCTAGATCTAACGTTAGATCTAGATCTAGATATCTAGGCCTAATGTCAATGCAGATCTAACGTTAGAACTCTAGATCTAACTGTTAGGCCTAGAAATCTAGAGTCTAGATCTAGTCTAGACTTCTAGATCTAGATCTAGATCTAGCCTAGACCTGATATTTTTGCAAAAACCCAGGATTAGGCCCTAGACTAGGTCTAGATCTACTGATTTTTCCTTTACATTTTGAAACAAATATGTATTAAATAACAATATATAGACCTAGATCTATCATGAATGTTTGCCCTTTGGAGTATTTATCAATGATAATTTTTCAGAAATCCATAAAATATTAAATGGCATCATGCTGACCGGATACCCAACCCGGCCGGACAGCCAAGGCATAGTAGGCCTAGACCTCTAGGCCTGGGCTACCCAACGACAGGCGCGGCTAGCGCCAGCTGACGAACACGTAATACTATAGGCTAGATCTATAAAAGTTTATAACAAACAAGAACCATGATGTACACTTACTGAGTTCAAAGAATCCTACTGTGTCTTCTGGATCTATAGGCAGGTATTTTCTAATACTTCGATCCGCTGAACAGACCCTGACGCTTAATGGCATGGTTGCATGCACTTCGATCACTTCACATCTAGAATCTAGGCCTAATTTGAAGAATTACTACTCCAGAATCAAGACTTCAAGTCAGTGCCAGTGAAATTCTCTAGCCACATGCTCTCGTCTAGCTGTGCGCGCGCAGCTGCAGAGGCGCATATCGGATCATATGACAACTTTCGTCCAATGATTTTCGTCGAATTCTCTAGCTTATGCGCATGTGCGATTTTATAACACCAAATATGACACCATCAGCCTGTAATTGAATATTTTCACACCGTTGGTGTTATTTTTCGCCAATCGGACATGAAATGAACACCAAGGGTGTTGATATTTTTCTATTCCATGCTGGTGTTGAATATTTAACACCCTGGTTTTTGCAGTGTATTACAAAGCAATGTTTTGAATGAAATTGTATATGGATCATCTCACACTGAACTGTTCCTCTCTTCAATTCTCTCTCTCTCTCTCTCTCTCTCCCTCTGTGTCTCTCTTTCTGACTCTCATGTTCCTTCTCTCTCTCCCACTCTTTCTCTCTCCATATTGCTTTGTGTAACCCTGAAAACCATTAGTTTTTGCATAAAAAGAGGAAATGATTTGCTGACACAAAACTAGAAATTTGTTTTTCCGTGCCAACAAATAACCTCCGTATAATCCCGAAGACCATTAGTTTTTGCATGAAAAGAGGAAATGATTTTTTCACACAAAACTAGAAATTTGTTTTCCGTGCAAACAAATAACCTCCGTATAACACCCTCCATTGCACCCAGTTTTGTTCTCTCGCCACCTTTTCACATCTTCTCAACATTATGGTCTTGCTTTCCTATCTGTTTTATCCGTTTTTCAGTGCGATTCTATTTTATCGTTGGAGCCATTGTAGGCAGGCATGACCAGTCAGACCGCAGCGTGCGCGATAATGAGGCTAAACGCTGATTTTTATTCAGCGTCTCTTTGGTTATCTCGTACATTCACGTGTGCTGAAATTCACGAGATTTTCCGTGAGATTTGTAAGGGTGTACATGGCAGGCGCGGATCCAGGGGGGGGGGGGCCGAGCGTGCCTTGGCCCCCCCCCCCCCCCCGCAAAAAAAAAAAAAAAAAAAAAAAGGAGAGAGAGAGAAGGAAAAGAAGGGAAAGAGGAGAGAAAGGAAAAAAAGAAGAGGAAGAAGAAAAGAAAAGAGGGAAGAAGGAGATCGGGGGGAAGGACTTGCCTCCCCCCTCCCCCCCCCCCCCCCAATACAACAAATAAAAGAGAGATAAGGAAGGGAAGGGAAAGTGAAAGAGGAGAGAAAGGGAAAGGAATAAAAAAGAGAATGAAGAAAGGTAAGGGATATCAGTTGCAATTTTCCCGCCAACAAGGTGTAGATCGGAGGGGGGGGGGGGGCACTGGCATACTGATAGGGGAGGGGGGGGGGTTGGAGAAATAAAATTCAAACGTGGTTTATTTATATTTCCATAACGGTGGTTAACAAATAATGCTGAAATGAGATAATTTTCCTCACTTCATGCGTTTGTTGGAAAATGACAAATTCCTAAATTTACAGCCAGGCAAGAAAATGCTTCTTTAAATGCCTACATTATCAGGGCCCGCGGAACGGCGGGGATCGGGATCCTCGAGCCCCTCCCCCACACTTTCTTTGAAAAAGTATATTAAAGAGAAATAGAAAGAAAGAGAGCGAGAAAGAAAAAATAGTTAACTGCCAGTGTCACATTATGATGGGGTATCAAAATATGCTCATCTGACCATGATTAAAATTAATGCCTAAAATCCTAAGGGCTCTGCCCCCTGGATTCCACCTAGGGCTCTAAGGCGGGCCCTTAGATGCTCATATGACGGTCATTTAATGCCTAAAACCCTGATTTCTGGGGGCTCTGCCCCCTGGACCCCACGCCAAATAGTGTCCTGCTAGTGTCACAAATAATAAGGTATCAAAAATGCTCATCTGACCGTAATTAAACGCCTAAAACCCCTGAGCTTCTGGGGGATCTGCCCCCTGGACCCAACCAAGAGCCCTTAGGCGGGCCCCTCGATACTCATCTGACCGTAATTGAGTGCCTAAAACCCTTAAAGATTCCGGGGCTCCGCCCCCTAAACCCCAAGCCAATTAGTGACCTGCCATTGTAACAATTAGGTATCAAAATAATGCTCATCTGACCGTAATTAAATGCCTGAACTCCTGAACTTCCGGGCTCTGCCCCCTGGACCCCGTCTAGGGAGCTAAGGCGGACCCCTGAATGCTAATCTGACCGTAAATTAAAACCTTAAACCCCTGAGCTTCCGGGACGGACAAGGTATCAACATATGTTCATCTGACAGCAGGCGCGTAGCCAGGGGGGCGGTGGGGTGGTCCCCCAATAAACGCCGGCCAAAAAAGAGAGGAGTGTAAAGGAAGAGGACGTAGGAAGAAAAGGGAATAGACAAAGAACATATTTGAAATTCAGACAAGGATTAAGAGTCGAGAACGGTACAACGAATCGTATTCTTTCTCTAATGAATTAATGAAACGTCAAAGCTTCCGCGCTACGCGCGGGGGAGGCAGGGGGAACTTAATTCAGACGAGGATAATTTTCGGGAACGGTACAACGAATCGTCTTCTTTCTATAATAATTTAATGAAACGTCGAAGCTTCAGCGCTTCGCGCGGAAGGGGGGGGGAATTGATTTAGACAAGGATTAAGCGTCGAGAACAGTACGACGAATCCTCCTCTTTCTCTAATGATTTAATGAAAAGTAAAAGCTTCCGGGTGGGGGAAACTAAATTGTTTTCGAGAGCGGAACAACGAATCGTCTTCATTCTCTAAAAATTTAATGAAACGTTGAAGCGGGGGGAAACTGAATTTAGACAAGGATTAAGAGTCGAGAACGGTACAACGAATCGTCTTCTTTCTATAATAATTTAATGAAACGTCGAAGCTTCGCGCGGAAGGGGGGGGGGGGGAGAGGAATTGGTTTAGACAAGGATTAAGAGTCGAGAACGGTACGACGAATCCTCCTCTTTCTCTAATGATTTAATGAAAAGTAAAAGCTTCCGGTGGGGGGGAAACTAAATTATTTTCGAGAGCGGAACAACGAATCGTCTTCATTCTCTAAAAAATTAATGAAACGTCGAAGCGGGGGGAAAACTGAATTTAGACAAGGATTAAGAGTCGAGAACGGTACAACGACCTCACCCCCCCCCCCCCCCAACGGAACAAAATGTCAAATTGTCAAATTTCGAGACCAAAAAAAAAGTGTGCTCTTCCCCCCCCCCCCCCCGCTTATTTAGCGGCTGGCTGAGTCGTTACGAAAAAAAATTCGGATCAAACAACAAAAAAAGTGGGCCCCCCCCCCCTAAGAAATCCTGGATCCGCGCCTGGTACATGGAGTTGCTTTTGTGGTCGATAACTTCTGTCAACATGGCAGCACGCAACGGTAATTACTCTCGAGATTCTCAGCTTCAGTTTGATATGAAACTTGCCATCTTTCACAATTTTGAAACAATCCTTTTTCACCACTTTTATTGTCGTTATTTTTGTAACATTTCAACAGGTATTTTGTACCCTAAATTTCGCTTTTGGTTCCTGACTTTGGTACATAATTAATTTGTTTACTTTGAGATTCGTTGGAAAGATGAAAAGTCACTGATCAAAATAATGTCAAAACCTAATTGACGCAAAATCTTGTTCTCTTTATAATCATAGTAATTAAGACCCTAAAAACCCGGAAATTACCAATTTGTTCTTTCTATAAGATGGCGCGATATTGTGTGATTTCATACTCGTGCACGCTCGCCGTTTGAGCAATGGCAATGCATAACTGATTATTAAACTTCAGGGAGCTCTGCCGCGCCACCGACTGGCCGAAAAAATTAAGAAAAATGATTAAAAAAGAAATAATGTAGAAAATTTTTATCTGAAGACAGGTGACGTAATTGATCCAGGGTCCTCAGATTGTTGTCATGACTGCTTGCGCGCACGTGCATTACAGGCGCACGCCACAAGGAATGCTTATTCAAATGTGGTATTCAGAATGTTAATTAACCAAAGCGTAACATATGTGACGTAGTTGACGTATTTGGCCAATCAGAACGCTCTATTATCACATCGGCAAAGTTGACTACTTTTTTTAAATTATTCATGAACATTCGCGTGATTTTTCTTGGTTCCTGACTTTGGTACAGCGTAAAATAAAATAATTTTGATATCATTGTAAAGAAAAATATTTATGCTTTATGCTGATTATAACATCTTCTTGACGCAAGAATGATTTCTATGTGAAAATCAGCCCTACTCTTTAGATAGATTTATCGTCGAAAAACCCCATTTTCAAGGCGAAATATCTGTTTCCAAAATATATTTAACATGATTGTCATATAAGTATATAGAGAGTGCAACTTCTTATCTTTAAAATAAGACCCATTTCATGAGAAATGAACAATTATAAAGGCAAAAACTGCCGATCGGGAAGACCGTCTGCACTACTCATTGTGTATGCAAGACACGTAAATTCTTGCATACGTGCTGAACAATATAGAGGGTTTTCGCACCGGCTGCAGTCTGACTGTGACTATGCGCTTTACAACAATATAGATTTGAAAAAGTATACGCTCATACATTATGAAGGTCGGGCAATAGCAAGATCAACTGCAAAAGCAGGCCGTATGGTGTTTTCAAATCGACTTATTCTTAAATCACTTTTTTTGATTATCTTTTTCAATTTAAATGTGGAAAGCTATCACAGAACATCCGGCTGGAAAAATGTAATTGAAATTTTTAATTCAATACTCTATTTTTCACCTAATTTTACATGACCTTGTTCACTAGCGGATACTGCATTTCAAATCAGGGATTGCATACTGCATAGCGGAGTACATTAAAATTTGAGGGGGCCGTATTTGTGAAAAATGTGATCGTGAACAGACCGGACGGGTGCATATGAAAGAAAACAACGACCTACCCCCACCCCTCCCGCCGTCTAGCGTTTGTATATGCATAGGGTAGGTGCAGGGAATTGGAGACCGCAGGGAATTGGAGACCACTAAACTTGAACCCATCACTGTCTGTCCGTGTTGGCTCCAATATTGCTATAGCGCCATGTGTGGCCTTTAACAACACTACTACATAATCCAATTCATTTCGAAGCCTACAATGTGTTCTTTCTCCGAGAAAATTGTCAAAATTGACCAAGGCAACCAATTTTGATCGTAAAATTTTGCTCTGATATAAAAACACAATTTTCACTGAATGTTGTGGTGTATGCAGATATTTAGGGGTGCATGGCTCTTAAAAAGCAGTTTTAAAATGAAGTTTATGAAGTGTGCCACCATCACAGAAAACTTATGGCCATTGTATGTTGTGAATGAGTGTTGCACGGCACATTATGAATGGTGTCTGATCAGAAATATGTGCAGGTAATGGGGGACACCAGGTCCAAGATTTATTATTATTGTTATTATTATTATTCATTTATTGGTGTAAAATGATCGATTAGCAACACAAGGCTGAAAGGGTCAATTTACAAAGGTACAGTGATGTAAATTATATACATGTCCAATAGTATTACGAACAATAGTAGATAAATCTGTGACATAATGACAATACAGCAGAATTATATTGCGTTCGTTTATGTACATTACATGAAAGGATGTACTCGCAGAAGATAATACAAGAGCAGGGGAAGGTTTATGGCTCATGAAAGTGAGAGTGATGAAGCGAATGGAATAGAGAGAGAGAGAGAGGATGGGAGAAAAGGGGAGGTACAAAGAGAGAAAGGAAGAGAGAGAGAGAGAGACGGAGAGAGAGAGAGAGAGAGAGCAGGGAATGGAATTATCATAATTAAATAAACATATTATTCCTAATTACATGTTATACATTAATGAAAATTAGTCAGATTTCGGCGAGACAACAATAATCATCATGCTAGAAGAGAGAAAAGGGAAGGTTAAAAGAAAAAAAGAAGGAGAGAAGTTTGAAGAGAGAGAAAGAGGGAGAGAGAGAGAGATGGGGGTCGTTTGTTGTGAATGTCGAATATGCCGAGGACAGTCAATGACCCGATGCTGGTTGGTTAATTGTCCATGTGCAGAAATATTTTGGGCCACATTGTTTTAAAATCATTTCAAAATTACAGTAAGTTCATTAGCTGCATATATCTCTATCAAAAAGTGTTTGAACTAACCATAACAATTCCATTTTCATTCAAATTGTATTCAAAATGTCTTGATTTGTAACTGTCCCTCATTGTCTGCACATTTACGTAATGGGATACCTTTGGTGCTGACGTCATTAATCATTGTTAGCTTATTAATCAGTTACATCATGCCCACAATTTTGTTACCAAATAAAGAGAAGAAGTTACTGAAGAGAATACAAAACTTTCTGTAAGTGTAACATTTGTAATGTTTATGTAAATTATGTAAATGTGCTTAAGGGCTCCAATTCCCTGCACCTATCCTAATTGCATTGATGAGGTTATAAGTAAAATTGTATAAAGTCTTTTGCAATATATTTTTGCACTATTTTGTATCTTAATTGTGCAATTTTTCGTTTTTTGTTTGTTGAGAGGAAAAAAAAAATCCAAATCAACATCAAACAAATCACCCCCCCCCCCCCCCACTAAAAAAGCCCTCAGCCACTGTGTAATGGGAAATCTCTCCTCAAGCACAGTATGTGTACGTATGTGCGCGCGTGTGTGTGTGTATGTGTGTATGTGCGTGCGTGTGGTGTGTGTGTGTGTGTGTGTGTGTGCGTATACTTTTTTTCGCTGCACATGTAGAATTATGGATCTTCAGTGACTGGTCCGTCAGAAACTAGTGCTAAGCCAGTCACAGAGAATTCATGATTTCAACTGATGCCTGTCAGTACATTGTAAATTTGATTTTTCTTCAAAATTAAAATCTTTTCATATTTGATAAATATGGTGTATTGGCATACGGGCTATGGTTGGAGCATTGGATGCGTTGAACAGCGTTAGTGTATTATGTGGATTTATCATATTCATATTCTGAATATTTTCAGCGAATTGAATAATGTTGAAAAGGATGCAATTCATTGTTGTACTCGATAATTCTCAGTTAACATATTCTCTCTCTCTCTCCCTCTCTTGCATAAAGAAAATATAAAAATAATAATTTGCCTTGATTAAGAATAATTGAAAAAAAATTATCAGTATTAAACAGGGAGAAAGAAAAGGGGAGGAAATTAATCAAAACAAACATTGAAGAATCCCATTCAGTGTTCATTCGTGATGCATAAGAATGAAGGTACATTAAGGTGGAATAATTCATAATGTGGTGACTTGTCGGTTACCGTGCGAATATCTTCGATATCTAGGCTTCGATATCTATTCAATCTATCAAACAATACGAAATCCAGCTGTAGTTCATACACAGACAAGAAAATAAATTTATAAAACGGAGATTCCAGAATGATGACAATGACAATGATTAAAACTTTGAATAAAAAATAATTAAAACAATATGGTCTGAGGGTCATATATTTCGAATATTATAAAGTTTCATTCACCATCGTGTTGTTGAACACTATATATTTGCAATTTAATTTGAATGCGGTGACTTGTTGGTTACGAGTAGAAGGTCATTCTATTTATCTGAGTATCTTCTCCCGGTTCGGAGGTTGATTGCAACATCTCTCCATTTCACTGAAGGTCATTGCAGGCTTCGATATTCTATAATATAGACGCTATCTAGACAATAATTCAACAGATATCTGGGTAGAGACACTTGGTCACATCAAGCTAGCTACGAGAAAGTATATCATCATCTCACAAAATTCTACTCGAACACCGCACCAAGATCAGGTAGGACCAACATCCCTTACGCTGTGCCTGTTGAATATGATACGTCTTTCTGATTCCGTCAGTTTGCAATTGTATTGACGATGATATCGATTATTTAGGAGCGCTAAAACAAAAAAGTACCTCATCGCTTACTAAGTAACAGAATATGAAGAGAAACATGAAACTATTAGATAGGTGAATCAAACTTTATTACTGAGGAAAGAAGTATGTTTTAATGGGATCTTTTAAAAGTGGCAAGACAGGTATTATCTTTCGAAGCAGCCACATAAAACGTTTTTCGGTCGTTGAGATTCAGAATCTGGAAATAATTAATGTATATTCAGTTGTTGAGCGCATGTATGCATTTCTTTAGACATTTGTTTACCTCTTGTGCAACGGGCTTTTAGTGCACATTAATCAGGAGCTATGCTTTGGCAATTCTGAGGGGTGCGATGGCCCAGTGATCTCGTAAACGGGAGGTCTAAAAAGTGCTAGTGTCTTTTGGTAAGGCTTTAATCCACTGACTTACACCCACCTTCATAAACTGGTAATGCTTTCAAAATACTAACTGTTTTCAAACTCAAAGTTGGGTATGAGCGATTATTATTATTGCATGTTTATAGTTAGGTAAAATGTACCAGAAATTGGTTAAACATTACCTAGTGTTGGTTTTATGTCTTATCCAACAAACATGTATGGTCCTCTTTTGTTTACCACCTATTTGTAAAATATTATCCAACTGTTTTAAAGAGACTATAATGTCCCTTTTGCAGCCAACGTCAAATTCTGCAGAACTTTGCAGGAATTATGAATATGTCTTGTATGTCCTATCTATGAAATTTAAACATTAGCAGTGTCCTAGTATTTAAATTATGCAAAAAACAACGTTTACCTTCTAGACTTCACTGTCAGTGACTGACTGATATCTCTGATTTATCTTTGGTAATAACATACACAAAATGAGCTGTTACAGGTACATGAGCATTTGTCTATATCAATAACCCACTACTTGTAATAGCCGAAATTAAACTTATTGAATCTTTGTGCAGCACAAAACGTACGACGTACGACCGTTTTCAAGCCCTTTTGTTTTGATGGAAGTTCTAAATTAGTATTGTCTTTTAAATGCCGTTAGAATTTAACCTTTTCATTTTTGGCCTGCAAATGGGACATAGTACCTTTAAAGGGGAAGTCCACCATGATATTTAGTTGGTTTTGATAAAAGCAGAAAAGTGAGACAAACAAAATTTAATTAGTAAAATTTGAACAATATCCTATAAAAAGAAATAGAAATATTATACATTTTTTAAGTTGTCATCAGTGAAAAAATTAATTTGCAACACTGTTTTCGTTGATTCTTGCCTATAGCAGCCGTTATCAAAAGCAGTCATGAAGTTATTCGTCTTATCAATGGTGGTGATGATGGTGGTTTGTGTTCATGCTCAACAGGAAAGCGGTAAGATAATTGTCAAGCACAGACTTTATTGAGCCATTTAAAGTGTTTTTAGTTGTTTCAGTAACAAAGGTTTAAACCAGCTTGCAAATAGCTACAAGGGGCAGGGCTGAGATGATTGATATGATGCTATTGCAACTTGACCTGAGCTTGATATCATGGACCACTTTTATCCTATTTACTCTCAGACTGCCTCTAACTGTAAACATATTTTAATCCGTTGTTTCATTAGTTCATTAGTGATCTCTTTTTTTAATTCATGCCCTTGCCAATTATTTGACTTGGGTCTTTTTCTCCAATGCAATGTGCAATATCTAATTCAAAATTACACTATATTGTTATTTATATACTCATTCTAATTTTATTGACCAACTCTCTCGATCTAGATGAATGCTGTCATTACATGTATATTAAAGGGGAAAACGAAATAGAGACTGTCATTTTGACTTTTACGGTTTAATTTCATCTCATCCAATAGGTTTTTTTTAATGCTTAATTTCAATTTTTGTAATAGAAACGTTTGTATAGCAATTGTTAAATACTTTCTCAACTCTTTCGCTTAAACAACTTCCTTTTTTCTTCTCCATTCTCTCCGTCCCACCGTCTTGGTCTTTCAACATGAAACATTAAACGTATAACTTTGTTTTGCAATTTCGATTTCACCTTACAATGACTTACATTATGTATTTTAATTTTGTATATGTTTATATCTCTCTATATTTTTAACTTGTTTGTAAATTGAACATTTTCAGCCTGCGAGCTGCTTGTTTGATGTGATTTCTCAATAAACCAAACCAATTCAATTCAATTTAATAATGCTTAATCTGGAATGCATTGTTTAATTAGTTGTAGAGGCATGATTTTTATTTTTAAGGAGAAAAAAATTAAACGATAGACGACCCTTACTCTAAACCTAGCTTTAAACCTACCTGGTACTGTGTACTAAACATAACAAAGACAATTAGCTGCATTATCTAAATTACGTTGGAAGTTATTTTTTTAAACGTGCCTCTACAACAGTACTGATTAAATAAGGCCTACCTGATATCAATAGCCCTTTCTAAGGCGACATCTATTATGAAGTTAAGGCTGTGTCACACAGAGGCCAAAAATCCGGATTTTAGTTATCGTATTACGGTAAATATTGCCAGTTTGGTACAGAATGGTTACAAGTTCATTGATAAGCAGGACATGATGAAAAATGAATGTATAAAGATTGATAAATTACAATGTGAGGTATTGATCAAATTTCCATACTGGCTCACGTCTGGCATTAATAGTAGTAGAAAAAAGAGGAAGCAGGAGAAGAGGGAAAAGGGGAGAAAAAATGATAAAGAATAATAGGAAGAAGGATAAGGAGAAGAAGAAGAACGAAGAAGTGGAGAAGAAGAAGAAAAATAAGTAGCCGTAAAAGAAGCAGGAGAAGAAGTGGAAAAAGTATATAAAGAAGAAGAAGATAAAGATGAAGTGAAAACCCAGATCCTGTACTTCTCCATCCCATCTTCTCAGTTTGCTCATACTTGGTATGCTTATTCCAAATGCAGGTGGTCCTTTCTGTCCGAAATGCACCGAGCTATATTCTGACGACCCAGCCTTCCCATTGCCCGTCCCGGTTGGAAACACTTGTTCTCTAAACCCTGAAATAGAGCAGTGTGATGTAGGTGACAGATGTGAGCTGGTGGAGATTGCAACGAGCTTTATTCGTGACGCTGGTAAGAATGTAATGCCCGTCACTGCACACGAGACGTCATTACCATATTTCATATATTCTGTGAAAGTTCTTAGCTCGTACGTCACACGATGTCTTCACTGATCACGTTTGAATCAATGTGTGTACGGTGTCTCTTTCACGTGGTGCGTCAAAGACAGCGTACTGCATGACTGACGCAGTCCTGTTCGTGTGACCCCACGTGTGTCAAGGTTATTACACCGTTTAATGAATATTGATGTATCATCTCAACCAACATTTCTTTTTCGTGCCCTCAATGCTTTATCTTGAGTCCCGAGAGCATAGAAATAATTAAATTATCATTGATAAATACCTTTTTCCTCTCGATTGAACGAGTCTGTTACCGACAGTTTTGCCACATGTTTAATAATTATTAATATAAACGAACATATTTTAAGACTTAATACTGACTTTGTTTATGAATAACGCCGAATATTTCACTCTGTCAATTCTTGTTTTTAACCTGAATTAAAGAGTTAACCTGTCTTACCGACCACTTACTTAGAGCGGCCACTGAACCCCCCCCCCCCCCCCCCCCCCCACAGAAAATTACTGTGTTGTTAACCCACTATATAAAGCTATGGTCACAAATTAGAGCAGCGACCGACCGATCAGTAGCCTGCTCGGTCGCTGCTGGAATTAGGCATCGCCCAGCGATTAGTTCGGTGCCCGGGCGGCGACCGCCCAGGCACCGAGCGTATTTTGGGCGGCGAGTGAAAAGTGGGCAGGCGCCGCCCAAATTTTAACTCCGCGCTAAAACTTCAGCGGCGACCGAGCGATGCCCTAACAACGAGCGGTGACTGGCCGGTCGCCGCTCGGTGGCCGGGCAGCCGCCGGGCAGAATTGGTTAAAAACTCGCCGCTCGGCCGCCGAGCAGGCTACTTTTGGGTAATGTGACCATAGCATAAAGGTCACCAGCCTTACACAGCCAAATCATTATATAACTTTTATATTCATTCATACATACCCTACCAGGAAAAGGAATGATTTTCACATCCCCCGTTTACGCACTTCATTTTCTCAAAAAACAATTGTGTATACTAGTCTGTCTTTTTGGAACAATCTTCATCCTGATTTACTTCACCCTTCTTCTATTCATCAATTGAAATATAAACTCAAGTTACATTTGTTGAATGCATAAAATGATAATGATGATTAGACATTTCATGTATAATGTTCTTTTTTCTTATAACGTGTACCATTTTATTTTACAATTCATTTGCAATTTTACGCGTTCTTTTGCCTGTGTGACATAAGTGAATTTTAACAGGAAAGGAATGAATAATTCATGATTTCTATTGTTCGGTTTTTGTAAACGTTCAGGTGGTGCAAACATGTGCGGTAGAAATAGGTGCATACTCTGCTATTTATTGGCTCGTTACTCCTCTTCGTTTTAATGTATTTCTTTCTTCTTTTTTCTGTATTGTATTGTATTGAACTCGCAAACAATTATTTGTCAATTACTGCCGTCTCAATTTTAATTGTGTACCTCTCTCTATAGTAAACATTTTCTGTCCCTATTATTTTTCAAGTCTCCCAGGAACCTATCCTTTACAAGCTCTGCTTTTCTATAGGTTCCTGCACATTTCACAGTTTGTACTTTTGTCTGGGTTTCCTTTAAATGATATTAGTTGTCAAACAAATGTGATGATTACCTTATCAATTAATATAATCATTTTTTTTAAATTATGAAACAAATATGTCTTTTATGTATATTTTGTTATCTGTATTATTTCTGCATGTGAAATGTGAAATCAATAAACTCAAACTCAATTATGTATCCCCATATCTTGACACGAATAGCGGCCATCGATATAGAGCTGAGTCGTAACTTATTTATTTTTGTCCTTTATTCTTGGTTCAAATGCAACCATAGATTTACTTACCCTGACGCTGTCGTCTTTCGGTTGCGAACAACATTCCGAGTTTTCGATGCCGATTCCGGACACCGGCTGCACGTTAGAAGGGGTAGAATCTTCCGACCCCGGCATTGATCCTGTCAATGTTCCTAATTTTCCTGAGCTGACGATCAGTTCCCAGGTACGCGTGACCTGCCTCTGTGACACACCCAACTATTGTGCCTCAGCTCCTGCTGGAGAAGGTAATAAGGAGGAGGGGAAGTGTAGTCCAGAATTTGCAAGCAAAGATGACATGATTTCCGAACGTATACGACAGATGACATGATTTCCAAACGTATACGACATGTGCAAAATGGCTGGGTCAGCGTCACTCACTTTTTTTTTTACTAGCCTTCGTAAGATGTTCAAAGACAACAAAGATAAGGAAATGATCTGATACATCAGTTTGTATAATTCAAGGATGAAAAGAAGACGTGTTTATTATTAGTGTGTTTACCAGCGTTTTTCAACCTTTTTTTTCAGCATGGCAGTCTTTTCAGAAATACAAGTGTCGCTTCTCGCCAATCCCGAATTCATCACATCATATTTTTGTTTATATTTCCCTGAAACTCTTCAAGTGTCATGTACATACCCTTTTTATTTTTTTTTATTTTAGCCTCCAAAATGTCATCTTTAACATATTCAAGAACTATTTTGTATCTACAAACTAAATAAGATACATATTAATGTATGCGACATCCCGATTACGATACAAAAATTCCCACAGCAAGTTTCCTACCATTTAGGTTAGTTTCTAACCGAAAAGTTTCTGTGAAAGTTATACTTAATGGTTAATAATATAATAGCTAGTTTTTATATAGCGCTTTTCAGGACCGAAGGCCCTCTCAAAGCGCTTTACAGAAATATATATATATTATTACCCCGGTCATAGGATTCAGGCTTACCCGCACACAATGTATGCACATTCTCCACTCCCTGGGGAGCATTCCAGCCAGGCGTCATTTTTACAAGCGCACACTTGCTAATCTAAGCACATTAGCTTTCGCATCCTACCGGGTACCCATTTAACACCTGGGTGGAGAGTGGGAAATGTAGCCAAAGGACATAAGTGCCGCGGTGGGACTTGAACCGCGGACCTTATGATCCACAGTCCGGTGACATATCCACTCGTCCATCCCCCCCCCCCCCCCTGGCCAAAAGAAAGAAGGGAAAAAAGAAGGAAAAAAAGGGGAAAGATATCAAAGGTATCAAAATATGCTCATCTGACCGTAATTAAATGCCTAAAACCCCTTGACTTCCGGTGGCTCTGCCCCCTGGACCGCATCTAGGGCCCTAAGGCGGACGGCTGGATGCTAATCTGACGGTAATTTAATGCTTAAAACCCCTAAGCTTCTGGGGTCTCGGCCCCCTGGACCTCCTGCCAGTGTCACAAATAAGGTATCAAAATATGTTCATCTGACCGTACCCCACGTCAATTAGTTACCTGCCAGTGTCAGAAATAAGGTATAAAATTATGCTCATCTGACGATAAATTAATGTAGAAACCTCTGAGCTTCTGAAGGCTCCGCCCCCTGGACCCAACACCAATTTGTTTCCTGCCAGTGTCACAAATAAGGTTTCAAAATATGCTCATCTGACGAGAATTTAATGTATAAAACCCCCTGAGCTTCTTGGGGCTCCGCCCTCTGGACCCAACACCAATTTGTGTCCTGCCAGTGTCACAAATAAGGTATAAAAATATGCCCATCTGACAGTAATTTATTGCCCTAAAACCCCTGAGCTTCCGGGGGCTCCACCCCCTGGACCCCACGCCAATTCGTGGCCTGCCAGTGTCACAAATAAGGTTTAAAATTACACGTTAATTTTACCTTTTTTTTGAGAGAGGCCCCCTCCTGACGTTCAAGGGGGGGGGGGGTGCGATTTTTCAAATTTTTCAGATTTTTCAATAATTCATTGCAGTTTGCCCCGACCCCCAACATTAAAAAATCTTCTATGTGGGCATGTCTTGAACCATAATGCATGGCCCTACAGAGAAATTTTTCCTGTTGGGGACTGGGGGGAAATGCAATGAATTATTGAAAATTATTGCATTTTCTTTGTTTTTTTTGTTATTGTGGGGGCGTCGATGTACGTCAATGTACCCCCCTAAATTCGGAATAATTTCTCAGGAGTCCAAAGAGACGAGAGAAAAAAAGAAAAAACACCCCCTTTTTAAAGAAATCTCCGGGTGAAAAGTTAATACACCCCTATTTTTTACAATTCTCGGGCCGGACTTTGTCGCACGAAAAGTACCCCTTTACCGGACATTTTGGTAACACGCATGGGGTCATTCCGACCCCGGAGTGGGGGGGGGGCGGTTTATACGCCACTGTTCAAGAACATACACTGACCATTGAACAGCTTCGCGAGAAAAACAGTGTTCCGTCATTCTCTCTTACTACTTCTTTTTTTCATTTTCAAGTAAACTGTGAAGACCCAGGTACGCCAGACTATGGTAGTCAATCTGGAACCTTTGACCACGGCCATATTCTAACTTTTCAATGTAACCCGGGTTACACACTGATTGGTGCAACTCATATTATCTGCTTTGATGGAACTTACAACGAAGACATTCCTGTTTGTGAGCCTTGTGAGGTAAGTAGTTTAATAATCACACATCTTACTCCCGTAATATGTTTCCTTTGATCAGTTTCTTTTTACCGTAACCGGAACCTATCTGTTTGGGGGGAAAAAAAGAGTATGAATTAGTTTTCTACATTACTGATAAAATGTAACATCCCAACATTATGTGGACAATATTGCAGAACCAAAATGAGTCAGGTCTGCCTGTAGTATATGATCAACACGAACTCGATATTAAACAAATGCTTAAGTTATACCGCTATTAAAAAACGAGATACGCATTCTCACTAAAGACGAATAAGGTGGTTTGGAGGCTTTAGGGATCTCATATGGAGAGATGAAGAGAGAATTAAAATAAAGAAAGAAATAAAGAAAGAAAAGATAATTCTGACGAAATCAATACGTGGTCTCATGTCGATGACAGACCATTTAATAAAAAAATAAAAAATTAAATAAAAGGAAATGGAAAAAATGAAAATAAAAAAGACTAAGAAATAAAATAGAAATATAAAAAGAAATAAAAATAGAAAGATAGTAAAAAAAAGAAAAAAAAAAGAAGCTTTGCTGCCCTCTGAAGTTAATTGTTTCTCATGGGCACTTTTTTCTATAAACTTGGCTACAGCCTACAAGAAAATTAGGGAAAAAGAAAGAAAGAGAGAAAAAAAAAGATGAATGCTTCCTTGAGACCAACGATTGTAGGACAATAGATTCATGTATCTAGTAGATGCTCGATCGGCAGTCGACCTTGATTGTATTTGAAACAGTGCATCCAATCTACCTGAGATAAGTACCCTATAGTTGTTAGGAGGTGCATACCATTATCGAATATGCTTTGGGGTGATAAGATCTGCGTCCTTGATGTAGTAAAGCAGAGAAAAATAGGAAATATAGGAGTTGGGGGGGGGGGGCTCCATCATTTGTTTTTGACCCGCCGTTTGAAGATTTTTTTGTCCCGACTGCCCCCCTTCCTTTTTCTACTAGAAAAGGGGGGGTAGGGTGATTACCTGGAAACACAGTATTTTTTGCCTTTTGGGTCTAAATTATATACCCAATAGGCAATAATAAATAAATAATATATTAAATAATAGATTAAACCAATATGGCGTCGGGGGTTCTAGGACGGTAATCACGTTCGGAATTCCATGCAGTTAAACCATACGAGCGCAAAGCGCGAGCCGAAATTTGTATATATAATTTGACTTGATAATGAGCCTGAGCGGGTAGGCAAAGTGCTTAGACGTTTCCTTAAATTATTAGAATAAGAAGACGATTCGTTGTACCGTTCTCGACTCTTAACCCTAATTGTCTGAATTCAGTTCCCTTACCCTCCCGCGCGATCGAAGCGCGGAAGCTTTGACGTTTCATTATTAGAGAGAGTAGACGATTTGTTGTACCGTTCTTGACTCCTAATCCTTGTCTGATAGACAATAGGGCACAAATAAGCTAGATAGTGCTCAAAGATCAATATCATGTAGATTTATGATGTGGACAAAATTCACCTTCCATAGGTATAACACGCAAATTACGAAAATTTTGACATGTGGCCTTTAATTGAATTTTGTACTATGATGACGTCATTGAAATGAAAATTAGTGTTCATTGATCTTGTAGGCAGTTGCCTCAACTACAAGATACCGAAATGTGTAAGAAAATCAATCAATATTACGAGAAATACACTAAATTTTCCATAAATAGAATGACGTCATAATATGCATTTTTGTATTTTGACTTCCAAGACCATTATGATGACGTCAAGATGTACTTAATGGCCAACTAAGATTTGAAATCATATCTCCGACTCCTACACTATCTAAATATGAAAAAAATGGCAGTTCTTATTCATTCCAAAGAGCTATAATGGACTTTGTATTGGCATGTGTTTGACCATATATGCTATCTCATACATGAGCTCGCGCGCACGGATATTTATCTTGAACGGACGCTCATTCCGTTATTAATAGTGATAAAGAGATGAACATGGTATCAAATTGTTCAGAAAAAATATGAGGAATATCCTGTCAAAAAAATATGAGGGGGAATTATTTTGTGTTCGGCCGTGATAAACGCCGGAAACTCACAAAAATGCGCGTGCGCGTGATTTTTTGTCTAGTGCTCCATATGGCCTGAAATGTATGCAAAAAAAAATTGGGATGATTTGGAGCATTTTAAATTGTTGCGCGCGTTTGCGCACGTTTATTGACCTGAAATTGACCGGACGGAAATTGATCTTAATCATGATAAATATGAATGAGAAATGTCTTTGCGTTAAGAAGATATGATCATGAGTTGATTTTCACAAAATGGTGCCTGGATGACGTCACGATAATTATCAGTTACACGCAGGCGCGTATGCAGGGGAGGGGGGGGGGGGTTATACCCCCCACCCCTTGAGTTTTTTTTATGTGTATGTTATGTGTATGTTTTTTGTGAACCTTTTGATTTTTTTTTTTTTTTTACATTAAAAAAATAAAAAAAATAAATTATGCCCCCACCCCCCCCCCCACCCCCCCCCCCCCCCCCCCCACTGAGCGAATTTTCGCCTGGCTGAGTCGTTGCGACTTTTTTTTTGGACTCCAAAAAAAAAAAAAAAAAAAAAAATGTCCGCATAGACTATCTTTCGCACCATGCCCGCATCAGTTTGCTTGTAAAGCTACCACACAAAACAAAATTGATATAATACAAAAAAAATGATGACGTCTAACG